TTGCGTACCTGGGTAGATTTTTTGCGGCAGACGTGGAATAGCGGAGGTACAAATATTAAGAGAGGCAAATTGAATAGTAAGAAAAAGAAAGTCTTTATCGATTGATATAAACAATATTATTCTATCTCTTTAATAAATAACACTCACAGTATATACTCTTTCTGAGATTAAGGTACTAAACCAAATCCAGTTCTGAGCACCTTGAATATTATTTTAATTTTTTTTTAATAAAATACACTCTCACAGTATCTATTTTTTTTAATATTGAGATACCAGCTCAAAATCAATCACAAATATCTTAATTACAATGTAGTGTAATAATTAAAAAAAAATTATAACTAAAATAAGAGGATCAATTACTTGTTATCATATAATAATAAGAAAGCAAAGAATAATTGAAAAGTTGTAAAAAAAAAGCAAAAACAAAATAAAATAAAATAAAATAATTAATTTAAATTTCAAATTCCCAGTCTTTTTCGTAGATTGCAGGGCATTTTTGGAACTCAGCTGTTTTAAGAATTTTTTAGTGCTCAAAAACACCTAAGAGCGTAGCAATTTTGTGAGGCTAGAAAAATCCGTCCACAAAAAAAATTGCGAAGGTGTTTCAAAATGTTGTTTCTCCTAATGTCGTATAATAAAAAAAACAAAATTTTCTCACTTCGTAATTAGAATCTTACTTTAGAAAAAAATCTTACTAAACTGTCTATTTTTTGAATGCTACAAATAAAGTATCAAAAGTAGCAAAGAAAATATCGGCAATTGAAAATTAAATGATTGGATTTCACATATAATATTGCACTTTGGTGTGTGCGTGTGTGTATGCATGTGTTTTTTTTTTTTTAAAAAAAATAATTGTCATTTTATCTTTGTTTTGTGTTATATATATAATGTAGAGCTCTAGTATTTATTTATTTATTTATCTATATATCTCTACTTATCTCTCTCTTTTCTGGCTGGATGTCTTTTTATTTCTCCTTTCTTTTACTGTCACATAATGATCTCTTTTTTTTTTTGGAGTATTGAGGGGTGTTTTATGATGTGTACTATATATGTGTGAGTCTGCCTTTTTTACAACACCAATTCTTTAATATTAGTATTATAATGGTAGGAAAAGAGAAGGAAAGGAGGGAAGATAGGTAAATAGCTGTAAAAATCAGGAATTAGAAATTTCTTGCAATTAAATTGATTAAACAAGGTCGAACAAATTTTTATTTCAAAAAAAAAAAAAGAATCCCCTCACTCCCCCTTTCTTTTCTCATTTTTTATGGAAATGGTAAGCAAGGTTTCCAGAGGCACCTTATAGTTTATACTTATTTTTGACTATTTCATATCCTTTTACTAATTTCTCTTTTATCATTATTCGTTTCATTTTATATAGTTACTTGTCTTTGATTAATATTAGTATTATTATTTTCAAAAAGATGTTTTCTTTTGCGCAATTTTTTTTTCTCCAGTTCTCATCGAGTTACCTAAATACGCAAGGTTTTAAAACACCTATAATGAAGATGAAAATACAAAATAAAATGTATCCGTCTTTCGCTAATTATGACGAGGGAAATAACAATTTTGTTAGACCAATAAAAATATTACTAGTAATGCCAATGTTAATAATAATGATAGTACAATGTACCTTTTTTATGGATACAGTCTAGTAAAGAAGTCTACATTAAAGTGACTTTTCTTTTTAAAAGTTAGAGTTTAATAATGTGCACGTTATTGAAACAAAGTATAACATAAACATGGAAACGCCTCTTCTTTTTTTCTCCCTTTATTTTTTTAAGGGGGAGGGATATTCTACGATCTAGTTTCAAACTATCTATGTCATTACTTTCATTTGGCATTACGGCAGTAGGTTTCATTAAAAAGAAATCTTGTAATTGGTCTAGAACGTGTGAAAGAAATATATTAATTTCGACAGCTCAAGAGAACTACATTGGCTGATATACCCGCCTGTCTAATGACTACTGGCTTCCTCAAAGGCTTTGGTACTTAATTATTAAGTAACATACACTTTCAATACATTCTTTGTCTGTAATGAACATGATCTTATTATATGTACATAAAAGTAGTTCATTTGATATTATTATCGGGTTTTTATCTTAAAAAAAACCAAAAAAATATATACACAAACACAAGCATACACGTATACGTATACGTATGGACACGTAGATGCCTACGTAGATGTATACGTACACGCATCCATATACGTATATGCACACATTAATAGATATTGATCTTTTTACCAAGTTGCATAACCCCTCTCTTTTTCAAGTCAGTAACACCATTACCCCTAAATAATAATAATAATAATAATAATAATATATGTGTTATGGATAACAAAAAGTGAACCAGGGCGCTTGGAGATCCATTTCACTGCTATCCTGGTCCGTGTGCCGTTATTGCACCCAACCAAGATTTAATCTTATAGGATCGCAAGATAGTGGTTACACTACAAATTCACCTTATCCTTCCCTGTTTGAATGTATTATTTTTCCGTCTCACAGGCAGCCAGGAGAAAAAGAGGACAAGGAAGCAGCTAGACGGACAGTTTTGCTGATTATATATATATATATATATATGTAATAAAAAATAAATAAAGTCCACTGCAAAAACAAATTTACCATCTTTCTCTTTTTATTTTATTTTATTTTATTTTATTTTATTTTATAAATTAATATATAAATATATAAATATAAATATATATTATTCTTGTGAGATTATCCATTCTCTTCATGCACAATGATCAAAAAAATCACAGAATATGAAAAGGCTCAGTATCGAGCCACTACTTTATCAATTCTTTTGAATGCACCTCTCACACCAAGCGAGAAGGATGGGAGATACAAAAGAAGATATAACAAGTGGAAAAACACACCGGAAGGCAAAGCAGAATTTGAGAGCTTGAAGATTGGTGCACAAACTCGTCACAGTCGCGCGTCATTACATAAAAGTCGAACAATGGTTGAAGATTCAAACAGTAAAGCAATGACTATGCTAGAAACTCCAGGAATGTCAGAACCACTAGAATCAGAAACAAATCCTATTATAAATCCCAAATCCAAATCCAAATCCAAATCTAAATCTAAATCCAAATCAAATTTCAATTCTAAAGCAAATTCAAAATCCAAATCAAGTTCCAATTCGGATTCCAATCCCAATCCCAATATTCCATCTCCCACTTCATCTCTCCAAATTGGCGCCGCCAAATCAAACAAATCTAACTACAAGCCAAAAGCAGCGACAAAAAAACATACGACAAAAGATGTTACGATGGTCGAATCCAAACAAAAAAAATCAGATAAAGACACAAAAGATTCACTCAAAAAGAGTACTCAGCCCAAACAAGACAACAATACTTCAGAAAATATGGACGATTTCAGCTTGGCAAAAGATATTCTAGAAAAAGGTGAACCGAGTAGCTCAAAACTGAAACGGAAATCCAAAGCAGCATCTTTGGGTGTCTCTGATAAAAATAATCTTGAAAAACGTAAGAAATATCGATATTTTATTATTATTGTTATTATTATTATTATTTTGCTCAAATGTAACGTTATTGGGTTCTCATTAACATCTTCTTTTAAACACGCGAATATATGTATATACATCTGTACGTTTGTACTTATTAATCCAAACAGCTCGAAGAAAAAAAACAAAATATTACATTGAACAACAGCCTTGCAAAGTTGATGATGTATTCCCCTTAAAAATTGACCCGAAGGATCTGGTGATCCTGCGTGACCAGATTATTGGCGAAGGACATAACGGGCTGGTCCAAGTCGCGCGTTACAAGAACATGGAGGTTGCTTGTAAATCCAGAAGGCACAGCCGTGTGCGATCCATCTACAATGAAAACATCAGGCACGAACTGGAGTTTGCAGCCAAGCTCTCTCCCTGTCGGTTTATCAATAACTATATCGGAATTGTTGAGTGCACGTACAGTGAAATCACCCGTGAACCACCTAACAAGAGCACCAAGCATCGCCTTTTATCAGATTTGCGTGATGTATATATCATCCAACGTTACTTTAAAAACGGTGATTTACGAGAGTATTTAGAAAATAAAGGTACTTTAAATAGCAAGAAAAAAAAATAGAGGTAGAAGAAGGGAAAGAGCGGTTAGTTTGACAAGTCTGATTCTTAATATTTCTGCTGTTACTGCTGCTGCTATTGTCTTGTTTCTTTAGGTCAATTTCTTCATCCTTTTGAAGTACTTCAAATTGCAATCAGTATATTTTCTGCTTTGACAGATGCTCATCATCTAGGCATAGGTATTGTTGATCTGAAACTAGAAAACATTTTGGTGAGTATTTTATTGGGCACAATGCGGAACATATATTGTTTCTCCTTTTTCTGCTTCTTAAAATCACTCACCAGTATAACTTTCATTATTATACTTGTCGATAGATTGATTCTTCTGGATCTGCTTGGTTGACTGACTTTGGGTAAGAAGTCAAAAGTTTCTCTTGCAATATATATGTATATATAAAGTAAAATTTATTTTTTTGTAAAAAAAAACAAACAAACAAAACTAAACAAAAAAAAACAAAACAAACAAAAACATCCCCCTTCCTCCTTGACAATTTTATTTTGTAGATCCTGTGTTGAGTTTAATGGTAAAGACGAAGTTGATTTAAAAGCAAACCCTTTGAAATGGACAAAGGACGTGGCATCTCCTGGTACGTCTTAACTACGCAATATCTACATATACAGATAGATAGATTGATAGATAGATAGATGAAACTGTGGGAAAAATTAATACATACATACAAATATGCATTTCCCTTAAAATAACCATATAAAACTACCTATTTACCATTAGAGATGCAACAACTTAGTATTTTTACAAGAAAATCGGATGTGTTTATGGCTTCAGTGATCATATGTGAGATCGTGACACCTGGACTTACAGACGAAGAGTTCAGCAAGAAGGTTGTTATTCGATCCAGGAATAAGATAGAGCTCTCGACAGAGTGCATCGATCCCATGTACAAGTTCTTCTTTAGATTACTGGAAACTGGGCTACAATTCAAACAAGAAAACAGACATTCTGCCATGGAAGGACTTGATTATCTTGAAAAAATGCGAATGGCTTGTTTCTTGAGCTCCACTAAACAATTCCAATCTCTCAGTGCCGGACAGGAACACAAGAACAATAATCCAACAAACCCTGCAATTTCTTATGCTACCTATACCACTTTCTCCTCGAAAAAACCAAACCATATATCGGCTCTTAGCGAACAATTGCCCGTATCAAACAACAGTGATAGTGATTGTGACAGTGACGATTCAAGCTCACTCCCATTCACAGACTCGCCATTGAGCTCTGAAGAAAGTGACAGTGAAACCATCTTATCTGATAATGGTCCGGCTATTACCCAAAGTCCCTGTGTCAATGGAAAAGTTTCTGAACCTAAGACTAAGAAGCCTTTCCCCAGAGCTGCTTTTAGAATTGCCAGGGTTGGTAAGATATTTAGAGCCAAATCTGAAAATAATTCGGGTTAGTTATACTCCTAGTATATTAATGGACCAAAAAAAAATAATGATAATAATGATAATAATAATAATTTAATGTAAATCCTTTGAAAGAAAAATAAAAATATGTCTATGTTTGTGTTTATATTTATGTTTATATTTTTATATTCTTATATGTATGTATACAACTATATATCTATATGCAATTTATTTATATATATATATATTTATATTTATATTTATATATAAGATTACCAAAAAACTAAAGACTTGCCAGACCAGATCACCAAAAGCATAAACATAGATCATCATACTCCCTATGACGACTTTAAGTACACCTATAGCCCAAGCAAAACCTCGGACGCAACTGATGAAAAGCAACAAATCTCTCCCGAACACGATCAAAAAAATTACCAAGACGGGGCTCATGTCATATCTGACGGAAAGCAAGAATCACCAGACAAATGTTTTTCTCAGAGCGGCTATGATAAAGAAGTACGAGATCAAGACGAAAATTACGAAAAACAAGAATTATCAGACGACCGCCCGCAAAGTGTTAATAAGTATGAAAGTCAGGGTACAGTTGGGGAAGAAGAACATGATGATGATAATAATCATTACGATAACTACAATGAACATCCATTGGATGACGAGGAGAACGATGACGAAATGGATGATGAAGTAAAAGAAATAGAAGCTCAAGTAATAACTGACGGAGAAGAGGATACGGATACAATGGCTGAAGGGGAAGCTCCAGAAGTAGCTGATGTAGGAGAGTCTCCTGATGGAATGAAAAATCAAGAATATTATGAAATATGCGATGAAGAAAGATACTACAAAATAGATGATAAAAGAAAATATCGATATAAATCTGATAAAAAATCTGGCATGAAAACTTACGATGTAGCTCTAGCAACAACCGATGATGAACAACGAGGAATATCTGACGAAGAAGAAGTACAGGATAAAAGCGATGAAGAAGAAGTATATGAAATAACTGATGGAGAAGAAGTACAAGAAATAACTGATGATGACGATACTCAATTCCTGATCGATGAAGAAATGATTCAATTAATGGCTGAAGAGGATGAGATAAGATTCATGACTGATGATGAAGAGATTCTGGATGAACAAGATGAGGCACAAATTTCCAATGATGAAACTCGAACAATTAATGACGAAGAACTGGATCTATTCATAGCCGATATAGAAGAAAAAAGTCGATTAATGAGGGAGGAAGAAGAGACTGGATCAACAACTGATGAATACGGGGCTGAAGACACATCTGATGAAGAAAGGACTCAAGCCACATTTGATGACGGCGTGATTCATGTTCTAGATGACGACGTGATTCATATTCTAGATGATGACGAGATTCAGGATTTAGATAATCATGAGCAAGAATTCTCTGAAGGTTTTTTTCAGAGCGATAACGAAGACGCTTATCAAACCATAATTGATGATACTGATGATGATGATGATGATAATGAACCCAAACACACTGAAAACCACATCCTAGGCTCAATCAAGAACGGTCCTTCCCGCCAAGACCGATACCCTACCACTAAGCCAAAATATTGAACAATCCCATTTTGAAATGCTGGATCCGCTGCTAAACTGATGTTGATGATAACGATAATTTTGTTAGAAGCTTTCTATAACCAATGTATCTCTTACAATTTCTGAAGCTAATAGTTTCCACAAAGTGGAAAAAAAAAACATTGTATTTTTGTGTGTGTGTATTGGATACAACTTATTTTTCTACTTCTTCTTTTTTCATTTTATATATATATATAAACTTGATTAATCTCAATAATGTCAACTTGAATTTCAGTTTCTTTAGTCGACTCAATTATTCACTGATTCTTATTTATTGGACCTTGTTCATATTTGTATTACACATCTTTATGAATTTTTGATTATTATTTACTATTTATTATCTTTATTTCGTCTACCTTCCTAAATTTGTTTTTTGATGGTCTCAAACAATTCTTGGACGACTTGCTTTCGACTATGTATTAAAGAACATTATGTTGCATTTTTGAAAGTTTTACTTTTTATATGGTCTGTAGGCTTAAAAATTATTCAATCGCTTTACTGGATAACTAGCCAAGTCCTCCTTGATATGCTTTGGAAGATTGACTTTTTTTTTAGAACAAACTCTTGTTTAACAGAGCTTTTCAAAACTGAACAGAATTGCTCAACCATATTCAACTCATGGGAGTAAGGAGGCAAGTGCAAAAAGTTATAGCAGCGGTCTATAATGAGTTTACCTATTCTTTTTTCGCTGTATGTATGGAACCGTTATCCATAATGAGCCAAAAACCCGTCATCTTTGGGTACTTTTCCTTTTAATTCCAAAATATCAATTACAGAATTGACATAATTGTTTGTCACAGTGTCTTTGGTGTATTTTCGGTCATTGTTGAGTTTTGTCTTGTTACTTGTGGTATAGGTTTTCTAAGAGAAACTTTAGGTGACAAGTGGTAAGTGGTAAGTGTTAAGTGATGGGTAGCCTTTTCTTATATCCCGTGAAAATGGTCAAGTGGTTAAGAATTTTTTTCTTATATTTCTTTTGTAATAGCAAAAATAATCCTCTACATGTGGAAAAAATATTGCAGATATAAAAACGGGGAATATAGTGCCAATTGTATTTATTTAGGTATTTTGGGATCTCTTTACGGGGCCGTGCCGACAGTTGAATCTGCTAATTATATCATCTCGGTGAATCAGTTCATGACAGATATATACATTAACCTTGTAGCCTTCATCCACAAAGACTTCTATAATAGACTTGTTGGTTTTGATAAAATGTCGAAAATCATCCACGTTGGTAGAAAGACCAGCAAAATTGATGACAGCCAATCGTACTTTTCGATTTGCTTTTGTGATGAAGCTAAGCATAGTCTGAGAATCACTGCTACGTCCCAAGAAATTCTAAGACAAATTATGATATTTGTCGTTATAAAGCGACAAAATCGGGTCATTGGCGGACATGTTGATCGACACAAAGACTTTCTTTTTTAGTTTGTATATCTGAAGATCAGCAGATTTTATTTTGGCAGTCATTGGGTTTTTAGTATTGCTTTTTCGAGTATATCCAATAGTACAAATGCTTGAAATTGTTGGTTTTACATTTGAGTGGAACTGCTGCACATTGCTGCTATGCTTCCATGTAAAATCCCGGAGTTCTTGATGGATATAATCATTCCAATGGTCACACTTCCGTTATTCATTTATTTACTTTCGTTTAGCCGGACTCCATGCACCGTATTTGGCCATCCATTCACATAAATGGTTAGAAGTCAAGTTACCGTCAGGCAGATATAATTTGACAATGGTGAAGACTTCGTCTTCCGTTAAGAACAGCTGTTGTGTTAAAGTTGCAATATGATCCAGGGACATTACTTGGTTACAAAGATCAATAATGCTGGATTGTGATGGTGCAATAGAACTACACTATTGGCTGATATCCCTGCCACTGTTACTGGCTTGTTCACATTCATCTGTAGCCACAATTGAAGTTTGTGATAGGTTGTGAGCTGTTGTTTCAGTATCTGTTATTGTTTAATGCGTGGATGTCAAACATTTGAACTTTCAAGGCTCCATATTTACTTTCTTTATTGAAATAGCAACAGCAGATGTGGGATCGCCATTGACAATCGCTAAATTTTAGGAGGACAATGTTTCCTGGTGGCAGACGATGTTTTGATTCCACCAGACCACAAACCGTGACCTTTTTGCCGGCATTGGATAACTTTATCCGGTCCCTAAGAATCCAATCTTATTATAATAATTAATATAAACAAGGATACAAAATATTTATAGGCATTTTTCTTTGTGTTTTGGGGGGGAAAAGAGTGGACGGAGAATACTTACCAGTTGGTGAAAGAAAGAGAAAGACACAATACGCGTAAGAAGCCTAATAAATAGTAAAATATCCAACAAAATTGAGTCACAATCTAATGACAACAACTTTTTATGATCTTCTGCATAGCTGGCTATCGATATAGTGTATTTGTGATTAATTACTATTATTTCTTTACTGTCAAGTCTAAATTTAGGGCGCAAACTGCTATTAATTGAATATACAGGATTTGTGTTTCGTACGAAATAGTATTTCATTATTAAGTTGCCCAAAGACAGGCCGTAACTCTTAAAAGAATGAGAGGTAGGTATCTTTGGAGAGATTGATGAACACACAAAGTTTGGGGACAAAGTAGTAAGCTGATGCACACAATGGATATATTGTACTTATGTACATATCTTTATGTGTATGTGTGTGCCTCCAGTCCAATAATTAATTTCTTTCCACGACATGAACAAGTAACTTTCAAAACCACAATATCTTGGCCATGTAAACCGGTATTTAAGCATATCTTCCAAAGTATATCAAGGAAGACTTTGCTAGTTATCCAGTAAAGCGATTGAATGATTGTTTAAGCCTACAGCCCATATAAAAAGTAAAGCTTTCAAAAATGCGACATAATTTTCTTTAATTCATGGCTGAAAGCAAGTCACCCAAGAATTGTTTGAGACCATCAGAAGGCAAATTAGGAAGGTGGATTAAATAAAGATAATATGTGTCAGCATATTTATTGGTTACTGTAGTGATTTAGGAACTAATGCTTCAAGCCACTTTCATTAAGACATATGTCTCAGTAATATTCTGCTTGACTGGTCCAACCAATACAGTTGTCGGCTGTTACTGTCAAACATGTCTCTATGATACGAGGTGTTAGAGTATCCTCCGTATCTAAAGGGTTTCTTCTTATATTGCTCTTAATTTTAGACCAGCACTCTTCTATAGGATTAAGAAGATGGGAATAGGGTGAAAGTAAAAGAGGCTTGTATCCACAACTATTGATAGCCTCAACAACAAATTCGGAATGATGGATACGTCAATCATCCGTGACTATAAAGTAGTCTCTTCTGTCTAGCCTTTCCAACATGTTTATGGTAGCTTCCGTAAATTTAACAATATGATAGGCGGTGGTTCCTTTCTTGGGCTTTGGTTTAGCCTCCTTCTGACTGTTTGGTTTTTGTTTCTTGCCCTTATTCTCCTCCTTTGAATGAAATTCACTTTCAATTATCTCGGCATCAATTTTCCTGATAGGATCTACTTTCAGAAAATTGAATAGATCGAAAGATGCAATGCAGCCGATTATACTGGTGTTAACACCCTTTGTGTATGCACCTTGACCATAGCAGGCATTCCTTTTCTTGGCCACGCCCTTACATCTCGTCATTTGCGATTGAAAACCGTCCTCATCAATAAAAAACGCAATTTTCTTGAAAGTTTACACCTATGCGCTTCTATTCACTAAAAGCCTTATTATATTTCAATTGTGCGAGGAGAATCTCGTGTGTGTATACTTTGTCGCGTTCTTCAAGGTTAGCCAGCATTTCCCTGGTTATATGTTTGTGAAGGCCACGTATAGAGATTTCCAGTCCTTTGAGATTTCTACATAGCTTCTCTCTAGCAACTTCTAAAGTAATCGTCGGTCTTTTGTCGAACAAGGTTAATAGGGAGCCCCGAGTGCTCTTCAAAAAGCTTTCTAGGAAGACTAGTTGGTATAATTGATGCTTTTGATGAATTATATTCCCTGAAAAGTTCATAGACAGAAACTACGAGGGATACCACATTCTTCTGCTGCTTTGGGTATCGGCAAGCTCTTTCTCATGAATCAGGTCAATCATTCGCTTTATTTTATCGTGGCCGTATTTTTTTTATATCGATGTTTATTTCCCTTCTAATTATACCTCTTCCATCTGAACAGTTATAGTTTTGACGGCTTCTTCCATCTCAGCTACTTTTGTTCCGGCAGCCCTTTCGAAATCAATGATCATTTCCAAATCTCCGTGTTTAATTGTGATGTCTTAAAGGTCCATCTCATCAGATGAGATTTCGTCGGCTAAAAGTGGCTCATTGGCTGGATTGTTAATGAATAAAGTCTATAATCTTCAAGAACTGGTTTTCAAAAATATCTTGATGTGTTTATTTCGTCCGGCAAATTTATTTTTTGTTTTTTTTTTTCTGTCCTAGAAATTTCTTTAAATCGTCCAGAATTAAAGTTCAAATTCTGTAGCGCTATTATTATTATTATTGTTGTTGTTGTTTTGTCGCCCGAACCTTTTGACGGATCTTTGGTGAACATATATCATATATATATATATTAGTATGTAGATTATAATTCTTTTTTTCCTCATATCTCTCTCATTTTATTAATATTAATATTATTATTATTATTATTATTATAGCTCAGTTTTAGACTGTGTGAGCAAATCAAACTAAACTTGTTTCAATAAATTTATACAAAATAAGAAGATTAAATGGATAAACAATCTTGAGGATGATGTAATAGATTATTTGATGATCAGTGATCTCTGCAGTCATTGATGGACCGGGTGTATTGGTTACCTTGGTTACCTTGGTTACCCTGGGTATCTTTGTGAATAGGTTAGACTGTTTCTATATATATATATTATAGGTTTTCAATTTCATGGTAAAATAATGTCTATATGTATACGAATGTACGCTTATCTATATATCTAACAAAAAAAAAGTCTATTTTTTACCATTATTATATGAATTGGCAAAGAGTACTATGTATAGTAAACATAGTGGTGTTGTATAATAGTTTAGTTTACTGTTATTGAAACATGAATACTTGTTTTATTATCGTTACCATTATATTATTCTTCTGATATATCGAATTATGCGTATTAGTATGGATATATGATTTAATGTGTTTGTGTGCTTAAAGTCTTTTTTTTTTAAAAAAATAAATAAAAAAAAAGGATCAAAGAGGAAAATATCCTTTTGAAGTTGGCTTGGACGGAATCAATTGGTGGTAATTGTGGCAGTGGTGGTATTGTATCCATTCTGACCGTCTATTTGACTTTCTTCATTTAAATCTAATATTGTGCTTGATTTCTGCTGGACTTCAAGACGATTCTTGGCTTCCATGTGCCCTAGCTGTACTGCTCTGCCGAACCATTTCTTGGCTTCTTTTGGTACAGGGTAGTCAAGACCAATTCCACGCTCACAATAATATCCAATCACATAACATGCCTTGGCCATCACCCACCGATCCCGTGTACTTAGTGTGGCTGCCTTGCGTGCCCATAGATATGCCTGCCTGTCAGATTGCTCCAATAATCCGCCACCTCCTTCTGATGATCCGGTCAGGTACCAGGCCGATAGGGCAAGTGCGCCTTCAGGATTGCCCTGTTCTGCTGCAAGTGAGTACCAATAGACAGACTGGGCCGGATCCTCTTCAACAAGATCACCGTGCTCGTACATTTCTCCTAGTTTAATTTGACTGACCGCGTGTCCGAGACTTGCTGCCTTGTGCAGAAGCTCGAGCCCATAAAAGTGGTCGGTTATTATACTGGTATCTTTGCACTCGCCCGTTATATGTATCATGGCAAGTGTATAAAGAGCATGCGGGCATTCTGCAGATGCAGCATTGGCAGCTCTCTGCAGCCATGCCATGCCCTCACGCGGAGATGATGACTGGCCGCACCTGCCGTCGAGAAGAATGATTGCTAGTTTGTACATGCTCCGTAGATTAGACATCACGGCCGCCTTTCGATAGAATGCCATTGCTCTTCCTTCGTCTGGTCTGGTTCCGATCCCAAGTTCGTAGCATACTCCGACTCGATAAGTTGCCTCGGCATGACTTTGCTTGGATGCTTGGATATACCACACAAATGCACGCTCGTGGTTGATGCGCATCCCAAGCGCACCCATACCAAAGCAGTTTGCTAGTATGAACTGTGCTTCACTGTTGCCGCTCTTTCCACGTTCTAAACCAACCGTGGCTAGCTTTTTGAGGATTCGCTGGGATTCCAATACCATTGTATTGCTCAAGCAATTCTCCTTGTTTTTTCTTGACTGGTTTTTTTGTGGTCCTGGTGCTGGTGTTGGTGTTGATACTGGTGCTGGCGGGCATTGTGATGCAGAATACATGAGATGATTACAAAGCGAGAGAATTAGGGTTGGATTTCCTGATGCATTTGCCTGTTCGCACATCGCATAGACCTGCTCATTGGACACTGGGGTTGGCCAAGAATAACTGTCTTGATAGAGTGAGCTGAAAATGGGGGGTGTTGAGGCTGCTGCTACTCCTGATGCTGATATTGTTTTTTGGGATCCAAAGGTAGGCTTCCGGACGTGTCTAGAGTGTGCTTGCGAAGTTCGTGGCCCGGGGGTTTCATCTGGTGCCTTGTGGCGATAGAGACCCGAGTATTCATCAAAGTACCATTGGCCGGCTTGCGATGACTGTAGTTTGTTACGGTATTCGTGGTTTATTTCGGCAGTTTCGAGAGGGTTTGGATAGAGCAGATCGACGACATTTCCCTCTTCTTCTTCTTCATCATCTTCTTTCGTTTCCGTTGAATTTGGAGTTAAAGATGTTGATGATAGACTTGGGGTTCTGTGGATACTCATTTGTGATTATATATCAATTATAAAAAAATGTATGGTGATGATAACAATAACAACAGCAATAGAAATAGCAACAATAATAGTAAAGCCAATAAAGAATTTAAAGACGGCAAGAATGGATGAAATCGCAAGAACCTCTATTTGATTTATTAAAATATATATATATTGTATTTGTTATTAAATCTTGTCAAGCTATTATGTTTACACTGACAGTAATAATGTTAATAAGAAGAATTTTCCGAATTTTTTTTTTAAAAAAAGAATCATTTATATATATATATATTGATTTGCTTTGGTTTTCAAATCAACAGCCAAAGTTTGTAGTCTGTCCTATGGATAAAGTCTAACTCATATAATACAAAGCATAAAGTATATATACATATACAAATAGCTATTCAAGTGACAGTAGTAACGAAGATGAAGATGAAGAGGCTGGTAAAAATGAAAATGAAAGTGAAAGTGAGATTCTCTATATTTTAGTTTCTTTGGCACCAATTAGGTGTATAAAATGTGTGTATATGTGTGAGAGAGAGAGAGTCTGTGCGAGATAAGACAGATAGAGAGGGAGAAAAATAGCGGGGAATATTGAGATTTAGTGAAAGGCACTACAGAAGCAATGGACGCGGCACTTATTTTTTCATTATTATTATTTTTATTTTTTTTGGGGGAGGAGAGGAATAAAGACAACCCGCTTCTCTGGACTACGACGACAACGACAACGACAACGACAATGACAACGACAATAATTTATTTATTTATTTATTTGATTTTATCTTTGGGGGTAACAATTACATTCCCGCGTTCCTTTGACTTGGCCTTCCTTGTCACTTAATAACAAAGAAGAAAGAAAATCAGTATATATAATTTGATTTGATGTATGATTTTCAAGTCTATCAAGAAGTTGTCACAATTCACATAAAATCCAATTGAAAGGCACATAACAACAGCAAAACAATAGCATGTATATAGAACACAGCATAATATTATACAATATTGCAATTATTTGTGTTTGTGTTTGTGTTTGTGTTCGTGTTTGTATTGTACGTATCTAAGCTGTTTTTTTTTTCTTGCTTTTGCTTTTGCTTTTGCCCCATAAGAAGAAGAAAGGTGTGGAGTACATTTGTGTGACAGTATTCCAACGGCGCCATGGATATCTGTGTAGATATATTTTGCCTTTTTGCTCAATGCTTACCCAAGCAGTAATATTAATAGGGAATATTGATAGGAATAGGAATAATAGTGACAGTAAAAAGTAAAATATAATATATAATATTATAAAATGGTAGTCATGGAAATAGTAATAAAGTTAAAGGGGTTAAAGAACTTAACCCAACAGAAGAACCTTTAATTATTTATTTCATATCCCGATCTGATAGTGAACAACCGTCGGCTAAAAGAAAAATCTGGCTTACGATTGGACCCTACAGATCTCCGATAAATCAAGTAGAATAGTAAGGCACAATAATGATAATAATCACAAAAAATACATAAGTACATAAGTACATATATTCAAGTCTGATCCTGATTATTATGATTTTTTTTTAAAAAAAAAGCTCATAATGAAATGAAGCTCATATAAAGTGCTATAAAGATAGAAGAAGAGCCAAAACATGATGTAGATAGCCCAGGAAAAAAAAAGATAAAGTAGTTCTTCTATTGAACTGCTTTTTATACAAACTAGGCGTACTGTACATTGAAGACTGGATAATAAAAGCTGAACACTGAACAGATTACACATGTATACAATGGCTTACATATTGTATATTGGTAAGCTGTATATTGTGGGATTTTTGGAATAATTTTGGGTTTGGCGGGTTACCAGCATCTCCGGACACACCCGTACCTCTTTGATAAAGCTTATTGTATTGCTTGACTGAACCAAAAAAAAAAAAAAAAAAAAAAAAGAAAAGCCTTTATATCGTAAATATAGGACCGTACCTTTTTATTTTTTTATTTTTGTGGCCGCAATGAACCGGAGCACAACGTCACCAGGCGGTTGTACGAGTAAGGTCTCTGGTATTCTCCATCAGGTAAGTGCATGTGATGTAGACCTTGTTCTGTTCCGAGCACTCCCATTACCCCGCATTCACCTCACATCGATTTGGTGTGATTGGCTGTGATGATGCTTACGAAGGGCGAATGTTAGGTGGGGGATGGCGGAGTCCATCTTAAAAAAAAAAATATCCAAGGGTACCTCCTTTTAGCAGTATTCTTGTGCTGACCGTATATATACACACAGACGTTTAACTTAGTTGTAGTAGGTGTAGTCTGGTCAGGTCGGCTATAGAAGCATATGAAGATGACAAAATAGCTTATAAGCCCGCTTTGGCATTTGTGTATATATATAAGCTCGTCCAAGACCTCCCTTCAAATAAATCTCCTTTTTCTTTTTTCTTTTTTCTTTTGCTTTTGTTCTTTCTTCTCTTCTCTTCCGTTCGACTCTACTCTCGACACTCTCCACTCTAACAAATAAACATATAATACACCAAAATGAGCAAGAACAACGGAAACACCAAGAAGACACCTCTCCTCACCCATCTCGTCGCCGGTGGTGCTGCTGGTTTTATGGAGGCCTGCACTTGTCATCCTCTCGACACCATCAAAGTCAGAATGCAACTCGCCAAGAATGTCCAAAGAAGCGCTGCTGTAAGTTTTGTTTAAAGAAATTCATCTTCAAGTGTTTTCTGACCAATTACTTTTTTTTATATATATCTATTCACAGGGCAAGCGTCTTGGTTTCATCGGTGTAGGTGTTAAGATCGTCAAGACCGAATCATTCTGGGCTCTTTACAAGGGTCTCGGTGCTGTTGTTTCTGGTATTGTCCCCAAGATGGCCATTCGATTCAGTTCTTTCGAGCTCTACAAGGAGTGGATGGCCGATGAGAACGGTCATGTGAGCACCGGATCTGTATTCCTTGCTGGTCTCGCTGCCGGTACCACCGAAGCCATTGCCGTCGTTTCTCCTATGGATTTGATTAAGATTCGCCTGCAGGCTCAGCGTCACTCTATGGCTGATCCCATGGATATCCCCAAGTACCGCAACGCACCCCACGCTGCTTATACCATTATCAAGGAGGAGGGTATTACTGCTCTCTACAAGGGTGTAACCTTGACTGCTCTCAGACAAGGTAATTAACAATAACAATAACAATTAGTGAACAAAGAAGGGTGGCTATATATATATATATATATATATATCTTTGAGAGAGAGAGAGAGTGTGTGTGTGTGTGTGAGTGATTATGTGCGTATACATATGAATATGAGTATGTTTTAACATATTTTTTGGGTGGGTGTGTGTGTGGCTGTTCTTAGCTACCAACCAGGCCGCCAACTTCACTGCTTACCAGGAGTTCAAGCACCACGCTAAGCGTCTCCAGAACCTCGATGAGTTGCCCTCTTACCAGCATCTTATCTTGGGTGGTGTTTCTGGTGCTATGGGTCCTCTTTCTAATGCTCCCATTGATACCATCAAGACTCGTATCCAGAAGTCCAGTGCCCCTGGTTCTGGATGGGACCGCTTCAAGTTTGTCACAACTGAGATCATGCAGAAGGAAGGTCCTCGCGCATTCTACAAGGGTTTGACACCTCGTCTGTTGCGTGTTGCCCCCGGTCAGGCTGTCACCTTCATGGTTTACGAGAAGGTCAAGTCATGGCTTGACTTGGTTAACGACAAGGTCTCCGAGAACGAGACTGTCAAGCTTACTGCTCAGAAGTAAACAAGCAAACAAACAAAAATAAGAAAATGAAAGAAGAATATAAAAGATAAAAAAAAAGTATATATCTCCCAACCTTTCCTCCTCCACACACCCACATACACAATATCCCTCTGTCTCACTCACTCACAAACACATACTATCAATAGATCCACCATATTCTTGCTTTAACAATTAAGAAATAGAGAAAAAATGAAAACATAGTAATATGCAATGTGTAGAAATGACTACAAGAAACAGAAACATATTGTGTATGTATATATATTAAAGAAAAAAGAACAGGATACTTCTTGTTCCTTTTTTTTGTACCCAAAGATCAATGATCTACATCTTTCTCTTTCTCTTCCTTTAACCAACTTCCTCCTTCCTTCTTCCTCTTTAAATCTCCCTGTAATCAGTTTCCTACAGTTCCGCCCTTTACTTTTTTTTTAAAATTTTTTTTTTCCATTTTTAAAATAAATATATATTCAAAAAAAAAAATTACACACAAATAGTATTCAATGTTGTACTGTTTCTGTTACTGAATTTGTTACTTAACTGTTTTAAATCAAATTATCATGAGCAAAAAGAAAGCTAGACAATACATACTTACATACAGTCAGTCAGTCAGGCATTGTAATAAACATGTGAAAGAGTATAGATAATTTAGTAATTGGTTTACTTGATATATAATACGTTGGTCATTTTTCGAATCCCTTTTATAATCATAGTAATCTTTCTATATTCGCATACGTTTTACAGTTTATTTTGTAGAAAACTAGAGGGTTTATAAATCCAGAATCGTAAAGAACCGGCGTATACTTCCCACACAAGAAATACACTTCTTATTTATTTATTAATTATTTTTTTGCACTCACAGCTGAAGCTTATTATTCCATAGTTAGATGCTTGGACCCACATGATGAAGAAGGTAGTATGTAATCATTCCCATCGTTTTCTTTTGTCGATATTACCTAATGGTCTTTCTGTGGGTATTCGTGAAGAATCGTACACAGGTACAGCCGACACGGAACTCGAGATTGTTTTATTGCATAGATCCATATCAACATCTTTACTATTCATGTTTTGTACTACATCAGATTCTAATATTTATTTATTTATTTATTTCACCCCACACTTTACCAGTTGTATTTTGATTGGCCCGTCATGGTGTACGCACACACAGTATATATCTATATATCTATCTATCTATTTTTTGTCTTTAAAAATAATATTCGATACACAGTGGAAATGGATAGAGCTACTAGCCACTTTAGAAACCAGGTAGCTTGATTGAATATATGTATTATGCATCATGGTTATTGTCTCTTGGCTTTGACAGTTAATAAAGTTGTACATGTCTTATCAGATTGGAATCGCTTGACAAACAAGGAAAGAACTTTATATGGCATTTGATGACAGAATCTTGTGTGAATATATCCATCAAAAGTTTCATAAGCCTAAATTGAATTGAATTGAATTGTATTGGCTTGGCTTGGCTTGGATTTTTTTCTTTTATTTCTTCGGCTCTTTTTTTTTTTAATCAGCACGTGCCAGATCTATAGCTGATGACTGATTGTAAGTGCAGATCAGTGTGCAAGATCAACTACAAAAATAAATAAATATAATCTAATTTGCTCCTGTTATTTCAACCGAATTCTTTTCCAACTGTTTAGAGTCAGCAAATAATAGAACTCTTTAAATTCTTTTATATTATATTTTCTTTACGTGAATTATCTAACAAGAAGACTATTGACCAACCAATAAAAAAAAATTGAAAAGATAGACAGTTGCTTCATTGCGAGGCACTTTTATCGTATTCGAGGCACTTTTATGTGTTTGTGTCTGACCAATGATTTTATAGATTTTATAGATTTTCTTTTTTTTTTGCGTTTTTTTTTTTTTTTTTTTTTTTTTTTTTTTTTTTTACAGAATCGAGACGTTCCTGGTATTATTATTTATTTATTTTTTTAAAAAAAATAAGAAATCCATCAGGAACGTCTTCAAAGGTTACAACTTAATAATTACTTTTTACACAATTTAGAAGCTAAAATAGTTAATATGACTTCTATATATATACTCTACATTTCTTCAAATAAAGAGATATAGTGCCAAATAAGATAGACTCCTTCTACTAATATTATTATTATTGAAAACTCTTGTAATATAAATCATAATCTTGTTTATTATATTTTATCAATTCCAGACGAATAAAATACAGAAAAGAAAGACATAAGAAGAAGAAGGGGGGAGCAATTGAATACACAGCTTACAAGCCTTTCAGCGGGACAAGGTCGGCGCATTTGGCGTCAATAGTAAAAAAAAAACGTTTTGCTCATCATAGTAATTTTTTTATTTGATTTGCTACATTATAGACAGAGATATCAATAGAAACAGTCAAAGAAGGATAAGAATAAGAATAAAAGGCATGAAAGCATAACAAAACCCAAGTGCATTTATACATACATGCATACACATAGGTTTCCGTCTGTTTTTTTATTTTTTATTTTTGTGTGTGTATGTTAGGGTTACCTATTCCAATGTCAAATATGGTATCAAAATCACACCCGTTTTCTAGTCATGCCAAAGAGCCCTGGAATATCCTTGACGATCTTGCTCAGTCTCTAATCCCCCCCAAAAAGAAAGAAGTAAAAGAAATGATAGTAACGAAAGGTAGAAAAACCAAAAACCAAAAAAAAAAATCCATTCTTTATCAATAGATATGTGTATATGTATATGCATGTATGCACACACGCACAAATCATGACTTGAAATCATGTGGTGTTTTGTTGTGCTCTAGGTCGATTCGAATCCATTCACCCACCCACATAGACATTTATCTTTTAAACTAACTTTCTTATTATGTGGTTGTATAGCTTGATATATTAGAAGAAAAAGGGCATTTATCGGTTTGAATAGTCCATGAGGCTTGATAATAACCCTAAAGAAAGAAAGAAAGAAAGGAAGGAAAATGAAAATATTCTAATATTATTTCTTATTGTTTTTGTATCCTTGTCGGTTCATAGTGATCAAAGAGCGTGCCAACAAGATACATATATATCAGTCCGTCAGTCAGTCAATCAATCGATCTTACCCACCGAACCCATTCACCTCCTTCCTTCCTTCCCTCCTTCCTTCCCTCCTTCATTCTGCCCCCCCACCCCACCCCACCCCACCACTCTCCACCACACTTTAGCCTACCCCATCCCGCCACGCCCCTCTTATAAGAGCATTGCCTCTATATATATAATGTTTTGATTATTTTGGGATGTCTCCGTGAGATGACTAAAGAGAGGTTTGGATATGTGAACTATATAAATATATTACCCCCAAAGAAAATAAGGTGTATAATGACAGGAGGCACCATTCATTCATTCATTCATTCATTCGAACATAGACGTGTGCGTGTGTATATGCACATAATTTGAAATTTTCTAAAATGGTAATTTATTGTTATTACTACAACCACAATTTATGTAACTGCTACTGCTATTGCTACTGCTACTTCTATTGTTACTTTTATTGCTATTTACCAACTGATATACTTTGGAACACATGTATATATATATATTATTTCACCAATAAATAAACATATAGACAGACAAAAAAAAAAGATCCTTTATTTTGCTGTAATGGTAATAATGTTTTATATATACTTCAATATTTAATAGGTACCTATGTTGAAGGGAGATCAAGGACACAAGATCACATAATTATGTCCTTTAGATTTTCCCCCAAAAGCTGTAATGTATTCATCCTTGTTGTTGCTATAATTATCTGTTTATTTATTTAGTTTCGAGGGTTATAATTTTTACAAAGCACAAGAATGGTAACATCAAAGCAATTCAATATTAACAGTAACAGTAACAGTAACAATAATCTTTTTTTTTTTTAAAAAAATATAAATAAATTGAAATCTTAATATATAGATATAATGCGTAGAGTGCACTTTATCAACCCAACATTCCCAGGTTATCATTCATAACTTGAGCATATCTGTTGTTGGATCATTCCTCTCATTTGATAAAATATATAAAGTAAATCTGTACAAAAAGGTTCACATTTATCATGACCCTTGACTTGGACAACAGTACTAAACAACAACAAAAAGTCATTTTGTGTGTAAAGATATTTATTGATATAATCACATTTTTATTTGTATTTTTATTTTTTGGGTTGTTAATCTTGTCACTAGAATCATTAGAATTCTGTGCATAGATGTGATAATTCAGATCCAAACCTGTATGCAAGGGGATAATAAATAGATAAATAAATAAATAGATAGAGTAAAGTAAAGGAGGTTTTGGGGGGTGAGGGTAAGATTTTATTCAATTTTCATTGTAATTATTACAAGAGAAATTATAGCCTTATTTGCCATATAATCTGTTAATTGAAATATATATATATAAAATTGTGGGGTAAAATAATATTAGTAATTGATAAGAATCGACAGCAATCTTACTATCAATATTTGGCGTTAATATATAAATATATTGGCGTGTAACTTTTGATTATTATTATTATTATCATAATAGTATCTAATCTATACTTTTTGACTTCTTTATTAATCCAGAGGTCATGTTTTCATTATGGTCATTTGAATGATGCAATTGAGAACTAAATTGATAATTAAATCATAAAGAAGTATCATACATCATACTATATTCTTAAATGATGATGATAATGAAAGGGACTATGTGTGATCTGACTAACCAATAAAAGACAAAAAAGAAAGAAAAGCATGGCCAAGCAAATGTAATTGGTGCATTGGATAGAAGTCAGGACTGATTTATATATATATATATATATAAAGAGTAAAATAGAATAGAATTGAAAAAAAAAAGTTCCGTTTTTTGAATGTGCAAGATGCCCTTTAAGAGTCTAATGTACCTGTCATCGTGGCCAATACAGCAAAGTTTAAACACAAACCTGGGTCCCTTTTCTTCTTCTTCTTTATATGTCCCCCAAAAATCTCCTCCTTTTTACTTTCCGCCCTTCTATATTATTTTATTATTATAATTATTGCTATTATTTGATTCGTACATAAACCAATCTTTTCTCTTTTTGTTTGAAAGACGTGGTTACCATTTTTCAAAATCATAGTAATAATAATAAATTATTCAAATATAGATATAACTTTAAGCTATAAAAAATTATTTCTTTATTGGTTGGGTTAATAACAAGCGCTCGATCCATGGAACAGCCTAATGATCACAATAATAATGTTATTTATTTATTTATTTATTTTTCATTGTAGGTTTGTAAAATCGTTCAATTGAATTCAATTGGTCAACAAAAAGTGTTGTATAGTGCGTGCATTATATTTGGAATAAGGAATATTTAAAAGCAAATAATAATCAAAGTTTTTGGTTTTTCGGACTTGCTGATTTTGTGGGGAAATACAGTTTTTGTCCAAATCTGTTTTTGGTTACTTGTCCTCTGTGTCCTTTGTGTCCTTTGTGGACTTGTGTGTCTGTAAGCAAAATAAAAATAAAAATCAAAAAAATTTAAGAATAAATATGTAGATTGTATATATATATATATATATATATAATTAAAACATTAGGGAGTGCTTCGGGAGCGATTTACCATATCAATACAAGGTTTTCTCTCTTACTTTTTATGTCTTGCAACAGAAGCACAACCAAATGGCCAAGAAGAGTAAGAAACATTTTATATTGCCAACTTGTCCTTTTCTTAAATAATCAAAATAATTGTCAAACCTCTGCAGGTATAATATATATATATATATATATATATATATATTGTGGAAGAGGTTCTAAACATTTATTTTTTTAACTACACGCCAAACGGTTTCTACATTGACATTTCGGTGTCTGTGAATTTCAGAATACGTTAATCCACAAAGATGTCCCCTTTTTTACCAGCTCAGAGTCTGTTATAGTTACGTTGAGTTGTATTTTTCTTTTTTCATACTTATAATGGTGGTATAGACAGCTGTAAAGAAGAAAAAGAAAAACGTCCAAAATTCAAATAAGAATCTTTCTTCTTAAAATCAATTTGATTGGACAAAGGTTGAACAATTTTCTTTTTGACAGAAATAAATAGTACCATTTCAGTTTAATATTCTTTTCTCAAAAACTGATTTTCTTTTTCTTCTTTGAATTGGTGGTGTTGATAGTGGTGGTACTATTAATTTAATTAATTTATAAAGTTAATATTTGAAACAGTTTTTTTTATACCAATTTTCTAAACCAAATTTTCTTAAAAAAAAATAAAAAAATAAATAAATGATGTACGTTGAAAGAAAGTCACTTTTTCTTTACCACAAAATGATTGCAAAAATAAAATAAAATAAAAATATAGTATAGTATAGTATAGTATAGTATAGATATAAAAGATCTTTCACAATGTCCAATAAACGTCCTCATGGTGGTAACAAAGATGCCAACAAGAATAAACGATCAAAGGTAAATCATCAACACCAAAAGGCACAATTCATTAACCATCTGCTTGGCTTGTAAAACACCAAGTAAAAAAGAATCACATTTCTTTGCAACCCGGAATGACTGGTGTAATGGTCACTTGTACCCGTGGCAAAGAGCCTGCTGCCGTCAAGGAAATCACAGACGTCTTTTATCAAGTAAAGTTTAAAATAATATTAATAATTGAAATTAAAATATATCTTATTGTCTTATTGTCTTGTTATATATAAAACTATGAAAAATATAACCCTTTATTCATCTTTCTCTCTATTTTGTTTTTGTTTTTGTTTTTGTTTCACTTGCTTTTCTATGTTTTGCACACGCGTACTTAGTATGCCGAAACATTATATCCTGAGGCTGAAGATGATGAAGAAGAAGTCGACGAAGATGAAGATATCGAGGCTACTATTGCAAGAGAAGTCGCTGCTCTCAAGAAACAATCCAGTGCAGGAGGAAAAAAGAAGTTTTCCAATATTGCTACCGGAACTACTTGCTGTACGTCTCTGTGTTTTTTTTCTCTTTATCTTTGATTATGCAGTAGTTAACCATTAAATATCTAAAAACCAAAAAAAAAAAGAAAGAAACCAAATTAACAAGAGTGTGTACAAATATATATATATATATATATGTGTGTGTGTGTTTCTTTTCTGTAGTGGCATTTATCAAGACAGCTCCTCCAGTCGATCCATGTGCTTTTGTACACCAGATCTTGACAGACATGAACACAACTCAGGTCAAAAAGACTCGCTATATTTCCCGTCTCTTGCCAGTCCAAAACACATGCAAGTCAAGCCTAGAGTCAATTGAACAGCTCGCTAAAGAGCTGGTTGCTCCCAAATTTAATGTTCCAAACGCTAATGGTGAGATTAAACCACGTACGGTACGTATCTTCTTTGTTGCTGTCGGAGGGAAGAGTATTAAAATGTTAATTGACATTCCAATGAATTAATGAATGAATTATTTATAGTTTGCTGTAATGGCCAGAATTCGTAATTGCACAAAATTGGATCGAATGGAAGTCACCATGAAACTTGCTGGAATTGTCGGACAACCTCATGTGGTTGATCTCACTAACCCAGAATTGATGATTATTGTTGAAGTGATTCAGGTACGAGATTTTTATTTTTATTTTCTTACATTTTATGTAAATGCGTGCGTGCATGCGATTGCGTATAATGTGAATCTGTAGCTGTTATTGCTATTTTGATTTTTCTAAATCTATAACCATATTTTCATTATTTGTGATCATTTAGAATGTGTGCATGATGTCAATTGTCGAGGATTTCTACAAGTTGAAAAAATACAACATTGAAAGCTTGTTGGGTGTGAATGATGCTGGTGTACCAAAACCGATCAAAGCAAAAGTAAAAGCAAAAGAAGGCGATAAAGAAGAAAAGGAAAAACCCGAAGAAACGGAATCAAAAGTAGAGACCGAAAAGGAAACAAATGAGAATGATGAAGAAAAGAAGAAGAGTAATGAGGAATCAAATTAAACTAATAATAATTATTTATTTATGCACAAATATTACTTGTTTACCAAAGAGGGGTTTTTTTTTAATAAAAAAGACGTATATGAAATAACAAAAACCTGAACGTTCACTCACTCATTCATTGTCTTTAGTATTTCCCTACCTACCTACCTACAGCTGCACTTCAAAAAATAATAATAACTAAATAATATACTATACTTCTACCCGACCACTAACACTCATTACTCCCCTCCACTCGCATATTCATTCATTCCAAAAACTATATCTATAAACTCTTTGTTTGTTGTAATTGTCTCTGACAAAAAACACGAGCGTAAGAAGACGCTTGGGTTTTTTATTGTTTGGGTTTAGTTTTTTAAATTTTGATAAGGGTTCAAAAGACCTTAAAGATCCTTCTTGAGGGGACCCAAGAACTGAGCCTTCTCGGCGGGGGTCTGGAAGCGACCGTGACCGAACTTGGAAGAAGTATCGATGAACTTGAGGGTGACCTTCTCGAGAGCGGAGCGCTTGGTGTGGACGGTCAAGGACTTGCGGAGGGTCAAGACTCTCTTCTTGGCACCGGAGACGGAACCCTTGAGGATGACAAAGTCCTCGTTGACCTCACCGTAGTGGGGGAAACCACCCATGGGGGTGATGACCTTCTCGGTGACATCGTACTCGGTCGAACCAGACTTCTTGTCGGAACCGGTGGCGATGCGGTAGATCTTCTTGTTCATCTCGGTACGGCGATGGTAACCGCGCTGACCAGCACGGGGAACGGAGTACATGACACGGGAAGGATGCCAGGCACCGATACAGGCGACCTTGCGGAGACCACGATGGGTCTTGCGAGGAAGCTTCTTGGTACCCCAACGGTGGGTGACACCCTCGAAACCGTGACCCTTGGTGGTACCGATGACATCAATCATCTCGTCCTGCTCAAAGATAGAGCCGACAGTAACCTCCTTCTCAAAGTGCTCGCGGGCCCAGTCAACCTTCTGGGAGACGTTGCCACCGTTGAGCTGGATCTCGGAAAGGTGAGCCTTCTTCTGGCCGAGTCTGGCCTTGCCAACCTGGGTGTGGGCAATGACACGGACGACAGAGCAGTACTTCTTGATGCGCTCGAGTTCACGGGTAACATCCTTAGCTCCCTCAGAGTACTTCTTGGCGTACTTGGTGAAAGCCTTCTTCTTGGAGCGGTACCAGTTCTTGTAGAAGCGACGCTTGGCCTCCTCAGACAAGTGCTCGGCCCAGACGGTGGTCAAGGAGCGGAGACCACGGGGAGTCTCGACGTAACCGACAACACCGATGATGACCATGGGGGGAGCTTCGATGACAGTGACGGTCTCGACGATCTCCTTCTTGTTCATCTTGGATCCGGGACGCTCGAGATCGCGGACAATGTGGGTCATACCAGCCTTGTAACCCAAGAAGGCGGTAAGGTGGACGGGCTTCTTGGCGTCATCCTTGGGGTAGGCCTTGACTCTACCGCGGTGGGATCTGGTTCTCTTGCGAGGGGAGAAACCCAAGTGACCGTGACGGGGAGCCTCAAACTTTCTATAATTTTTTAAAAAAGAAGTTATTTAGTAACGCATTCTTTGAAGTAACTTTTTTAAATGTTTGATATTTCTTTTTTTTTGCGAATTCAAAATTGTTTGGTGTAATTTAGTTTTGTTTTGTTTCTGGGTTGGCGTTTGATATTGTTGGTATTCAGTGTGTGTGTGTGTGTGTGGTGTTTATTTGTCGTTTGTGTGGCGTGTATTGTTGTTTGTGGCTTTCTTGACTTTAATTTTTTTTTCGAAAAAAATCTGAATTTTTTTTTACCTGTGCGACTATTTGATATTTGTTTTTTTTGTCATTGTTCGTGAATAAATTGACAAATTTAATACAGAAAATTAAAATTCGTATAGTAAAAAATAATTGATCGTGTTGGTTTGTCGTTCGAAGAAAAGGTCGTGTAAATTTTTTTTAAAAATTTTAATTTTTTTTTTTGAAAAAGTTCGTAGTGAAAATATTACATATAATTTTAAAAAAGGAGAAAAGAATATAGATTATTAGTACATGTATATTTATATATTTGTTAAAGAAGTTGGATGGATGGACATAATCAATGGATTGATTGATTGATGGATGTCGTTAGATCCTCTTTAGAAAATCTATATATCTCTCTATATATTTATATGCCTTTAATATTATTTCTTTTTCTTTTTTTCTTACCATCTTGCGCTGAGTACAGAGACAATAAAAGAGGAGGATCACATCAATCGGCCAAATTCAGGTCATTGATATTATGGGACCGGTTTGTTTCGAGCGTTGTGCGGCACACCAGACGATGACGTAAAATTCCGATGCGTCACGACCAAAGGAGTCTAAAATATCCCGAAACGATACCTCCGTTGAAACTGATCCTGCCCTTAAACTCCGTAACGTTTTAAGTTATTCTCTGACACGCACTACTCGCCCTCTTTTTTTTTCTTTTCTTCTATATACATATCTCTTTATAATGGTGAGTTTTATAAGTTAATAAGAGTATCTGAATGTTCATCTCGGTTTGTTGAAAACTTAATGTCTCATAAATTTTAAAAAAAAATACGTTTCCATTGTATGCATGTGTGAATTTCTATGAATCGAAAGGCCGCATCAAGCTCTCAGGGAATCAACACACTTTTGGATGCTGAACGTGAAGCCGCCAAGATTGTCCAAAAGGCCAAGCAGTGTAAGTTACAATATTAATTTTAATATAATATAATATAACATACTATAATGGGGCTATGTACGTTGAGTAAAATACATAGAAAGTTACACGTTTGATTAAGAGTTGGCATTTATTTATTTATTTATTTACTTATAAATACATGTGTGTGTGTGTGTTTTTTTTATTGTAGACCGTGTTCAGTGCCTGAAGGATGCTCGTTCCCAGGCTACCAAGGAAATTGAGGAACTCAAGACCCAAAAGGCTGCCGAGTACCAGGCCTTTGTTGCTCAAGTAAAATATACAATTAGATTTTATATTATTTCTTTAAAGAAAGAAAAAAAGAAAATATTAAGGGGTGGACTTGGGAGATTATGTAGTTTGATATAATTTAGAGTATAATAGAATAGTTGTAGAATGTGTGGGGTAAAACATATAAAATATGTATTATCTTGACTTACGTTTATTGATTGATTGATTAACCATTAACCTTATCATTATTACAAAAAAAAAATTATATCAAAATAGCACTCGGGTCAGTCTGATGAGACTCTTAATCAAGTCAACGCCGAGACTGATGCCAAGATTACTGAGCTCCAGGCTCTTTACGAGGAACACAAGAGTGATGCTGTTGAAAAGTTGTTGAAGGCTATTGTCACAGTCCAGGCTGTTCCCCATCAGAATATCCGTGTTTAAGAAAAATACGCACAAACAAAATATGACCAAAACCCAGAAAAAATAATAATAATTAAAGGTTGAAAGAATTGTACACCATTAAAGAGTAAATGCCATCTGGGATACCCATTGGGATACCTATTTTTATAAATATATATATATTGTATATTTATATGAGATCGTTAACATTGCATAAGTGTTGATTTTATTTTTTTTGAATGTTGGGCCATGTTGATTCTTGTTTTTTTCTTGATTAAAAAAAAACAAGGGGAAATTATAAAAGTATATAAATAATATGTATAAAGAAAACTGGTTAAATTTTCTTGGTGTAAAGTGAAGTGTAGTGTAGTGTAGTGTAGTAGTTAAATGAGGTATAATAAAAGAAGAAGAAAAAAAAAAGTGAATAGTAATATAGTAATAATAATAAAAAAAAATATGCGTTGAGAGGGAGGTTAGGAGAGTAGATGAAAAAAGGGGCGGAGGAGGAGGATTGGTTGAAATTTTTTGTTGTTATGTAAAATGGGTATAATGTTTAGAATGTTATCTTTTTTTTTGGGGTGGGTTATTTGGGTGAATGAACTTTTCTTTTATACTCTTTATTTTTCTTCATCTTTTTCGGTTTCCTTTTTCTTTTCTTTTTTGTTTCATTCACCTGGTTGCTTGTATAAAGAATATAGCTAACCAATAAGAATACAATAAAGAAAGAAGAAAAAAGCAAGAAAAGAAGAAGAAAAAAATAAAGCATATAAAAGACAAGAAGTATGAATGCAATGAGGATATATAAAGAAAAGAAGAAGAAAAAAAGTATAAAGATGGTTGATCGTAACATACAAATTAAAATAGCAAGAAATGGATTTGAAAGCAAAGAAAATGGTTCATGATACAAATAATAAAGTGAAAATATATAAGAAAGCAAAATGGGTTGGTTTACATATGGATAATTAAAAAAATAATAAAAAAAAATGGTTCATAAGGATATTGGTGGTAGTGGTGGTAGTGGTATTTTTGGTGTTTGTACAAGTCATATATATATATAGAAAAGAAATAAAGAGGAGAGAAGGTGGGGTAAGAAAGAAGAAAAAGAAGAAGAAAAAAAAAAGGGGGGGGGGAGAAATATTCTGGGGTAAAGGGAAGAGATATAGAGGGTGAATGTGGGACATGAAAGAGAACAAGTGGAGTGAAATGAAGGTGTGAGTGAGTATATAGAATAAATAAATAAATAAATAAATAAATAAATAAATAAATAAATATAAAGAAGTATAGAATTGGGGAAGATGCTTAGGCTCTAGAGATGTCTTGAGGTCCGTTTGCCAAACTGACCATAACCGAGGCAGAAAGGATGCTTAGGAATTTACACCATTTCCAGCTTGATCCCACAGCATTGTTGGCAATCTCGATTGACTGCTTCTTGCCGTGCTCGAGCCAGGAAGATGGGGAAAACGGGGAGGGATAGATCTGGACTGATGACTGGCGCATGGCTACCACAGTGTCCTTGATCTCGGCAAATGATCGGCCACTGAACTCGGGGTTATTAAGGATATTGAGGATGTCTTCCATCAGATCGCTGTCATATTCAGTGTCATCGTTGGCAATGTTTTCGATTTCCTCTAGAATCTTGACATGTGTGGGGTAACCGTAGTCACCTCCTTCGCCTTCGCCTTCTTCTTCGTCTTCATAGTCATCATATTCATCTCTCTTGTTGCATGGAGGGTCAAAGATCAATTGGCGGTAGGGCTTGGAATCTCCAAGAGAGCACATGTCGTCGTCCTCTGGGTAGATGTAAGAGGTAGGGCGTTGGCCGAGATTGAAGGAGGATGCGGGGGAGAGAGGGTGGTGTGGCTGAGAAGGTCTGGAGGGTTTGTAGAGCAAACAGAGCTCATCAAGGTCCTCTAGGCCTCGTGGGTTTGAGAATGAGGAAGATGAAGAGAGCGAGATATCTGACAGAGACGAAATGGACTCGGAACGGTGCTGGCGACCGAGGCGGGTTGATCTGTAGTTGTCGGTGGCCATGTTGGGCTCATAATGAGCAGATTCCTGGATCTGATTCTTTTCAACAGGCCAGTACTTTGGCTTCCACTCGAGCTCGGTAGCCATGGTATCTTCGTTGTCGAGTCTGACTCGTTCCTGGTGTTGCTGGCGGACTCGTCGGACTCTTCTGCGGCGACGGTGTCTGCGTTGCTGCTCCTCTTCGGCAGAGACAGGGCAATCTTGAGTTGAAACAAGATCTTCATTGTCACTTGCAGTCGAGATGGTGCTTGAACTTGTGACACTGCTGGCGCTTGTGGCGACACTTGGGGCTCTGCTGAACAGAGTGGAAAAAGATGTGATTCTAGATACAGAGGGGGTTGGCACTGGAGCAGCAACATGAGCTGGAATGATTTGCTTCTCCTGTTGCTGCTGCTGCTGCTTTTCCTGTTGTTGAGTTTCGTAATGTTGTATATCTACAGACTTGAAGATGTCAAGATGAAGTTTGTGGGCCTGGAGACGAAGCTCAAGAACGTCTAGCTTCTGGTTGTGTTTCTGGTTCTCATTTACTCTATAGTCGACATTGGAGTCGACAAGGGAGTCTTCTTCCTGCTCAATCTTTGAGATTGCGTCGATTATGGCCTCTGCTTCTAATTTCAGAGACAATATGCTGTCGAAGAGGGAAATGACAACGGGCTTCATTTCCTTCATTTCTCCTTCAAGACGACAGCGACGAAGTCTGTTTGTGGCACCTTCGATAAACGCATCTTTGATACGCTTCTGCTTGCGGTAGTGGTCAGTGTCAGAAGGTTTGCTGAAGTAGTCACGGGATGTGTCCACAGAATGGTCAAGAGTATCGGCTGAGATGGTTGGCATGGTAACACTTTGATAAGATAAAATTTTATCTTTTTTTTTTGTCTTTTTCTTGTGTATGTGTCTTTCTTTGGTTGTATTTTTTTTATATAATTAAAATATTATATAAATAAAATAAATAGAAATCGAACCTAATATAAATAAAATAAAAAAAAAGAGATCGTCAGTTTCTGGGGTAACAAGGAAAAGAAAGTACAAGAAATAAATAAATAAAATATATATACAAAAGAAAATACCCAAATAGGATAGCGCCGATCCTTCTCTAATCTACATGGTAACCACTTGTACATTATACACATACACAAAAATAATTTGTACATGATATATACATTGTTTTATAATCGATACAAAAATTGAAACAGAAGGTATGTGATTGTAGATGGTAAAAATTGCCAAATATAGCGAATGTCTTTTTTTTTTTTTTTTTTTTGGTCTTTTGGTCTTTTGGTCTTTTTCTTACTTGGAAATTTATATATATATTTCTGTCTTGCGAAATAATTGAGATGAAATAATTGATATTTATATTTTATAAAAAATATAAATATATGATTTCCTTTTGCTTATTTTTTCTGCGTCTGTGTTATATATAATAATAATAATAATAATAATAATAATAATAATAATAATAATATAATTATGTTATATTATATTGGTGCTTTGTCGTTGGTTTGTCGTTGGTTCGTTTGTCTGGTTTTGGTTCGTTGATTTTGCTGGCTTTTCTTTTAAAATTTCTTTATTGGGTTTCTTTAAAGAGGTATATAAAAGAAGATGAAGATGAAAAATAAGAAAAAGAAGAAGAAAGGAAACGGGAAAAGAGAAGAAAAGAAAATGGAAAAAGGAAAAGAAAGTATGGCATTTTATCTTTTTTTTTCTCTTTTTTTTTTGCAAAAAAGAAAGAGCTGTCTTTATTTAGAAATCAAGGAACCTGCATCTTCTATCCCTCTTCTATACCCCCCCCCCCCCCCTCTTCTATTTCTTTCTCTTTTCTCTCCTCCCCCCAATCCCCACTCCCCCACTCTCTTACTCTTCACTCCCCCCTTTTTCTCTCTATCTCTCCCCCTCGCCCTCTATCTTCTATATTCTCTCCAACTCACTGTAATTATATGTATATAATATGTATATGTATATTTCTTCTCCCCCCAAAAAAAAACTTCCCCTGCTCTTTCCTGCTCTTACTCTTTTTCTTTCCACCCCCATGTTTTCGTATCCTTCTTATATATAAATTTATGTATACTTTATATTCAATTATCAGCTTGAGCCTATTTGATATTTCGAAAGCAAGGGGAATTTTGTACTTGATGAGCATTGAATTGAAAGTAATTGAATTGAATTGAATTGAATTAAATTGAATTGAATTATTCAATAAAAAAAGAAGAAAAGAAAGAAAAGAGAGAGAGAAAGAGAGCGAGCGAGAGAAAGAGAGAACATGAGTTGGTTTCGATAGTCAATAGTTTCCATTTCTCTATACAATCTATCATTCCTCACACCAAAACAAGAAACTTTCTTTTTCTTTTTCTTTTCTTACTTTGTTGCTAGGTTACTTGGTTAACTTGGTTACTTGTTTAGTATACTTTCTCTCTTTCTCCTTTCTTCTTCTTCTTCTTATTATTCTTCTCTAAATTATTTTATTTATATAAATGTATGTATATCATTGTCACTCTTCATTGAAACCCCAACGTCATTTATACAATTACATCTGGTTCATTAGCCTTTTTGTACTTTGGCTCCTAAAAATAATTAGGTATACAAATGTGGACACAATAATTTCGTATATCAATTGGACCAATATTGAATTTATATATATATATATATATATATCTGTGTGTAATTATTCAGTTTTGTTAATTTGTTAGTTGGTTGGTTACAGACTAATGCACAAATATTATTATTCTTTTATTTTATTTTAACACATCGAATAACAATGCTTGTCATATTCAAATTCAGCCATAGTTTGTATTTTAATGTGTGTGGGGTTGAGATGTAGAAGCCTCGTTGTCTGTAAGACGTCACTCTCAATAAAGGTATATAAATACAAGAAAGAAAAAAGAAAGAAAAAGTGAATATAACATGTATGTATATGTAGATTGGTTCCCCACATTTTTTTTCTGGCTATTGTATGAAACCATGGGATGGCCCTTTGACGTCTTGTCCTACTAATTTATTTACAAAATAGAAAGAAAGAAAGAATAGAAATATGCGGCTATTCACCCCCACATTCGCCCCCTTGAAACACCACACCAAGGAAACTCCATCTATAAATCAAATCAAGTCAAATCAAATCAAATCAACAGTCAGTCAATCAATCAATCATAGGACCTGTTCTTTGTATGTGTGCATGCATGCATGTAAAAATGTTATTTCGAATCACTCACTCACTCACCCACACTTTCAATATCTACAGTACAATAAAATATATCTTGAATAAATTTCTGAATGTGCCGCTCATACCCGAGCGCATTGCATTGCATGGCGTCAAATGCGGGGTAAAATAGATACTCAATTCAATTGAATTCAAAATAAACAAACAAACAAATGTATAAAAAGAAGAAGAACAAGAAAAGGGTTATTTTCAATACACATCTTCTACACCTCTTTCTTCCTTTCTTTTGTACTCTTGTTCTTTCTTTATGTGCGTGTATATATATATTTATTCAGATTTTTTTTTCTCTTATTTTTACAGACAGACAGACAAGCAAATTGATTATTGATACTTTACAGACGCAAACGCAAAAGAACAGTTTAGGATTTCTGGGCAGCATTCCTATTAAAAATAAAATAAAAAATAATAATTTACAAAATAAGATTGTCAGTTAGTTACTTGGTTTACTTGGTTTGTTAGCTTGTCTGTTCGTTTGGAATGAATGTCTTTAATGACTCGTATTTTTTTTTTTGTGTAAAAAAATATTAAAAAAAAAAAAAAGATAAACTTAAACTTACAGTGCCTCCAATTCCGCCTTGTACTTCTTGTTGATGTCATGCCTTTTCAGCTTCTGTGCAGCCGTCAACATTCCCTAAAACATCGAACAAGAACGTGAATAAGATAATACCAGTATATACATATATGTATATATGTATATATACATATGTTTTTGGGTTTGTTACAACAACAACAAAGATAATAATAATTTAAACTTACATTTTCAGAGGTCCAATCTTCGGAACACAAGTGAACACCAACCACAATCTCGGCAGGCTTGAACCCGGACTTTTTGGCCTGGGCTTGCAACTGTCCCAAGAACGCCTTGATGATGTCCTTGTTGGCGCACAACTCCTTCAATTCAGCCTTGGCGTCCTGACCCGTTTCTTCGGCTAGCTTTCTCAATCGGGCCTCGACTGGAACCACCAGGGCAACCGGACTAGGGCGGAGTGAGTCACCATGGATACACACGTTAGCCACCCCAAGTGCTGCCTTGTACACGGACTCCAGTTTCTCGAGTGCGATGTACTCTCCATTGCTGAGCTTCACCAGGTTCTTGATACGGTCAATCACAGACAGCGTTCCATCTGCGTTCCACTCGCCTACATCTCCTGTCCGCAACCAGCCATCGTCCGTCAGGGCCTCCTTGGTCAGCTCCTCCTGCTTCCAGTACCCCACAGTGACCGATGAACCACGCACCCAGATCTCACCCTGCGGCTTGGGTGTGTTTGAGGACAGGTAGTTGGCCTCTGGCACATCGACCAATTTGATTTCACAACAAGGCACAGGTGCTCCAACCGGTCCATTAGAAAAGCTCTCGGGAGTCATGATAGCACACATTCTAAAGAAACAATAAATATAATTCATTCATTTGTGTTGATTAGTATCACTTCTTATTCTGCTTCTTCTTCTTTTTGCATTTAATAAGATATACAGAAACTCTTTCTCTCTCTCTATCTCTTTCATTCAATGCCTTTTACCCTCCCTTTTTCTATTCCCCCTTAATATCATCCTTTCTTCTTCTTCTTCTTTTTCTTCTTTTTCCTCACAGTCCAGTCTAGTTCTGCCCACCCCACTTCAATTCAATTCAATTCAATCCAATCCAGTATAGTCTAGCCTAGTCCCCCATATCCCCCCTTATTCCCCAAATCCACGCACAAGCTACACGCACAAACTACACGCACAAACTACACACATAGCTCCCAAAAATCAAAAGATATTTTTCAAGTTCTAAAGCTCTCAAGCTTTCTCTCTCTCTCTCTCTCTCTCTCTCTCTGTGTGTGTGTGTGTGTGTAGCATGTAGCGTGTAGCGTGTAGCGTGTAGCGTGTCTGTGTTTGTGTTCGAGTACTAAATTTTCCATATTATCCTTCATTTACCCGCAGCCTATTGAAAGTAGGACAAGAGGTTATTATTATCATTATCATTAGTTTCTTCAAGATCAGTTCATATTTTTCTTTCTTTCTTTCTTTCTTTCGTTCTTTCTTTCTTTCGTTCTTCTGCTATTATTCTTCTCGTTTAATCCACTCTATTCCCTTTTAAATAAACAAAAAAAAAGATACTTACTTTCTGTCATGCCATAACCTCCAAGTACTGGACAAATAGCAGTCGTCAGGAACCTCTGTGTTTCCATCGAGAGGGGAGCTCCACCCGAAAGTGCAAATCTTAATTTTCCGCCCAGTTGTGCCTTGACCTTGTTAAAGACAGCGGTGTCCAAGAGACGGGTAGGTAAACCACGTTCCATCATCCAGGCCTTTGTATCCAGGGCGCGCTGGAAGATCATCTGGGCAGACGGGCTGGTCTTGTGGATTCCGGCCAGGATACCCTTGCGGATCGATTCCCAGACAGCCGGTACACCGGTCATAATAGTCGGGCTGAATTCCTTGATATCACCTTGGCAGTTGCGCACCGATGCGTCTGTGAGGGTACGAGGGTTACCGTAGCCCAGAGTGGCTCCCCAAAAGATACACAGATTCTCGACCAAGAACTCAAGGACGTGGGCCAATGGAAGATATGCCATCATTTTGTCACTTTCGCTGAGGAAATGTCCCAAAAGGCGATCTGTACCAGCAACTAATAATAATAATAATAATAAAAATAAATTAAACATTAAATACATTTTTTCTTTTAATATTATCATTGTTACTGTTTCTATGATCGATTGTGTAATCAAAATATATATTTGGATGGATATGTGCGTGTGTGCGTATCTATATACACAAAATTGACTATATTTACTCCCTCTTTTATTTTTATGAAAAAAAAAAGAAAGAAAACAACTTACTAGCGCCAACTAGGTTGGAATGCTTGAGAACAACACCCTTGGGGTTACCGGTGGAACCAGATGTGTACATGATACAGCACAGATCATCGCGCAGAGGCTTTACGGGTGCAACAGGTGCGTTTTTTCCAGTCTTCTTGAGTTCGTCGATCGACAGAACCTTGGCCTTGGTCTGGCCCTCAAGTTCTTCAAACTGCTTGAGGACTTCTGGTTTGGCTTCACCGGCATAAATGACCACAGGCTTGACGGCACTAGTGGACTTTGGAAGAACACTAAGCACGACAGGTAGAAGATCAGCGCTTGTAAACAAGGCCTCGACACCCGTTTCGTTCATCGAGTGCAAAAGACCTTCGGGACCAAGGGTGTCGTAGGCAGTAACGATGGTCATGTTTTGAGTAAAAGCACCATGAGCCATGAGCATCCAATCAGCACTATTAGAGATATATATAAATATAAAGTACACAAATTTAATATAAACAGATAATATATATATAGAAATAAGGGGGGTGGTGGGAGTGAATGAGAGAGAGAGGGGGGAAGTTAATTAATTAATTCTAGAATGTTTTTTTTTTGTTTTTTGTTTTTTGGTAGTAATAATGGTAGTAGTGGGGAATATACTTGCGTTGTGGGAGCAAATATTTCGATCTTTGCCTTTGGCTTGACGCCCAAGGCTACAAGACCAGCTCCGATATCATGAGCGGTTGTTGAGATTTCAGAGTATGAGATGTCGTGGTAGGCTGACAACTGAAAGAACTTCCAGATCTTGGTCTGTTTTTGCTCGACTCCATTGACGATCTTGACGACCTCTTTTTGTTCCTCGACTACCTTGACAACCTTGCGATAGGCCATACCTGCCGCCTCGGGTCTGCGTCGGACACTGTACTGCAGGACATCGTAAAGAGTATGGACTCCCTGGGCAGGAGTGTCGACAATGTCGTCCTGGGCCAGCACAGACCGACGGACGCGACCCTCACCAGGGACTTCAGGACCAACGAATACTGAACAAAGAGGAGCCATGATAGATGTTTAATTATATTATTTCTTTTTTTTTATGATTGAATCTTTTATGAGATAAAGAAGTGTGGGTATATTTTATAATATAAATAAAATAAAATAAATATAGTGAAAAGAAAATAAGAAGAAGAAGAGGAATGAAACGAGTAAAATCACAAGGTCCCCTTTTTTTTTTATAAAAAAAATAAAATATTCCTATGGTTTTATATAGATTATGAAACTCTCTCTTTTATATGTATATATGTATATATATATATAAATTTAGATCTATATAATTATTCTTGTATTCTTATTCTGGTTCCCGGTCGGAGTATAGTATAAAAGGAAATGTAGTGGGCAGATTGCCATGACAACAATGGTTGTACGATTTTATAATTTTTATACTATTTTGTTACTGCGATGATTTAAAAGAGATAAAATATATAAACTAATAGACTTTCACATGTCTCTTGACAATTTCATTACAGCTCTTTTAGACTACAACCAAATACTAATATTGTATAATATTTTCTCTCTCTCTATTTATTATTCATCACCGCCGACAATATACACATGTATTTAATAGTAATACTTAATAATAATAAACAATTGTAATGATTATTACAAGGATCAAGATGATAATAATGATAATTCCAATACTGATGCTAGCATTGTTACTGATTCTAGTATTGATACTGATGATAACGAAGAGGAGAATTATAAATAATCCGCTATAGATAATATATATTTAATTTCCCATATTTCCTTCTTATTCTTCTTCTTCTTCTTACTACTACTACTACTACTACTACTACTACTACTACTACTAGACAATGAGTGGGTTTGAAATCCAATTGTTTTTTTTTTATCCCCTTTATGTTTCTTTGCTTTACTTTGTTACATGTGTTTTTTTTTTGTTATTTTTGTTTTGGCTTTTGAGAATTTATATATATATAAAAGGCTCTTTTGTGCTAATTCATATACACCTGTCTATTACTTTTATATATATATGCGCTTATACTCGATCATTTTTTTTTAAAAAAAAACTTTAATAGAATGTAAAATATTCATATAGATAAAATAATATATATATATATATAAAGATAGTCTCAGGAACTAATTTGACAAGCAGTCACCTCTACCCATTCAATAAACCAAACCCATCAAACTATCAATACTACTTGTATACACAACACATACACTTTTAGACAACAACAAGAGAGTCAATATTTTATTGCTGCTATTTTCTTTATTATTATTATTATTATTATTATTAAAGCACCTGGTTGATTTCTCTCTCTCTCTCTCTTAGTAGATATTATTTAATAGTAATAGTCATAATCATCATAAAAACATTATGCCACTTCCATTTGGAATCAAAGCACCTTCAAAAGGAACTGTTATTTTCGGCTCAATTGTAGCTGCCATTGGAGGAACAGTCTACACCAGTAATCATTATGCAACCGAAAGCAGAAAACGATTATGCGATCAAGTTTCATGGTTAGCTGAGCGTCCCTGTGATGTTCATGTAAGAATTACGATTGATTACATTTTGTTCAATACGATATTATACTTTATATATTATTAAAGTGTAAATATATATATATACATGTACAAAATAAGGATAATTATTAGAGTATTTTAGGAATAATTCCATAATAGTAATAGTAAAAATAATAGTATGATTATTATGATTATTATCTATATCTTTATTGGTTATACAATACAAAAAAAAAAGAAAAGAAAAGAAAAAGGTTAATTATCCATGTATATATTTCCATTTCACTCAAATGATTACTTGTGTACACACATACCTGATTATTGCTTAAATAACCATCGTATAGCAATTATCATTAATGACATCATAATCGTCTTTACAATATAGGAAATTCCACGCAAAGTATCTGTCTATATTTCAGCCCCTCCTGGTGATGGATTGGAGAAGAGTCGTTCATGGTTTAGAGAATATGTAAAGGTAAATAAATAAATATATGTACTTGTAGATGTGAACCCGGGGGAAGGGGAGTGTATGAGTAAGGTGTATAAAACATGGATATACATGTGTTTTAGAGAATATGAATATTTATAATTTACAATGATTTAATCAAATTTTTATGCAACCATGTTTTTTTTTAAAAAAAATAAATAAATAAATAAAAGCCAATATTGGTAGCAGGTGCTGTAGACTATGAAATCAAGGAAGCTTCCGGCCCAGGCCAGATTGAATTTGCCGTACGAGACGAAATCGTCCGTCGTCGTAGAATCGCTGCTGCTCAAAAAGAACGCAAAGAGCAAGAATCATCAAACATATCGCCATCATCACCCGAACAAAAGAACGCATTTTCGGCAATGAATCCTCCGACTTTGGATGCAATCAAACACAAGAAAGAAGAACATCTTGTAGACGGAGTGTTGGCCATCGGACGACAGGCCTGGAGAGAAGTTTTGAGTGGAATTGTGCTGGGATGTAAAGCACCACTTGTTGTTATCCCTCCTGCTGTACCCGAATCCGAAACTAATACCAACAACAAAAACGAGGAAGATATTAACAAGGAAAAGAATATCGAGGGCACCAAGGACGAACTTGACCTTGACCTTGCTCTTGGAGTTGATGCTGCCAGTTCTGATTCTGGTTCTGGTGCCGACCAATCCAATGAGGAAATCACTCCAGTTGAACCCGAGCCAGTTGCTGAGAAATTGATGATGGACGAAATCGCTGTCAATGGCAATGGCAATGTTGATTCAGATACCACCAATTCTACCGATTCTAGTGCTAGTCAAGAAAGGTTTGATATTCCTCCTGTTCTGTCCCCGGTTATGTACATTCCTCAAGAGAATATCATCGGCTGGACAAATATTCCTTATCGCCTCTTTATGTGGGCAGCGGATTACCAGCGAATCGAAAAGGTGGGCAAATACGTTGTTGCAGCCGTACTGAACGAAACCAGACCACTCCGACCAGAGGACGAGAATCAGGGCGAGAGTGAAAAGGTTTACTGGATTGGAGATGATGATACAAAGGAGCTAGTCCAAAGAGATACTCCCATCGTGGTTGACGATAGATTGAGAGGTCATTTAACCACATACACTAGCAAAGATTTACCATAGATAATATAATATAATATAATATAATATAATATAATATATATGTATGTATCTGTACCTGTATCTCTCTACCTTTATCTGTGCCTGTACCTGTGCCTGTACTTGTACCTGTGTATTGTATAATCTCCTGTTTGTCTTACTAAAAATGTCATTTTTTATATATATTATATCTATCTATTATAAACGCATTGTCCTCTTTATATACTATATTTATTTTTATAATAAGAATAGTCAATTGTTCATAATTAACAAAAGAATAAGAGGAATAATAATTAAGAAGTGATTACAGTAACGGTGTTACCCACAAAATAAAATACCGTAGTTTGCAGAAAGTCAACTTTCCTATTCTGATCTTAATAATATGCTTCTTGTCCTACCAAACGAATTAGGACCAAAGAAGAAATTACGAGTGATATACTTAATCTATCGATCTTATTACAAGACTAATCCTCACATGTCTAAAATAGCAATAAATATATTGTATTGTATTGTATTGTATATAAAAGGTGTTAATGAACAAAGATTAATAGTAAAAGAAAATAGTAAGATTAAAGAATATATAATTTGTTTCTGGCTTCATATTTGCCATGTGTACGAAAGAGATAAATACAAAAAATAATAATATTATGATATATAATTATAATATAGAAAGAAAGAAAATATATATAAATAAAAAAAAAGGTAAAGAGATAATAAAGACTAGTTATCTCTCTGTATGTGTGCGTGGGGTGAGGGGGGGTTGATTTCCTTTTGACCAAATGTTAGGTCAGACAGACCTGTGATTATGGGAGGAAGGTATTCGATAGGTAAGGCAAGCACAAACCGATGATCTCCTCCTCCTCCACCACCTCCACCACCACTGCTTGTTTTGGTGTTATTGTTGTTGGTGTTGGTGCGGTTATTATTAAACTTCTGGAGATTCTCAAGGTTAAAATGATTAAGATGATGATTATTGAAATTAAGATGATGGTTAAGGTGGTTATGGTGCTGCTGAGACCTATTCATATAGTCGTCTCTTGTTGCTTCTGTTGCTTCTGTTGTTTCTGTAGGCGCTGTAATAAAGGGAGAATAAGGAGAAAGAGGAGGGGGCAGAGGAGGCTGAGAAGAGTATTCAAAAGAGGCTTGGATATCGTCGTTATCGTTATTCTCAATCATAGTCTCCGGGTGGTTTGGATAGTAACCATCATCCTCGATCCAATCCAGCTCGTCGAAACAAGCATCGAGCCAGACCTGTTCTTTGTTTGGTTGTTCGGGAGCAATGAGTGAATGTAAAAGAAGGTTTCGGACCAAGAGCTGCCGTCTGAGAGGTGGTTCTGTCCGTCTATGCTCTTCTTCCTGGCACAACTTGTACATCGAGATTCGAGTGATATGATCCATTTATACTTTTTTGTCTCTTTGTTTCTTTGTTTCTCTCTTTCTCTTTCTTTCTTTCTCTTTAAAGAAATATATATATATATATATATATAAATATATATATATATTTGATTTTTAGGTTACTTTGATTTTGTTTGTCTGTATGTCGTATAGTGCAGTATAGTGTATTGTGTGTCTTTCAAATAGTGTGTCTTTGTAGCTTTGATCAATTGAATAAAGAATAGTTAAAAAAGAGAGAAAGCAAAAGACGAGAAAGAGAAAACAAAACAAAACAAAATGGAATTTTAATTTGAATTAATGGTTATTTATTATTATTCGTTTTCTTTTTTTTTTAAAAAAAAAAGAATAAGAACTGAAGATAAAGAAGAACAAGAACAAGAAGAAGAACAAGCAACAAAGGAGAAAGGAAAAATAACCGAGGGTTGAAATCAAATCAAATCAAATCAAATCAAATAAAAACACCCAAATGTGGGCACATCAAAATGTGTACATCATACACTCATACGTATATAATATAAATTTATATGTGTGTAATGTATAAGCTAAGGTCTAAGGTCTAAGGTGTAATGTGCCTACTTGTGCTTGTGCTTGTGCTTGTGCTTGTGCTTGTATTTCTGGATTGGGATTGGGATTGGGATTTTATTTATTTATTTATTTAATAGCTCTGAATTTTATATAACATATATTTGTGTATGTATGTATGTATGTATGCTCACGCCATCAAGGAATCAAGAAATCAAGTAATCAAGCAATTAAACCAACATGGTTATTATAAGCTTTTTTTATGTATATACACCTTTCTTTATCTATATTTCTTTATATATATATATATATTTATATACGTATTCTGTTCTCTCTTTTTGGTTATAGGACAAACAAAAATCGCAGGTCTTCTACGCTCAATCGTTCAAGAGCAGAATTATCATTACCTACAGATATATTACATGGATTTTAAATACCAAAAGAGCAATTTCTTTATGCAAGAAACATATATCTCACTACCCCTCCTCCCCTCCCTTTCTTACTATTTTTTTTAATATTTCCTTTCTTCCCTTAAACCTCTTCCAAGATCCCATATTTCGTATCCCTTTCATTTTTTTTAAAAAAAAGAAAGAGTTAAAGACCTTACCAATTGTACTCTCTACAAGTGCCTGCTTCTTCTCCTGCAATTGCACAATTCTACTTTCGATGCTGTTTTCAATAATCAGTCTTGTAATCTTGATTGGTCTATGCTGTCCTAATCGATGAATTCGATCCATTGCCTAATAAATTGCAAAAATGACAAATATATGTACAAAAAGTTGTTAATGTTTGTTTCATTTCTATTGGTTGACTTTATAACCCAACTTAATTTATTCTATCTATCTATCTATCTATTTATTTAGATTATTGAATAATACTTGCCTGCACTGTATGGTAGCATATATTAACGGTTGATAACAGTTATCAATTCAATTAACATTAGTTAATACATACAATATTCTACAGTCCCTTTCTTTCTTTCTTTTTTTCTTTCTTTCTCTCTCTCTTTCTTTTTGGTCTAAAAAAGGAAATTCAAAAAAAAACACTTACATTCCGCGGCCTACAAAACAGACATACACACAAACACACACAGTTTAGTATTATTATTAAATGTTTTCTAATTAATTAAAGCACACACACACACACATATATATATATACATATATCTAATGTAATCTTTTACTTACTGGATTCCACCATGGGTCACTATATGGTACAAAGAAGAAGAAAATATGCCAGAGGTCAAGTATCAATATCAGCATTAAAGAAAAAGGGGTGATCTTACCAAATAAATACTCTGCTAGCCTCTGTTAAATTCAAGGCCACACCACCTGCCTTGAGACTGATCAGAAATACAGTCACTGTTGGTTTTGTCATGAAGCTAAATCCACAAATATATATAGTAAATATATATATATATATAAATCAACAAACAAACTTTCTTACCAATTAATGGCTGCATCTCGCTGTCGGGGTGACATTGAACCATCAAGTCTGATGCATTCAAATCCTGCTCGGGAAAGTCTCCAATATACCAGATCAAGGAAATTCACAAACTATATAATATTAAAGCATTCTTTTTAATCAATATACATACATATTACATATATTACAACCTCCAAAAATAAATAAAAGTAAAGAAGTAATATATTAAGATACCAAGGATAATTGTCTTTTATATAAATATGTAAATAAATCTTACCTGAGAAAATACAATACTATTGAAAAACAACAATAGGATTTTTAATATTAGTCTCAACTCAACTCAATTCAATTTAATTCAATTCAATTCAATTCAATTCAATTCAATTCAATATATTTTCAATTAGATTTGGTCAAATTGTCTCTTACCTCTTTATCGTCTTGTCCTGTCTTCGAAGTTTGGTCAATTCTTCTACGAGTGCCTCAATCTTGGTAGAACTTCGCCATTTGGACATGTCAATTCGATTCACAATACTCGTCTTTGAATACATCCCGTCTCTTTCATTCTCAGGAAGCTCAAGACTGGGTTGACTAAGATCCACGCTTAGGGTAGCAAAGCACGTCGGGCAGTTTGGTTTAACGATTCCATCGCCATAATCAAAGCTTTGATAATATTGAACACAGCACTTTTATGGAATATGCGTGTATATGTGCACAAAATAATGCAAGTGAAAGAAAGAAAGTAAGTAAGAAAGAAAGATTTATTTTTTTCTTCTTCTTCTTCTTCTTGTCAGTGTTGATAGTAGTAATAGTTTTGATAGTATATTCTTTACCTCTCTGCAGAATACATGCTTGCATGCAGCAACAATGGCATCCTAAAATTAAAAAATTAAAATTAAAAATTAAAATAATAATGGTGATTGAAAATAAAATTATGCGTGGAATCATAAGTATTCATTCAATCATTTGTTCATTTGTTCATTGGTTTGGTTTGGTTCTTCATTTTGGTGTTTGTTTTTTTTCGTTTGCTTACTTCAGGAGGTTCATTACACAACATGCACACGAGTTGCTTATTATTCGAATTATCTTTCTTCTTTGTTATCAGATCAGGATGATTGGCTTAAAGTAGGATATAAGTACATGTACATGTATATAGCTTATAAACTATCCGAACAACAAGTCCCTAGCCCTCCACCTCTTATCTTCTCTTTCTCTCCCTTGTTTTACTTGATCTTATTATCCTTCCTTCCTTTCAACTACCCCTTACAATACACACACGATTTATATATATTGTCTTGACTTACCACTTTGTCTCATTTTCATCAACAACTCAAAGATATTGGCATAATTATTGAGTACCGAACCTACACACCACACCATACCGTACCGCACAAAAATACACACATAGATACATCAATAAATAAGAATTATAAATTATAACTCTTTTTTTTTTACCTTGTTCAACATAGGTCGTGAATTTACGTACTGAATCTGTAAACAATGACTTGTACACATCTTCTTCTTCTTCATTAAACATGTCTCTCCTGACAACCACTGTGCGTGGAGGCAGCCCAAGATCATCTGCACATTCTAGTTTTGTCCTTCTGAGCATCATCTTGTCCAACAGCAGACGTAGTTTTTTCATGGCCACACGACCTTCGTCCCCGTGCCCATCGCGTTGGATAGGTTTGAGAACCTCATTGTTCCACCAACAAAGATGACTTATCCCCCCAAAAAAAAACAATTTTTTTGTTTTAGTCAATTAATAAAAAAAAAAAGGAAGTCATTACTACTATCAGTACTTACTCCATTGGTTTATGGCCACATTCATCACAGTTTCGTCGATCGGTGAATTTCCAAGTGATACTTTTGCATGGACATTTTGTACAGAAGTAATAACTAAATGGATCTAAGGTACAACGATTGTTTTTTATTTTAATTATATATTGTATTAAGTTATATGTATATGGTAAGAAAATATAAGAAAGAAAGAAAATATCTGTAATGGGTTTACCTGCTTGCATAAATCTAATAAGAGAATACAATTCACCAACACGATTCTGAAGAGGTGTTCCAGATAAAGACCACTTGAAGTTGCTATTCAAGTTGAACTTGTTTTTTTTTTAAAAAAAATGTATAAGTAAAATATAATAACAAAAAAAAAGTTGAATTAAATCTCTCTTGTATTTTGGATACTTACTACTGCCCTAGCCGTGTTACAAGATCTATCCTTGATATTGTGGGCCTAATATTCATTTTATTCAGTAAATTATGTATATAAGATATCTATATATATGTGTGTGTGTGTGCGCGCTTATTTATTTATTTATTTATTTATTTATTGGGGTTTAACTTACCTCATCAAGGATGATTCGATGCCAATGTATCTTGTGAATAATCGACTTTTCTTTGATAAGTTCACCTTTACGGCGACTACCAAATTCCTGACGTCTAAAACTGTTTTCCATTGTAGAATCTAATTATAATCGATTATCAGTCATTGAATGCACATATATGCCTCTTTTTTTTTAGTTAATTAGTTGTATCATACATGTGGTCAAGACAACATCGTATTTCTCAAGACTTTCTGTATCGTCGAGTTTACTGGCTCCATGGAATAAGTTGACACTGAGCGCATTATTTGTGTGGGTTTCTATTTCTCTTTTCCATTGGATCAAGGCCACCTGTTTTTTAAAAGATAAAAAAAAATGTATAGTTAGATATAATAGTGTGTCAATAAGAGTTAGTTAGTTTTTTAATAAAATAGTATAGAATCATAAGAATAATTACGGTTGGAGCAATCACTAGATTGGGTTTCTTCTTGTCGCTCAGCAAGAGGGCAATTGTTTGAATTGTCTTGCCCATTCCCATTTCATCCTATTAAGTTGAAACACATCACATCATGACACATCATTGTACACATACATAGACAGAGGTAAAAAGGTGAAGTTTAATTTCTTTTAAACTAAACACACTCTCGAGCTTATATATATATATATATATTAATTATGAAATGCCAAGATTGAACTTACTGCCAATACTCCACCCTTGAACTGTTACCCAATAAAAATATTTATAAGAATATATATAAAAAGAAAGGTTAGATAAATGATGGTTTGCTTGTAATTCTCGGTACAGTTTGATCAACCGATCAACCGATTGATTGATAAATGAATCGATTGATTGCTGAATTGTATGTATGTATGTATGTATGTATGTATGTATGTACGTATGTGTGTGCGTGTTTTTTCTTCTTCTTCATACAGACTTACATCATTGAGTTTTTCTTGTTGCACCATCCAACCAATGCCGTATTTTTGGAACGGCAAAAGATCAAGACTAAGCTCAGCAGGTTGGTCAATTGGAATCACAGGAAGTGCCTTGGTTTCTTCAAGTGTTTTCCAGACTGTGTCTAATTCTGGGTGTTGACTGGATAGTCTCATATTGATTCTATCCACCTACAGCCATTTGTATGTATAAGTAAACCAAACAGAAAAAGCAATTCTTTTTTCTCTTTTACCCATCGCACGCGAGGTGGGCGAGCTCGACGAACTCGACGAGCCGCAGGACCACCTTGCATACCTTGTTCTCTATGGTTGGCTAATAATTCTTCATCATCCGCATCCACTTCATCATTATTTCTCACAGTCTGAATTGGAGCAGGAACTACTTCTTCCTCTTCATCTTCTCCACCTTCAAAGTAGTCACCATCCTCCTCCTCATCCTCCTCCTCGTCCTCCTCCTCGTCCTCATCTTCTTCATCTTCACTATCAACATTATCCTCTTTATCCTCTTCGCCTTGGGAATCATCGATTGATTCGAGCACCAAGGTCATAGTCTCACTCAGATCTTCTGCTATATGATCTGGTATTTCCGCAGCAGCTTTTACAGTGTCCGCTGCACCAGCATCACTACCACTACCGGAAGCACTACCAACAGAAGCAGAGGTGGAAGGATCATCAGCAACAACAGCAGCAGCGGCAGCGGCTGTACGTCTTGTAGGCGTATGTGTGGGTTTGTGCCTTTTTGTATTATTTTGCTGTGTAGCGCTTTGCCGTGTTCTACGGCGAGCTGTGAATGTCGGTGAGTCCTGAAAGTCATCATCATCGTCGTCTTCATCATTGCCGCCGTTATCAGCACCATTGTTTACAGTACTTTGGTTGGTTGATTGCGCAGCATGAGTTTCTTGATCATTATGCTGCGGCGGCTCTTGGATTTGGTTCTTTAAAGTAGACCGAGTAGATCTACGAGTGGCAACCATAGTGTGCGTATATAATATATAAGTACTTGTATTTATATATTTATATGAAAAAGAATAATAATAATATAAAAAAAAGAATAAAAAAAAATAGCTGTCAAAAAAAAATGTATATATATATATATATTAGACTATAAAAATATATAATAAGCACACGCAATTTGTATATGCACAATCTGAGTGTGTCCGTGCTTGATATCCCACTTGTGTCACGTGGATTTTTTTTTATCTACCGAATATCCATATCGAATTCGCCGTTTGGGACATAAATTTTGGACACAACCGCAAAAACAATGGTCACAAATACACTATTGGAATAGCCATGGACGCAAATTAAGAATAATTATTAGATTTTGCTGCATATTAATACATCTGCTGTGAAATCAGATGTTGTGTCTCACCCAGCCTTCACAATCCTACTTGGATACCTTACATTCTATCAATATTTCGATTATTTTTACTGCTTATTATTATTATTATTATTATTATTATTATTATTATTATTATTATTATTATTTAAAAATAATAATATAACTATCGTCCAGTGCTATATCTTAATTTGCTTTCAAAAGTCTATTAAAGCGGTTACACTGCAAAAACGATAGAATATAGCAATGTCTGCTGAAGCAGTAGATATGGTGAATGAAAATTCTGAGGACATTTTGGATGTCAATGCAAGTGACATGGAGTTTGAGGCTGAGAGCAATGTTTTTGAAGTTCATGAATATAATTTTATTGTGTTATACAAGAAATCGCAAACCTTATTCACGTCTTGCTGATATAGCTGCAGAAGATATATTTGACTCTGCTAACTAGACTTGGTTTGATTCCTATGAATCTGGTGATGAAAATCAAAATATCGATGGCTAGTAAATAAATAAATAAATAAAAGAAAAATACCTTAAAAATGTATTCCTTAATATAACTGCCCAATAGAACAGACCTCTAGACAAGTAATGCCAGCAAATCCAATCCATGTTTTCATTATATCCTTCACTATTTTTTATATATATCTAAATATGTAGTCAACTCTGGTGGTTTCATCTTCATCAAGTTTATCATCAAAGTCCTGGCACATTTTGGCCAATCGTTCCGTTTTCTATCGAGTCTAAGCAGCCTGTATTCCATGATAGGGTTCAGTATATTGACAGGAGGGGTTCAACGCTTTGTGGCATATGGTAAATGCCATAAAATATTTTCCGAGTATGAGTCTGTTCCACAGTGTTGCGATTTTTAAAAAAAAATGTTTGAAGACGTGTGTGGAGCCCAACTGCTTTTGGGGGTATCCAATAATCTGGGTCAGTAAAAAAAAAGGTGCACATGTACAACTCAGTCACAGCTGCAACCTCGATTCTTTTCTCTTGCCCTAGATTTGAGAAGGTTATTAATTTTCGGAGGTTCAGACAACAAGTACCAGGAATTCTTTTCGACATATACGATGGTGCAAAGTGGAACACCTTGAAAGACAGTAACGATAAGCAATCCATAGCCCACAGACGTTTCATACTACTTACACTTAATATCGGTTGGTTTCAGCCTTTCGATAAGATATCATACTCGTGGGAAGCTATCTACCTGTTCATTAACAATCTGCCAAGGGAAGAGAGGTACAAGAAGGAAAACATCGTTCTTTTTGGGCTTATTCCATATGCAAAGCAAGCCAAAACCAGTGAGGCAAATCACTACCTTTGCCTTCTCGTAGCCGAGCCCAAGAAAGTGTATTCCGGTGTGGTTATTTCCATTAAAAAATATCCTTCCGGTACCTTGGTCCATGCTGCACTTCTTCCTGTTGTCTGTGAGATCCCAGCTGCAAGGAAAACACGTGGATTTCCATAATATGTCAGTGTTAATGTATATCATATCTGCGATCGTTATCTGTCTCTTCGTACAGATGGCAAAGGCATGTATTATTCTGATTCTGTACTCTCTGGGTGGGTGTCATGCGCTGAATAAAAACACCGTGGAGATGCAGAGAGATAGATACGTGCTGGAAGTGAGGTCGGAAGAACATGATTGGAAAGATATAATGGTATCTGTTGGTCGGAGCTTCTTGAACTTGAATACCTCAATACAGTTGAGTGCACAATCATTGACCCGATGCATAACCTTTTTCTTGGCACTGCAAAAAAGAATGACGGAGAGATGGAGAGCCGCTAAACTAATAGCCTATGAACACCTTGTCCAAATGCAGCCTGAGGCCGATAGTATGATTGTTCCTCTCGACATAACACCATTGAGAAATAAGATTGCAAAGGGCTTTCTATTTATAAAGGCAGATGAATAACAGTCTTGGTTTTTAGTCTACTCCCCTGTTTTCTTGGCTAACCGTTTACCATCGGAAAGCCTTAACACTTGGATACATTTTGTCAATGTTGCAGATACCTGGCCAAGCCAATTATTACAATTGTAGACCTGTTTCATGTTCACACTTGTTTGGAGTTGTTTGGTCGGGATGGTCAGACCGTGTAAGATGGAGATTTCGTATCGCCTAATATAAACTTATATACGCAGCGCAAACAGACGGTTTTGAACTTTGGTTCTGTGATGGGTACTGGCTTCTTAGTTTTGAAAGATACAATGGTGTATTGAAAAATTATAAGCCAAACAAGAGGTGGCTTCAAAGGAGTCTTTATGCGAAAATAACTCGAAGGTGTTTATAAGATAGATCTGGCTTGGGCAATATTTCCACTTGTTCAAATTTCATCACATCATTCCTTGATATACGAGCTCCTTGATTCAATTACGACTCTTTTCACTGCTACTGATATTCCTGCCATGTCTTACTTGTTGACCAATTATACTTTCAATTTGAAAAACTTTCTTAATTCTGCTGCTGTGACTATTGACAATGTAAAAAGTATTGAGCCTTTGCCCCCATCATCCTTTCATCTACTTGAGTACTACAGACCAGCATACAATAATACATCACTGAGAAGCTACAGACAAGCAGACTTTGGTGGGTTTTTTGCGAACATTAATATCTAGAAACTTCCATCAATCAATCTCCTAGGGCAAATTTATATGGGTAGCAATGGTATGGTTTGGCGTGGTTCAGTAATTAAAGCCTTTGTTTATGAAAACAATGACCGCAGAATGAGTGCCTTTACTGGCAAAACTCAATGTCTATTTGTTAGTGACATCATTGATCCCATTACGTTACAGACAGATAGGCATGTCTTCACTTATTTCAATTGGTATAAAACAGCAATTCAAGATGCACAAAGTGATCAGTACATGGAGCTAAACGAGTTCACATTCACAAAAAGTGACTTTCAAAAAATCTTACCTGTTCATTCCATCTTGATGCTTGCTGCAATTGGTGTGCATGTAACTATCACTGGTAGCACTCGCATTCTAATAGCCCCGTCGTTTAGAAAAGTATATGCATAGATATATCTATTGATTTTTTTTTATTATTATATTATCAATATATATATATAGAAGTGGGGACACCGTATGTCATCACTGTAAAATTACTATATTTATATTTAATATCAAGGGGTAACCAATAGATTTGTACAAAATATGTAACTAATGATGACTCGTGAATTTTCCCTCTTGCTCTTTCACCCTCTTTTTTTTTTTTTTCATAACAAACCTTTGTATCAAATTCATTATTTTATTATTATTATGAGCCATACAAACGCTAAAATTATTCAGTTACTTCAAAGTATGCAAGAAACGCTTGTTGCTTTGCAGAAGGGTCAAGAATCCCTTCAAAAGGAACAAGCGATCCTGCGATTGGAGATTGCTGAAATACGTAATGACATGAACGGGCGTACAGATGAGGAGCCAAGTCCAGACTATGATGTAAGAAATAATAAAACAAAGAAAAACATATGATCTAATATACAACAATACAGGCTCTTGGTGTCCCAATTCCGAGACCAGTACCCAATATAAAAGACATAACTTTGAAACATATCTTTAAAATGATGAGTAAAGATCTCAAGGTCCAGATGAGCAAGGACAACAAGAAACTTCTCAATACTTGTACGCGTCTTATCTGTGATGAAATGGCCACCCTTCCTTCCGTACAAGTCTTAGGGCCAAATCCCAATTGGAATTCTATTTCTCAAGAAGACAAGGAACTGATGTGCACAAAACATGCGTATCTACTCAAACAAAGTGGTGTTGATTTTACCAGATGTCACAAAAACTGGGCATCTGTTGCAAAAGTCAGTCAGCTATGGAAAAACCGTGTGAAGCGACAAGCTTCTGGTAAGTTCATGTCTGGTAGGTACAATAAATTATATACTAAATATGAAAATATGAAAATAATTCGAATGATATTTAGCCAATACAGTTTACGAATAAAGAATTTTACTTATCTTAATAATCAATAATAATAATAATAATAATAATAATTTTCTATGAAATAAAACCTTGCTATCCAGTTAAAACTGTGAATAAATCAGAATATATTATATATATATATAAATGAGAACCAATTGAGAGAATGTCTTTGTTGAAATGGTCAACACTACCAATGCTTATACTGCAATAAAATTAACGAGAATTTTGGGCATTGAGCCAAATCTTTGCGAATCTTATTAAAACTATCAACATGCTTCTTCTTCAGAGATGTGTTGGAATTGTCTGATGTCTAATCTTCCTTGATTAATGAGCTTATATCCGACTAGTTTTTTTTTGACTCGATATATTTTGAACAATCTTTAGTTGAAAGTTTTAAAAATGCTCATAATGAGGCAAGGAACAGGTTGGTTTCATCATTTTTAGTATAGAATAAAAGAGTAAACTTGCAGACGAACTGGAGATTAGTGTAATGCCATGGTGCCATGTGTTAGTCTAATATGCTCATATATATATAAGATAAAAACTAACATAGAGATAATTGAATAGTCGTCTAGGCCATTTTCTCTGGACTATGTTTTTGTGGAAAGGACTAAATGGAGGCCAAGAAAAACTTTAGGATGATTTGCGTTTTGAAAGAAGAAAGTGACTGAAATCGAATATAATTATTGTTAGCATAAACTTGTCTGGTGTAGAAGCGAATGGTACAAAGAGACAGTCGCCTGTTTCCCGTGAAGTATTCCAATGTACATCAATGGATTTGTTGAATGCATTTGCTACAGATTGAGGGCTATCAATGGGGCCAAAGAAATGGTTATATCGTAGTGGCAAACTTTTGCCTATGATACTACTTATTATGTGAATGCAGGCGTTATCGTTCTCCATTCTTACCTGATATTATGTGCCTTGATTTTTTCTTTTTTGTTAAAAAGAAATACCTTCAACGCTTTGTCTTTCACCTCTGGCCATTTTCTCCTTGTTTTGATATAAACTCATCTCAATTGTTCTATAGTCATAATTACAGTCTGCTTCAGGAGAAAATATTTCAGAGCTGTGCTTTGGTGCAATGAAGAGGTGTATAAAAGTTGGTGGATGGAGTTATGAGCCAAGATGAGAAATATTCTTTATCGCTTTGTGCTCGAGAGGGGGGATAATTTATCTAGACCCCTCCACCTAAATGAACATAGTACGTTGAGTCAGAATGTGACATACATGGCGTTTTGTAAGTCTTTAGACTGTCCATAAGTCTTCCAATTTTGTCCTGTCGTCTTGCTTGTAAGGATATCATTTTTTTTTCTTTGCATGATGAGTATTTGTGACTATCTGATTTTTGGTGCCGAGTCTAAATGTATATCATAAATGGCTATTTCAACACGAATGTTCTGTATATATTTCATGGTTGGTCAGTGCGACTCTTAAAATGAGAACCATGCAAAAATACAATACAATTCAATTAAGTAATAGTATATGGCCGTAATTATAATCATTATGACAATTGAATACCCCTTCATATCATTACTATTGTTGTTGTTGTTATTATTATCATTTTGAGTAATATATATATACATATACATATGTAAATGTATGCATGTTTGTATTGTTATATTTTTATTTTTATTTTTATTTTTATTTTTATTTTTTGGTTAATCGACACGATTGCCAAGAACATTCTTAACCCAGAACTTCTTGATCTTGTTGGGAGCGTCAGAGTAGATGACAGCATGAGCAGCTTTTGTTACATGAGCATTCCATGAATCCTTGACTGTATTAACGACAACAACAACAACAACAAAAAAGACAAATATATAAATATATAAATATATCTTTGAGATGGTTTATCTTACGCGAAGGAATGAGTCGTTGGGAAAGGTAGACTTGAGATTGAGTGACAATAGGTAAAGGTTCAAGGGTGTTGACATCCTGGGTCTTTATGGGACCTCCGTTGATACGCTGTCGAAGTGCTTGACGGTCGTGTTGAATATCATTGGTGTATTTGTAGGTGATTGCAGAGACGGCAATAACACCTGCCAACAAAGAAATTGTTTTGGACATCTTTATTTTTATTTTTATTTTATTTTATAGGTTATTGTATTTATATTATATATTTTCTAACAAAAAGGAAAATATCAATAAATAGATAAATAAAGAAATAAAGAAATTATGATAATGATGATGATGATTTATGGTGATGAAATAGGAAAAAAAAAAGAATTAGAATGAGAGCAGTGACTTGCGAATCCAAGGATTTTTTGTCATGTGATCAATCAAGTTTAGTTGGGTTGTGGACAAGCGTCTAAAACGGTAAATGTGAAAGAATTAATAAGAAAAATACAAAGAAAAGAAAAGAAAAGAAGGGGGGTTCTCTGTATTATTTCTCATTCACTCACTTACTGCCCCACTCATTTACTGACATAATTAGTGACTTACTAGCTCGCTCGCTATTAGTTTATTAATTTATCAATTGATATGCAGTGTTTTTCATTTAAAAATAAAAGAAATTCGAGGTTAATAAATTTTCTGTTAATCAGTAAAATTTAGGGGTCCACGGACCTTTCGCATTTGTCTTTAGTTGAAAAGGATAGCGTGAAGAGCTGGTCAATATGTATTAGTCTCCTTCTATGTCCCTCATCTAATTCACCTCTCTTGCTCTTATTTCCATCCTTCCACTGAAACCTGATCATTCCTTAGCGCATAATAATGAGTCCACAGTTTCTCCTCAGGTCTCGGCCAGAACCATTTCTTTCTCTCGGTAAATCTCTGCTCATATTTTTGCAAAGACATGTCTACTGGAACCGCTTTCTTGGGCTTTCGCTATCTCTCACTTGAGGAAGTGCAAAACAAAATCAGTGACGTCTTCTTTTGCTTCGTAGCAATAAAGGCTCACCAACTCTTTTGGGCACAAAGCTCTCTACAAACAAGAAAGATTAATTTCTTTTTAAAAAAAATGTTGTTGTCCAAAGTACCTAATGAATATAAACATAAACATAATGCTTTTTGTGATTTGAAACTTTGGCCATATATCTTTATGTGGCTGGAAGTTCAAATGACAAATTACTTTTCGCCCTCCCTGTAGACCTGTGTCCGGACTGATATGGTCTTTTCTTTACTTTTTTTTAACAAGATGGTCGACCTTCCTGTAGCTCAGATCCAAAGAATTCAAAGCAATTTTCGAGACACATATTGAGGGAGCACCACTTTAGATGTATATATGATTTTTCGGCGACTTGATACACTCACGGTCAAAAATGACCAAAAAAAAAGTTAAAAGCATTGTTTTCCCTCCAGTTTTTCTTTTCAATTGTATTCAATATGCAAGACATGTCTTAATCAAAAAAATATATATACATCGCTCATATCATGGATCTAAGCCCTATTGAGTCTTTCTGATGGTACGCTCTCTCTTGAGAGAGCATATGAATGATTAGGTGGCCAGTATAAATAACGTTTATAATTTGTAGGCTTTAGTGCAATTAGAGTGAAAAGAAAAAGATAGGTGTCAAATTTGCATTAGTTCTGGCAGATAGCACATAATATCGATACCAGGCAGTAATTGAGGCCAAAGGAGGTCATGCCAAGTATTGATCTTTTATTTGCAGGTTGAAGGTTTTAGCTATTATTACTGATAAACAGTTGCATGTTGAATATATGCCATTATTTCTCTCATGAATTCCTTAGGTTTAATAGATCGAACGGTTTTTTTTCCTGTGGCTGTATGACCATCAGGGTTTCTCTTCTTAGCAAGTCTAAGGTTTTTCTTTTTTCACACCAGCTGTTATCAAGCCTTTAGCAAAAATAGCGCTTGATATAGACACTGGATTTGCTCTCGTAGTAGGTCTGATAACAATAGCATGAGTAACATCTTTTGTAGCAATCTCGTGAATGTTTCATGCTTATACCAAACGCAGACTCGTCAAGACACGCACAATTCGCCAATAAGCTCATATTTATATATTTATATAATATTTTCAATTGGCATTGAACAAGTCAGGGAAGATTAATTGAAGGCTATATTTTTTTTCAAAATATTTCATGATATGTTGCAATTGTCTCGACAATACGTTTAAACTGTGGTCAACAATGTATGTAAGTCTATGGGCTCAAGACAATTGTTTTTATATAAAACCTTTTGAACATGTCATATTGTAAAGATTGAAAAGAGAACAAAAATGTTTGCTCCAATTTTTAGATTATTATTTTTTCGAGTGCCAAATACGGGCATGGTTTCTAAGCTAGCAACTTGGATTCTAAAAATACGAAATTGATCTTGACTTTCCAAGACTTCAATTTTGATTGGCTACGAGATTGCTTTGTTGGAAGCACTGTTATGTGTATTCTGACGTATATGAAAGAAAACATTCCAGCCAAAGAGATATTAATGGTACTCAATGGTCTGTTTTGGTTATTGATTATCATTGGTTGGTGCTTAAAGTACCGCTAGATCCAAAAAGTCAAGCATCCAGAATTAGTGAAACCCCTTGATATATAAAAATTATAATTATTTCTTTAAAAAAAATATTGAAACTTGTAACATTTTGCTCTCTCTCTCTCTCTCTCTCTCTCTCTCTCTTTCTTTTTCCCTCTCTCTGCTTTTTATTTTATTTTTGTTCTTGATACTTGCTTGATATTTTGATGTCTTGTATACCTTCCCCTGTCCCTCAACCATCTTTGATTACAGCCAAACCAAGGGCATCACCGCTCTCGGCTGGCCACCGGATAGCCCGTCCAGTATCCACCCGTCCGACTCGCATTCCTATCAAGCCAGCCAACCATGCCAGACTATCCAGTACAACCTCAAACATTACCGGAAGACCAACCCTTTTACCAGTTCCCGTCAAACACTTTCTCTCCAGAACCCCTTCCCCCTCCATCCCAAAGCCAAAACCACCAACATTAATACCCTCAAAATCACGGGTCCCGACCAGTATAGTTCATGCAGCCCCAAAGCCCGCCACAACAACACCACCCATCAATACTAATACTACTCTTAATAACACTGCTGTAAACACAAACACAAACACAAACACAAATGCAAATGCAAATCAAAATCCAACTACAACTACAAATCAAACTACTCCTACTAGCGCTATTAATACTATCGGACGCCCGGCAGTTCAAAAACGAGTACCTTCTTCTATTGCCCAAATTAAAGATAGTCTTGAGAAAGAACGTCAAAAGGTAAAAAAAAAAAAATTCCCAAAGAATATCTTTATTATTATGATGATTCTTTCAAAGAACTTCTGTGGCTCGGGAACTCTTCCTTTTTTTGCTAGTAATCCGTATCACAGAAATGAAACCACACACATTTACACAGACACATACGTTATTTTCATCATATTCAATTATACTTTTTTTTCTGGCACATGCTTGACCACCTCCCTTTCCCTTTCTCAATTTCTTTTTGTTTTGTTTTGTAGAACGATGAACAGCGTCAATGTATCGAACAACAGGCAGCTCAGATCAACCAATTAACAACCCAGTTAAAAACTCACAAGGATCAACACAATTACACACTAGAAGTCGTAACTCAATTACGCCAAGAACTAGAGGTGAGTTAAAAAAAGGGTCAAATATTTTTAATGTTCATATTCATACTGATTATGACGATGACAATAATAATGACTATATTTGACACTTGCCAAATTTAACTCATTAACAATAATAATAATAATAAAAATAAAAATCATAACAACAAATCCCTTTTTTTCTCTCTCTTACTATTCTAGGCCCAAAAAGAGTTGCAGCGACAGCTGCGGACTGAGAAAGAAACTCTTGAACGTACCCAAAAGGAATCTCTGGACCGAATCTCATTGGTCCATCAGTTACAGCTAGAAAGAGTGCGTGAAGAAGAAAGACTCAAACACCAGGCACCAAAGCAACCAGAAGAGTTACGGGCCCCTCCAACTCCCCCAAAACACACAGTCGAACAAGACCATAAAAAACTAGAAGCCACAATGAACGATGCAATCGAACGATTATTAAACGAAGTCGAACAAATCGAACACACCCATCGTGTCTCACCTACCAATATTCCAATCTCTCCTCACAATCCAGTCCGTCACGGCTCCCGTGCCTCATCCATGTCCTCAATCTCATCTTCTGGGGCCCTAACATCCCCGGGCTCGGAAAAGGGAAGTCGAGGTGGATTGGCAGACAGCTGGAATGCCAGATTTGCACCAACCCAAGCCGTGTCCTGGCCAGCACCCCAGCCCTTGACTATCCTCAAAAAGGCACCTGTTAATCCACAACCTGTATATGTCACCAAGAGTCTGGTGAAACAAAACATCGATTTACTTAATGGTATCAATGTCATCAAAAATAATTCTGGTCATATTGATGAAGATGAAGAAGCATTGTTGCGTGAGGTTGAAACCGAAATCAATAGTGGCAAGGTTTCTTCTTTGATTAACATAGATGATCTTTAAATCCCCCATTTCTTTCTTTCTTTTCTTTTCTTTCTTTCTTTCTTTCTTTCATTGTACACACACATACACACACACACATTTCTCTTGTTACCATACTCGACGGTACACATCTTTTATATAAACCGAGCTTTCAACAACAATACCAATAACCGACCGTCATCAACGATAACAAGCCTGCTTCTTTATCATCAAAAGACAATACAATACAATACAATACAAATTAGGACAAAACAAAACAAAAACATAATCTCGATCCTTTTATTAATATATATATATATATATATATATCTTCTTTATCATTCTTCTTTATGTTACCATATATATATAAAAAAAATCCTTCTTTATCATACCTCTCTTTCTTTATTTCGATATCTCTCTCCTTCCATTTCTACATTTCTCCCTTTTCTCGTTCTCTTTTTCCTTTATTTTAATATATATATAAAGACAATATATCCATCATCATAATCAACTTTTTATTTATTTATTAAATATAAATATGTGGCTTTTGGTTGCTATGGTTATGGGTATTGTCGTGGTCGTAAGTTTATGTTGTTTTTATAACTTTTAAATTATATTGTATTGTATTTTATTGTAGTATAGTATAGTATATTATATTGCTGTTTGCTTGTGCCCTTCACCATCTAACCAATCCACAGAATCAATTTTCTGAGAAGACGCACACTTTACCAATGTCGATTCCACTACTGCTACTATAGCCGCCGTTTCTCTTGGTTCCGTCATACCATTATTGTTGCTATTGTTGTTATTATTAATTGTGACTTTGGTTGCAGGAATATCGTTGCTGCACCGACGCTGCATATCTGCCACACGATTAGAAAATGCACTCATCTTGCGTGCATGGATTTCTTGCATCTCTTGGTTCCGTTTCTTACGCACTTCGTGAGTATCCTTGTGTTTATGAAAAAGTGTGCCGGCCACACTATAGAGCGTGTTCTTTTTGTTCGTCAGTGATCTATGGGCAGTCTCGGACTTGAAGCTGCCGCCGATTTTGTTGAGCAGACTCTTTTTGGTGGATGCAATCGATTGGCTGTCTTCGGTTTCTAAAGGAGGAGGAAGAGGAGGTTGTGAATAGAATTGATGATGAAGTTGATATTGATTTTGGTTTTGGTTTTGGTTTTGGTTTTGGTTTTGATGCTGATTTTGATGCTGTGTTTGTGTTTGTTCTTGTGCTTGTGCTTGTGATTGTGATTTTGATTTTGATTTTGATTGTGTTTGGGATTGTATATGCGCTAGTATCTGTGCTTGTGATAGTACTAGTGATTGTATCTGTGATTGTTGCTTAAAGTGAGGTTGTGGATTGGGTTGCTGCTGGTTGGAATCAATAAGCGGTTCATCAAGATCGTCAGTCTTTTTTGATTGTTTGCGACGGAAACTCGATGTCCAACGTGGAGGGGTGGATTGATCGACAGCTGCAGTTTGAGGTGGCGGATATGGTGGATCATCAAATATTAGAGCCTGATCAGGCGCTGATGAGTCGTGTGTTGTAAACGGTTGGTCAAACAAGAGGTCTGGTGTAGTAGGATGCGGGCTGTCCGAGCTCCAGTAGAGCTCGGAAGCAGCAGATTCTTCAACCAGAGTGACGTTGTCTGGTTCGGTGGAATAGACTAGAGATGTATCACTCGCATTTACGGTTGTGCTGCTTCCACTACTGGTGCTGCTGGAAGAGCTGGTGCTACTACTGCTACTGCTTGCACTAAATGATTCTGTAGGATTATTATTGACATTAGTATTGGCACTGGCATTGGTACTGATGTTGTAATTCATGTTATCCAGAGGCGCCTTGGGGACTGGTTTACGCACTGCCTTTGGAGTGTTTATCAAAATATCGGGTGCAGACGCATGTCGATCTCCTGATTCTGGACGGATTTCCGTCATACCACCAATGTTGGTTCCATTTCCAGTTCCAGTTCCATTTCCAGTACAAGTGCTAGTTTTTGGCGACAAGGACACAGACGATTGTGAGGGCGAAGGAGACATGCTTGGTTTTGGTATCCGCTCTCCAAACACTCCTCCTCTGCCGCCAGACGAACAAAACGGAAAATCTTCCATGTTGGGCAGCACCATGGTCTCGACAATAAAATCACGGATCTTTGATTCGATTGCGTTAGTCACCATGGCCAATTTGATCTGTTTGTCGGACACTTCGGGGGTGATGGCCCAGGTCATCTCGGGAGTTTCGCAGAACCCGAGCCAGAAACGGTTTGAAGGAGGCGGTTTGATCTTGATGTTGAACTTGCCGACGAACCGTTTCAGCTGGACTGAGAGGACCAGCCGGACTCGCAATGGCTTCATCAGAGACGAGTAAGACACGCTGAGGTCGGTCTCAACCACCACACAGAGCCCACCGGTGTACTCCACATGAGCCTCGGCTAGCAAATCGCCTTCAGGAGAGAGGGACAATAGACGGGGTCGAGTGATGTATGGAATAGATTTGCCGACATCAACACTCTTGACATGCAGATCTCCTAGAAAATGTGGCAAGTGGGCTTTTTTGGATTTTGTGGTAAAAGTATCCTGACAATATTTCTTTAAGGACTCGGTGCGGTAGATCCCTAGGAACAGACGACCCATGATTGCGTTGAGCCACTGGATTTCGTAGTGATTTGCATCCTGATGGACGGTTCCTATCAGAGCTTGCATTGCAGGCGGATCAAAGTGGGTCTGGTCAACGGTCTCGATGTGAGCCTTATCAGGGGATTCGGCCATCATCTCAGAGGCGGATGTTAAGGCCAGCAGCCAGTCCTCCTTGTCGACTGGTCTGGCACACATCAGATAGAGATCGGTGTTGAGTAAGTAGCTGTAGTCAACCTCGTGGGTGTCCTTTTGAGCAATTGTGGTGTGTTTGGATGGAGAAGTGGTGGTCGGGCTGATCTTGAGCCGGATGGCAGTGTGCCGACCAAACAACTCGCTCTCAGATTTGTTTTCGGGGTAGAGAGAGACCCTGTAGTCGTGCATTGGCAGAATCAGCCTCAGCTCCTGCTGGTCAGATCCTTCATAGAGAAACAATGCACCATGCTTCAGGACTCCATAGGCCACAACAAGGCCTTTGGATCGTCGGTTGAGTGGACCCAGGTATGCTGCCTGGATCCCTGCTAAAAGCCCACTTGACTCAGCATCCTTTGGTTTGTAACGAGTCGTGAGCCGGATCCAGCCCTGGTTTCCTCTCTGTCCGTACACGTCTTTGGTGACAGGCTTTGGTGGAGGAGGATCGACAGTGAGTTTTTCTGTCGCGTGTGTGACATATATCAGGATAGCAAGCAGTGGGAGGAAAGTCAGTCCACCAAAGACATAAATGCCTAGGAGTGTTAAGAATGTCATGAAAAGTCAAGTGAAAATGAAGAAGAAAGAAAAATAAAATAAAATATAAAATAAAATAAAATAGAATAAAAACAAAATAAAATAAAATAAAATAAAATATATAGAAAACCTAGCCCCACTGTATTCCCCCCCTTCTTTGTAAAGAAATACACACAATATATAATATTGTATTTCATATTCATAGTCTATATACACAATATATAAATATATTGATTTAAATCAATTCTCCCTTTAACCCCTCCTTTTTGTCGTTGTTGTTTTTGTTTGTCTTTTGGTTTGTTTTGACTGTGGTATTTGTCAGTATGGATTTCTTTGGTGCTTGTGTGAATATAGAATATGATTTTGATATGTAAAGAAAAAAAAACTAAAATACTTTCATAGCACTAGCCAACAAAATACAACAACAAAAGGGATCAATTTATTTTTGCTTATTTTTTGGCCCCTCTCCTCTTTTTCTTTAGTAAACATAAATATTGTACTCCTTTTATTACTCTCTCATTTCTTTCTCTTTACCTCTCGATCTTTCTTTCTCTCTCTTTATATTTTGCGTCACCCGCTGCATGAAATTACTCCGCGGAGTAAACATTTCTGAGGCTTAGCGTTGTCCTTTTGGGAAGATTTGAGCCTCAACAAACAACAAATAAGGAGTAAATTAAGTATAATATAAATAAATAATATAATTAATATAATTAAATAGACAGACCGAACAGACAGACAGACAAATAGATAGATAGATAGATAGATAGATAGACATAATATATAATATATAATTATTTATTTATATTATTAATTTATTAATTAATTAATTAATTAATTATTTATTTATTTATTTATTTTTTTTTAAAAAAAATATATAATTTGTATGCGCCCAGTCGTTTCTATTGCACGCGCGGGACTGCAGGCCAGAATGTTCACTACAGCAGTTTATGCCGTCGATCCCTCACACTTTGTGCCAAGTTTTTCACTTGAAGAAACTAACGGCACACTCATCACTCACCCGACTGACAAAGCCGCTATTGACGAAGCCGTTCAGTGGCTGAAACGTGGCGAAGCTATTGGAATTCCCACCGAAACTGTGTATGGGCTTGCCGCAAATGCCCTCTCAGCCGATGCAGTCTCGAAGATCTATTCAGCCAAGAATCGCCCCCAAGACAACCCCCTGATTGTACATGTGTCATCCCTTTCGATGCTCAGGGACCTGTTGCCTAACCGCATTGTTCCTGAGATCTACTTGCTAGTGATCAAAAAATGCTGGCCCGGACCACTGACGATCATCCTGCCGACTTCTGATCTCATCCCGTCCAGCGTGACATGCAACCAGCCCACCGTCGCAATCCGTTTTCCTTCTCACCCTGTCGCACGTGCCTTGATCGAAGGCTGCGGATTTCCTTTGGCCGCACCATCCGCAAACTCATCCGGAAAGCCGTCTCCAACTCTGGCCAGCCATGTGTTTGATGATCTGCAGGGAAGAATCCCAATGATTCTCGATGGTGGATCGTGCAACGTAGGTGTCGAGAGCACTGTACTGGACGGACTGCGCAACCCGCCTGCGATCTTGCGGCCGGGTGGAGTGACATACGAAACCCTGCGGTCAATCCCAGGTATGGAAAAGCTCCAGGTCTATCGCAAGGATTTTGTGGATAGTGCACTTGAGCAGGCACCCACGACACCGGGAATGAAGTATCGTCATTATTCACCCGAGGCAAAGGTCATCTTGATGGAGCGAGACTCGGAGACAAAAGAATCCGAGCCAGAGTTCAGAAGAAACTTTGAACAGATGTGGAAGGATGAGGTCAAGACAGCACAGCAGACCTTTGGTAATCCTATCAAGCGGATCGGAATTCTGCGAACCACAGGACAGGATGAAAATGAGCAATGGGAGGAGGTCAAGATGACGACAGACGGTGTCGAGTGTGTGATTCTTCAGATGGGTCGTCTTGGGCATCCTGATCAAGTGGCCAGAGGCATGTTCAAGGCATTGCGTGAATTGGATAGCCGTTCGGTTGATCTGATCTTTGTCGAAGGTGTTTCTGAATCCCAAGAAGGCATGGCTGTGATGAATAGACTTCGAAAGGCAGCCTCTAAAGTCATCGAGACCACAACACCAAACCGTGCTTAGTTAGACTATAACATTACCTTTTATTTATTTATTTATTTCTTTTTAGTAAGTTTTTGGCGTGTATGTGTGTATGTATGTATGTATGTATGTATTGTATCCAACCTCTTTTATTTTTTTTTATTTTTCATTTTACTATTTCTATTCCTATTCCTATTACTATTACTGTTCTTATTACTATTATCTTCAGACAACAACAAATGGTATATTCTTCTTTATTCAGATTCCCTTACCCCTCCTCTTTCTCTCACATACACACATATACTTCTCCCTCCAAAAAAAAACAACAAAAACAAAAACAAACTCCCCCCCCCCCCCCCAACTCTATTTTAGACATACTTCTTTATTGAACACAAAATACATATATAAATATAAATAATTAAAGTATCATAAATCTTCAAGTATAAAACTAGATATCTATGCATGTATAAACAAAAAAAAGGGTCCCTTTTTTTTAAAAAAAAAAATATAAAAAAAAAATAAAGAAAATAAATGCTTAATTTGGACAATTTTAATCCATTTGTAGGGTGAAGTGGAGTGAAAGTGAAAATGGAGGGAAAATACAAATACAAATACAAAAATAAAAATAAAAATCCCAAAAAGCAAGTAAAATGGCGATCTTTCTTTCTTTTTTCTTTGTAATTTTGTAATTTTTTTCTTGTACTCACAACATATTCCTGGTTTTTTTTTGTTTGGTTTGTTGTTTGGTTACATCTGTTGTCATGGTTACTAAAGATTTCCATGGTTACTAATGATTGCCATGGTTACATCTCATATCGTATTATCTTTTATGGTTGTCATATGGTGGATCTGGAGAACGCATTTGTTATTCTCACGTTCATGGTCTAGTAAACCAACCACTAGCTTTAAGTTTTATATATATATTTATTTATTTATGTGTATGATACTCCTTGAATATTTTATGTTTATGTTTATATGTCTGTTGTTGTTATTGTTGTTGATTTTAATTACCTAATTACATAATTACTTACTCGAGCTTAACTCGTATATACATACATATAAAGAATCTTAATATATTGGATATGAAATGGTTGTGTCGCCAATAAGTACTTGAGTTTTTTTGTTTGTTTCTGTTTTATGTCTATTGTATACAGAAGAGAAAGAGGTAAGAATTTTGTTTTGTTTGGCTGACAGATTATTGGTCCTTTAGATTCCCTTTCATGATCTGAATTCCAGAAATTAACCTTTCTTTGGTTTACTAAAAGGACATGCGATCTAAAAAAGAATAATAAATAAAGTCGCACAATCGTTTATATTCATCTCCTTCTGTAAGTCCCCCCCCCCCCCCCTCTCTTTCTCATTTTTGTTTTTGGGTTGTTGTTATCTCTCTCTCTCTCTCTCTTTCTTTCTTTTTTTTTCTGTGTGAATTACTCTTATATCTTGGACTCAAAATTGTATTGGATAACCTTAAATAGATACAGACATAAAGTTTAGCTTCTCTATTACAATTGTTATCATTATTGTTATTATTGCAGTCAGGCTTGCGGACTCTGTTGATTTAGCAAGAGAATAATTATTAGTTAATGGACTGATATATCACAACCAACAATCCAGTTTACGGAGCTATAATATCATTACTTCAAAAGTCTCGGACTTGACTTGTTGAGTGGTGTATCTCATAGTGTTATTGACCTGTTTGTTGAAAATTTGATGGTTTGATATTCCAGTTTTAAAGAACAATATGTGTGTATTTGAAAATGAATAATGTCCACATAATTTTGTTTCCAAGGTGGTCAGAAAAGCGTTCGTCTTTTCCAGCGACCAGAGCGGGAACATCTGAGATATAGAATTATAGGTACCATATAAATCGTTTTTGAAGGGTAAATTAGCTAGAAATTGATTTTCTTTCTAGATGTGTCTGTATTCCAATTGGCGTACAAGACAGATATTGTCATCTATGAAGCTTCTTTTGAAAGACAAATGATCATGTAGACAGACACTTCCTTTAAAAGAGCCTTCCACCAGACTTCAATACTGTCATGAGGAAATTCAAAGTTTCCAACAACAATAACAGTAGAAAATGAGTCCAGGCTATTTGAGACAGATGTATTTTTTTTTAAAAAAAAAAAGTTTTGTATATATTTCATTTTGTTATGCCACCCATAAAGCAATACAAAGAAATGAAAGAATAAAATAAAAGTTACAAGTACATGGAGATGGACATTGGCTGGTTCGGGTCAGTTCTAAACTTCTCCAACCAATCTTTAGATTAATTCTCGTTTGCTCTCACATTCTATGGAACTAAGCAAATAAACTCTACAAGCCATCACTATTCGTAACCTCTTTAGATAAAGGTACCAAATAATAATATTAAGTATCGTTGTATGAATTTTTTTTATAGAAATCGAACCATTCGAGTTGCCTGATTTTATGTTGCTGAATTAATTTATGATTTCAACAAGAGATTCTTGCATTTTGTCTATTCGATAGCATCCAAATAGTTAACCGATTATTATTTAACAGTGATTTTTACTATCAAAAATTGGTTAACTAGAAAGATTGTTTTGAAGGCTGTTGGTGTACATGCGATGTAATGATGTTCACTTGGAATCTCGTCTTTGACAAGACTTTTATTTTCTGTACGGATAATGTAGTGTGGTGGTAGAGAAGGTCTAGTGTTGTGCTGTAATATCTTGCGATGATGACGACAAACATCTCTCAACCTTAATTTTTATTTTATATTTTGACCATTTGCATTGTCATCCCCTTTCTACTAATTTCAATCACCGATATCACAATTTTTTTTTAAAAAAAATAAATGTGTGTCGTACACCATTCTCCCCCTTATTTTTTTTTAATAATAATAAACTGCGCGCAAGATTTTCGGTAATAACCAATAAAGAGTACAATTTTTTTTTACTTTTATGAATCGACAAAGCTCCACAAGCCTGAGTGTATTGACTTGAGCTTATAAAAGGAAGATATTAATATCCTGAAACACAATCTGCAAACATACATACATTTATATATATGTTAATATTTAATAGACAACACCCCCCTTTTTTTTTATCTATTCTTACTACTGAAATTATTTTAGTTAGTCTAACTGTCTGTGTGTAGAAATATAAAAGAATAAAAATTATCAGCCCATTGAATTGGACGTGCGACTGGATTGAATACTAAATAAATACAGAATATTGGTATTGGTATTGGTATTGGTATTGTTATTGTTATTGTTATTTGTAGAGTATAATTTAACAATGAAATTTGAGTATTTGTATTTGTATTTGTATTTGTGTGTCTATGTCTTGGGTTCCTTGACATTCAATTATTGCTAATAAACTCATTGCTATTGGCATCTTAATAGTCCTGTACATGAACATCTTCCAAACCAAACCTAAACTCTGCATCACAAGTCCTGTTGATATATATATATATATATCCATAATAAATTGATTAAACTCACACTTTCATATAAAAAGTATTGATCCTCTTTGACTTTTAAGCAAGGTCTTGTTGATCAAAAATAATAATAGTAATAATTTTTTGTACTACTTTCTCATAAAACCTAGTTTTCTTTGGTTTTCATATTCAGAGCCCAAAAAAATAAAAATACTAAAAAGAAGGGGCTTTATAGGTAAATGTTATTCAGGGCATTACTGATACGAATTTTTTTTATATATATATTTTATCTTTGCTTTCTGTGTGTATGTGTTAAAGTGCATGCATTATTGTGTACAGAAAAAGATGTGTAACTCAAGAAGCTCTTTATTCTTTTTTTTTGAAACAAGAGCAAAAAAAAAGAATAAAGAATATGTACAACTTTTGCCAAAACGATGTCGCAAGAAAAAAATTAAAGTAGAGGTGTTATCTCACAGAAAATTTGAACGAATTTTCTGTCACTTATTTTTTTGACAAATGATGCCAAGAATCTTTGTTTAAGCAAGATGTTGGTATAAGACCTAAACTACACAGAACATGATACTGAGACTAAAGATCAATATTACAAAGATAACTATAAGCTAAACAGATAATTAGGTGTTATTTACTGTGAAATAAAAACATTGTACTAGTATAAAGTCAGAAAGGTCTTTAAGATTTAAACATTTACGGCTTCTCCTTTTGGCTTTAGTTTCCTGAAATTTCTTATCACTAGTATTAAGATACTCGATCAGATCAGGGTTAATGAAAAGTATTTTTTATTATTTTGGGTATAGGTTGTCTTTATATTGGTATTAAAAAAGAAGCGCACTGCTTTTGATTTTCTTTCTCGCAGAAATTGTAAAGAATTAAATTACGATATTTAAGAAGTCCCGAATTTTCTGTGAGGCAACACTCTTTTCTAAAAACATACGACACTGATTTTTGTAAAAGTGCGACACTTTAATTTTTTTTTTCTTGCGACATCGTTTTGGCAAAAGGTGCACACAAGAGAGGGGGGATATTTGAATACACATGTCTTGTCATGTGTAAGTTAAAACAAAGCCATTTGACTAACAAGTTTGAATCAAGCGAGAATGTAAACAGCCAAAGAAGTCTAGTAGATTGGCTATTGACTGTAACCAAAAGGGCAAGTTTCAATATTTGTGAATGAATGAATTGAAAATAAAGGGTTCAAACCAAACCACATGAATTCAATTCAATTCAATTCAATTCAATTCGATTCGATTAATCTAATCGCCCGTTATATCGTCGGTTTAGCAAAACGGAACTCATTTCGGTCTACACATTTACCTTTGAAGGAATCATGCTTTCATTTTGCATTCTTTCTTGTGTGCAAATCAGCCTTTTCTAAACAAACAAAAAAAGAAAGAAAAAGACCCCACCAAAAGTAGTCTATATCATATTATATACTAAAAAGACCAACCAACCCCCCCCCCCCCCCTCCGTCCCCCTTTTTTTATTATTATTATATATATTTATACATACATTAATTTTTTTTTCTTTTCTTTCTTTATAAAAATACAACACATACTTCTTTTTCTTTTTCTTTCCTTTTTTTTTTTACTTACTTGCTTATTTATATGCTTCACCTATCAACTCAACCTCTTTCTGGCTATGAGCACAACCACCACAACCACCTCAGCCACCACAACATTAACCAACATCACCACCAAGGACCGATCCCGATCATCGCAACCGATGATGCCCAAATCGAAGACTCAATCACAAATCCTCATTATACATTCACCCAAGACTACCACCATCAGTCAAGCCCAATTCTGGAGTTCAAATCTGACCACCCATTTATGCATGTGACACAAGAGCCAAACCAGGTGTGTGACCCCTTGTTGGACGAAGTGTGTATTCTTGGTCAACATCAAAATACAACCAACCACAATAACGAAACCGACAACGACAACCAAGAAGACAACGAAGAAGATGATGATGACGACGAAGAAGAAGAAGAAGAAGAAGAATATGATGATGACGAATACGATGATGAATATGAACATAAAATCGAAACCAACAACAATCAATACAACCCTACAAACTTTCGCCTGCCATCCTTTCAACATTCTCAGTACGAGATTGCTGACCGGGCATTCTATTGCACAATCGATAAGTTTGCCCGCCAAAACTATCCCGAGCACAGACGAAGGGCTCCCTATTCGTTCCTTGAGAATTGGTTTATGCACAGCATGTACAGTAAATCACAAAAGATTCTTTTGGGTATGTCAACAACCACACCTGTAGTTATCCTTTCCGGGGACGATTACATGTTCACCCCTCCAGTCGCACAAAACCAATCACATTTTCAAGAGCTACTCGAACCAGAGAACCACAGACTTGGACATGAAATTGAAAATGAAAATGACCAAGAAGCACTCGATTACGATAATCTGATGCACTCTTGGGAGGATGAGAATTTCGGACACTACGATGCCGAATTCGAAGACTATGACTACCAAGACAGTCTCTTTGACCTCTCTTGCCCTCAAGACGTGGTGCCCTGGAGAGATGCGTCCGACCAAAGACTCCATTCAAACGAGTCTAACGGAGAACAGGCCTGGAGTGGCGAGCAATGGCATCAAGAATGCTTTTATTCAGTCGATCTTGAGGAACAAGCAACAGACAACAGTAGACGCCGATTGGTCAATTCTCCATTCTCAGTACCTGACCCCATGTTGCGAGATCATATCCCCATGACAATTACTAGCTCAGACCAAGTCCAAGAACGAGGACCTGAAGACAATGATAACTATGATGATGATGGTAGTGATGATCAGCCAAGTGACCGAGAAACATCTAGCCGCCCAACTCTAGAAGAAGACAGGAGCTCAGCCGGATCTTCTACTTCCTCATACCAGTCCTTGGCTGACATCATGTCCGCATCTCTAGAACACAACCCTAAATCGGCCAACAACAATAGATATGGTAGTACCGTGGTCGCATCCACACGTGCCTTTTCATGGAAATCACCAAGCTTGTTATCTATTGAACCCACGGTCGGTCTTTGGGAGACACTCTGTAAACGTACCGTCACCGCATCTGAAAGCCTTGTCCAGACCACCTCACTCGTGCTCGAACTTGCCTCAGCCGGCGATGTCAACAAGCTGAGTGGTGAAGAGAGTGGAATCAAGAACAGTCGCATGTTTCCACGCCCTTCAAGGCTCTTTCGATTCACAGTCGGTATTCTGTCTGTGTGGCGAACACTATTTGTGTGTGCAGAAACCCTTTTGAGCGATCTCTGGGGACCAAAGTAAAAAAAAAAAAAAAAAAAAAGCAGAAAAAGAAGGACATGTCCTTCTTCCTCTACTACTTCTTTTACTTGTTACAAGGTGTCATTATACATATTATATATACATACATTTCTCTGTTTATTCCTTTACATTCTTTTATTATAATTTCTTTCATATTCTTTTTCTTTATTATATTTACCTTGTTTTTCTTATTATTCTTATTATTATTATTAATTAGGGGTAAAGGTGTATATTCAAATCTTCGACAAACAGTAATAATAGTAATACCAATAATGCTAGTAATAGTGACATTTATTGAATATATACATATATACATATATACATATATACATACCAATTCAATAACGGAATTTTCTTCTTTCTTCTTTTTCATTCTTTGTCCTTGTCTTTTTCTATATTCATTTCAATATACATCTAATCATTGTGTACATAAAATACATATACAATAAACCATAATAAAATAATAAATAATGCATACATTCCAATATCAACTCTTTCTTTTGTCTCTCTATATAAATAAATAAATATATTCTAAGGACGATCGAATGCTTTGACATCAATATTCTGGTAGATATCCAGCTGTTTCACACCAACATCCTTTGTGACCAGCACCGAAATACCGGCTGATTTGGAAAGAGTGGGGTAAACTCGACTAGAGAGGGCAAACCGATCATTGGCATAAACCTCAACAACAGTATTGTCAATAAACACTCTCAATTTGAGAGTCTCGATCTCGACCTTTCCGTTCTTAGACCCAATCTTGAACAATGGCAAGGGTCCGGTCTCGGTAGAATTGGGATATCCAGGGCTCCTGCTGAGACTCGATCGAGAGCGATCAATGTCGATCTTGGATTGCTTGGGATCATACACAATTAGAGTTTCTTCATGCCTCTGCCCCTCGGACGATTCAAGGATAGACAGACCAAAGGGTGCGGATTGCTCGTGAAACTCAAATTCAGCAACAATTTCGGCGTATCTCGTAGACACCCCAGGAATGGAAACACGGTTACGCTTATGTTTGCGGATAGCAGAGGCAGTGCTGTGATGATTTTTTAGAGACCAGAGAGAACAATCTTTTCGCAGAGACTTGTATTCCTCCATGGGGCGGATGGCGAGAGTTGAAACAGTGACGGTCTTTGAATCCTGGTCAGGAGTGGTGGCAACCCAACTGGCGTTCTCAATGGCAACCAAAGGATCGGAGACCGAGACATTCTTGATCTCAATAACCTCCAGTTCACGATTAAGACCAAACATGCCAGCCCATCCTTGGCTGTTTCTGTTGTTTTCGTTGGTCACGCCATTCACGGTCACTGGTACGATGTCTTCAGGAATCCAGCCAGTCAGCAACACACGGTCAGGGTTCTTTGGATCCTTCCAGGACACCGCTGCATAATAGTTTCCCCAGTCAAGCATACCAGTCATTTCTTGGTTGAGGCCAGGGGTCAATCGTTGGACTTCCTTGCCATCAGGGCTCAGAAGCTCAAACGACCGCCCAAGGGTCCAGACAGCCGAGTGCAGATCGTGAATTAGGCGGCCACCTTCGACTCCCAGAGTAACCAGGGTCCATTCGTCCTTGGTGGATGTGGTGGGCATCTCGACATAGGAAGCAGTCTCGAAGTTGTAACCCAGGCGACTGCTGTATTCAAGGTTGCGAGTGAAATTCTCTGGTGCGGCAATCATAGGTCCATGGAAATTCCAGTTCTCCCAGTCATTGGATTGGTAGAGCCACAGACGAGGTCCGTCTTGCTGGATCCCAGACGAGACGGTGGTGTAGATTGAATTGGGATCCTTTATATTCAAGAGGGTATCGAGCTTGGAGGACCGGAAAAGGTAAGGATCCCGGAAACCGGTAACATTGAGACCTTTAGGGGGAGCGGTAATGACAGGTCCAACCTTGACCCATGAGTCGCCATTATCTTCGGTATATGCCAAGACCTGCTTTTCGGCACCAACAGTGTAAGGCAGTCTCCAGCCAAGAGGGACATGGGATACACCGGTATATAGCATGGTCGTCTTGTTCTGATAGCCGTTCTCGAGAATAGTACCATCAAAGGCACCTTCAATGTCAAAGGGCTGATCGGGATAAATTGCCAACGGCTTGTCAATCCACTGGATCATATCTTTGGATACAGCATGACCCCAGGTCATATTTCCCCCTACAATAATAACAATTTTTTTAATTATGCATATTAGACAGGAGAACTTTGATTTGATTTTTTTTAAAGTAAAAGTAATATATAGTTAAAAGAAAGGCTTACATTCTGCACTGTAGGGATTGTGCTGGTAATAAATGTGGTAATATTCACCATCGTGCCATGGTGCAGAGGGATCATTCATCCAATTGACAGGACCTTGTAAGTGATACTTTGGGCGGTTTGCAGTAAATGTGGTATTGTCGGCACCATACCCGGTCTCGATCTTTCCCAGGGATGCTTTGATGGATTCAAAGGGGATAGCATGTGTCTCTTTAAGCATGACAACGCTGATGAGACCAAGAGGCAGGAACAACTTGTTGTAATCAATCTTCATGTTTAATGCGACTTGATGAATTTAAAGAAACTCAAGTGTGTACAAGACTTGTTTGTTGTTGTAAAAAAAAAGCCAATCTTTATATACAAATAAGATATATGTATATATATATATATATATATATATTAAAATTAACGTAGAAATGAAATTGGAGTAGTTGAATGAATCAAGAAGTAGAACGATTATTTGGTTTGCTTTTTATACTTTTTTTTTTAGAAAGTATCTTTACTGTAAAGACAGAGTCTCTTGCAATTATTTATATCGTACTACGGAGCGTTGCTAAAGGAACCCCTCCCACACACATACACACATCTTTCTATGTGTGGGATGCAAGTAATTGTTCTGCATATTCTATGGGAGTTTCTAGGGAAATGCTGGGAAATTAATTGGTCTTTCTATTTACCAATAACATTTACTCTTGGACTTCTTAGTCTCAGATTTTGCTAGGCGCTTTCATGAACAAGCTAGATTCTACTTCTTTTTGATATAATACTTTTTTACTTGTTAATGATGAATATTATAATGCTCGTATCAGATACCATTAGCTGCCTTTTCATACATATATAAATATATATATATTTATTATAACGAAATTAGTAGAATGTATTTAAAAAAGGAAAATAAAATACCATATTTTCTCTTTTTCTTATTCCTTTTTTTTTCATATCTGGGAGGGAATATTCGGTAAATCCATAAATTTAGATTTAAATGCCCCGAATTTTCCGGCTCGATCACATCAACCTTTTTCATATGTTTTTTTTTTTTTTTTAAAAAAAAAAGAAAGCATTATACAACTTTACCTTATCAACTACTTATATACCACTAAATTGACTTTAGTAAAATTCCCTTTTAAAAGAGATTGATTTGCTTTTTCTAAGAAAGTTTAATGTTCATATAACTTATAGAATTGTATTGTATGTAAACTGTAGATGATATATAATCAAGAGAAGTAATAAATTAAAGGGTGTATTTTCTGCATACATTATGCTTATAAGATGAACCTATTTGATATTAAAAAGGAAAACTAATAATAATATTAATTATAGCTTGTACACAAATGTGAGTTTTTAATATGATTTCCATGGCTACCAAGAAAAAAATATATAGTGCCAGACAGAACTTCTTTTCTCTTTGCCCATACTACTACTACTATATCTTGATTCAATCTTAAGGACATGGTTTCCCCTCTTGCAACAGCAAAAAAATAGTTCGTTAAGAAAATGAAATCTAGTAGTGTATTTGGATTTGGAATAGTAATCTGCGGTAGTTTTGTCAAGGACCTTTATTATAGATAAAAAGATTCTTTTTCAGGATAGTCTTTTTACTAGATTGTAGCTTTATTGTACGTTTCTAAAGTAATATAACAGCTCATGCAGTATCATTTGCTCATGTATTGATATCCATAATATTCTTAAGTCGACCAGTCTATCCAAACTATACTAATTTTAATGTAATTTTGAAAGCAAAATCCACTCATGGACTCGAACCAATGAATTGATTTTTTTCTCAAGTAATAAAATCAATTTTTTTTTGGTCAGCCAGCACTTTAAGCTTAGAGTACCATAATACAATAAGATTCTATTGAGGCTGAGTCGGTCACACATAATACAGATTTTACAAAGGAGCACTATTGGCCTATCTTATTTTGCTTTATAATATTCTGTCAAGAAAGAACTGCAATTGTGCCCCTATTTCCCTTTCTTTATTACGTAGTAGTATATGAAGTAGGTGTAGATATTTCTGCTCAAAAGAAGAGAGAGAAAAAAAGAAACATCAGAATTTATAAATAATACTAATATTAGAGAATGCAATTGGAAAGTTCTTATTTTCTTTTTTTTATTCACACGCAAATATATGAATAACCCACAGGTCCAAACTTGGAGTTGAAATGAACAAATGGGAGAATGAAGTAATATTTTAATACTTTAATATGATTATGTACTATCTTACTGTCAGTAATAGTATGTGGGTTGTGGTACAAGGAACATCAAAATGTTGACATTTTTTTTTACAATTTACATCCCATAGTTGGTACATATGCATATGATTTTGGTTCCATTGATTCCCAGCCTAAGCGGGAAATATGCTTATATAAATATATACTAAATTAGAAAGACAAAAGACAAAACCAAAAAATCTGTGATGTTACTTGTATGTCCATCTCAAATACGGATTATATTACCATCATTAATTCTTATCATAAAGAAAAGAAAAAGGAAAATAATCATGATTCAAATAATCTGTAAATTTGCTCTTTTGATTCTATTGATAGTTATCTGGAATTTCAGTTATATAATTCTACCATTAAAAATAACTTTGTTTTTCTTCTTCATATCATTTAGAGCTGTCGATTTGGTATCCAGTACCTGAGAATTGTTACCATTTACACGCACAAAATCTCCACAAATTGGAAAAATTTGGTAAAAAAAAAAAGAAGGAGGATATATGGAAACAAACCAATCTATTCCTTCTTTCTTTTCCTCTTTGAAAATGGGATAATCTTGTATAATGTCATTTCGACCAATGGCTTACAAAAAAAAAGGTCTGTCTTTCTCTATACTCTATCTACAGTTATTAAGCCAAGATTGAGTTATAAGAATAGTAGTGTCAATTATTTCCCGCATAATGTTACCGTATTTTTCCACAAGGTCCATTCTTAATATAGATACGCCTGTCAAACTAATACATATTTACATACACACTCATCTACCTACATATGTATACATTTGGAATATACATATATATATATGTATATGAATTAGTATAAGACTATTCTTTTTTAAAAAAAAAAAGAAATAATAAGGATACAAGTCATTCCAGTATTATGGAAATCATGTACACATTCTAATATTGCATCATAAGCATACAGTAAACACAAGCGGCCTCAAACCATAATAATATTAAAAATAGTAGCAGATTATGTTTATTGACCGAGCAAACGGACTAAAATAGTTGTAGCTTATCCTGTCAGAAATAACTCAATTATATATATTATTAGTAAATAAATTATAAAAGTAATAAAAAGGAAGTATGAAGCGTAAATAATAGTCAGAATATCTTTAAAGAATCTGTTGCTCATGTTTTTTTTGTACTTCTGTAGTTTCTCTGAGATTTTCTTACTTTCAAGTTCAAATTTGAGCTAAAGATACTATAAGAGTGTTGTTTGCTTCAAGAATAAATAAAGAAAGGAGATCACGGCTACTTGCATGAATACTTGAGTTTCTTGATTGAGAAAAAATGGTCTTGGTTAATAACTAGCTGTAACTGAGCCAATGTAAAGAATACAAGTATTTTCTATAAGCTAGGTTTCTGAAAGGCAATCATATACAAGTTATTAGAAATTATAGGATCTTTACTATATCACAAATAAGCTCATTCCCTTCAACTGTAGAGTATATACTATACTCCTCCTTAACTTTCTATATATGGCCTGTGAGGTATTCGGGATTGTTTATGGGTTAGTATCTCAATATATCGGAAAGTAGATACTATGAATGTCGAGTTTATTAAAGAGAAAAAATAATATTATTTATATCTGTTACTATTAAAATTCCTGTAATTCAAATTTCTGTTGTGTAATAGTTGATTTATACTGTATGAGTGTGTAGTGTACGTATGTTTGGTATGTAACAATTCCGGAGATTGTTAACTTGCCAGGCTCATTAGCAAGAAGAAACCAGTGTTTGATTGTGGGGTCTGTTCTTCCTTCAATTGTGGTGTGTATACCACAGATTGGATTATTATTCTTCTTTATTTTTCTTTTATTTTTATTTTTTAAAAATAACAATACTAAATATAATATATTATTAGGGTAATTAGATACTTTTATTATCAAATAGCTGAACATACATTAATTTTAAATATTCATTTTTTCTTCTCTTTAATTGAGTAGACTACTTTGGCAACAAAAAGACTCAAAATATTTATTAAATATTACTTTATTATTACTAATTATTATAAATAAAAACAAAGCAGTGAAGATCATTTTATTATGATTTTCTGCTCTTATTAAATTATTAAATAGCTCTACATTATATATATAAGACAAAAAAATTAATATAGTTATTTATCTATTTTTTAATTTTTTTTTTAAAAAAAAAACATATATACTCATATATCAAAGTGCAGTATTATACGTGAAATCCAACTATTTAATTTTCACTTGCCGACATTTTTTTGCTACTTTTGCTACTTTATTTGTAGCATTTAAAAAATAGACAGTTTAGTACGATTTTTTTCTAAAGTACGCTTCCAACTACGAAGTGATAAAATTTTGTTTTTTTGATTATACGACATTAGGAGAAACAATATATTTAAACACCTCCGCATTTTTTTTTGTGGAGGGATTTTTCTAGCCTCACAAAATTGCTACGCTCCTAGGTGTTTTTGAGCACTAAAAAATTCTTAAAACAGCTGAGATCCAAAAATGCCCTGAAATCTACAAAAAAGATTGGGCATTTGAAATTTAAATTAATTATTTTATTTTATTTTATTCTATTTTGTTTTTGCTTTTTTTTTACAACTTTTCAATTAATATTTAATTTTTTATTATTATTTGATAACAAGTAATTGACTCTCTTATTTCAATTATAACTTTATTTAACTATTATACTACATTGTAATTAAGGTATTTGTAATTGATTTTGAGCTGGTATCTCAATATTAAAAAAAAAGTATATACTTTGAGAGTGTTATTTTTTTAAAAGGATAAAATATTAATGTTTAATCTGGTACTATTAACGTCTATTGCAATTCAAATTCATGCTATTTAATGAGTAGCTTATATTATATAAGTTTGTAGTGTACATATACTTTATGTATAACAGTTTTGAGAATTATGAATTTGTTAAATTAATTAGCAAGAAGGAACTAATGTTTAGTTGTAGAGTCTGTTTTTTAAAAATGTAATATTTTACAATTTCAGTATTGAGCAATAAAAGTTATTCTCAATATTAAAATTTAATACTTATATATTCATTAATAATTAACAAATAGTATAAATGCAATACAGATATCAATAAATGAAGACCTTTATTTTTTTTAACTATTCAAATTATCTTCTTTTAGTAATTTCACCTCCGATGTGCTACGACTGGTATTCAAAAATCTACATAAGGACACACAAAATCTACCTAGGGCCACACAGAATCTACCTACTGAACAGAATCTACCCATATGGCAAAATTTGCTCACACAAATCTACTTGGACACACACAAATCTACTTGGACACACACAAATTCACTTGGACACACACAAATTCACTTGGACACACACAAATTCACTTGGACACACATAAATGCACTTGGACACACATAGATTTATTTGGGCACACACAAAATCTACATATATTTTTCTCACATAGAAATCTACCCAGATAGCAAGATGCACACACATACATACTTCACTTAAAATTAATTCTAGACCTAAATAAATAATAAGCAACAAAAAATAAAAAATAATTTTTGTAATTAAAGGCAGTACATATACAAACAACTATAGCTCTTTTTTGTTTCTGTAGATATATCGAGATAAATAATATATGGGTAGGGGAATACTGAGTCGATTTGATTGAAGTGAAAGCTGCAAAAAGAATGAGAGTATAATTTAACAGTGATTTTATTTAAGAATATTAAGAAAGTTTTAACAGAAGCTTATTTGCGTTGTGTAAAGAGCGCAGGATAGTGAGATAGATGGAAGCCGCATATAAGAAATAACTTTCTTTATATACTATAAGTTTTAAAATTATGGTGTGCACTTACTGAATGTTTCTTATCATTATTATTATTATATGTTTGAACATTCCGATGTGACATGAGGAAGATTACCATGGTGGGACTTTGTATTAAGTGATGTCTGTTTGCTCTAGAACAGGTTATTTAAGAATATAGTGAAAGTCAGAACTTTTGAAGATTATGCCTAATGGGATGGGCTCATTGTCATTAAAGGTCTTGGAAGTAAAAGTGTATAAATATTATATCCGTGCAAAAGTTGAAAGCCAGTTATGAAAATGGTGGTGTATGACACTTACAGATTAAAAAAAAAAGAAAAGCCTAGTGAGATTTTCGGCGTCGACTTTGATAGCGTTGTGAAGCTGGTATTGCTAGGCTTAATAAAAAAGAGAGAATATTATAGTAATCGGTGTCAACTTTTAAAGTGTCGAGAAATTTATAAGGACATGAAGGTTTGACCTAAGGTTTGTTTTCTGTCCGACTCGTATATATGGTGGACAGCCATCAAAAGATAAAATAAAGAGTATGCACTCTTTTTGTATTGCATCGATTTCTGTTTACTTTGAGCTGTAATATTATATGAATGACAATCCTCAAAAGGAATGAAGATTCTCGAAATTGATGGAGGGATGGAAGGAATGTCGAAAGAAGATTCAAGCCATCGTTAAAAAGAGTTTTTTTTTGTTTTGGTTACGACACAATAAAGGCTTTTGAATACACAGTCCTCTCTCAACGATTGTAAGTAAACACTAGACGGTCTTTCAACCTTTTTATGGGTAACAGTATCGCTGCAAATAGGCCCTGAGGTAGTCGGGACAGTTATAGGATTAGTATCTCAGTATAAGTAAAAGTGGATACTGTGAGAGTGCTATTAAAGAGACAAAATAATAATGTCTATATTTAATATTAACTAAACCTCTTTTAATTCAAATTCTTGCTGTGTAATAGTTGGTTTGCATTGTGTAAGTGTATAGTGTACATGTTCCTAGTGTGTAGCTGTTTTAGAGATTGTTAACTTGCCAGGTTCATTAGCAAGAATAAACCAGTGTTTGGCTGTGGAGTCTGTTTGTCACTTGTTTATGGTGTGTATCGCACTTTATACAGTTAAATGATACTTTATGGGCTCATTTTTTTTAATAAATACAATATAAAAGTAGAATAAGAATTGAGATATAAATGATTTTTTTTAGTAAAGGAAAATAAAGTAGCTTAATGAAATATAAGCCAGAATTAGATGTTCATACCAGTCTTTGCTTTTATTATTATTATTATTACTATTTAGTCTAAGTTGGTTAACGCTCAATTGACCTTTTGGATTTTAACAGAGAGTTATTATTTTGATAGAATTCTTGAATGATGAAATAAACAGAGGTAAATTCATATGTTATGCTATCCTGTAATTTAAATACCCAACCTTTATTTTAGATTATATATATATATTTAGTAACAGCACTTTATAAGAATTGGATAAAACAAATTGATCCAATTACATCTCCTATTTCCCTTTTCCCTTTCTACTTTTATACATAGCATACAAATATAATATCATTTCATGTGCTGGTGCGTACATAGTAAATTATCACTGCATTATATTAAAGATACAAATTCAATCAATGTACATATATACATATAAATGTTTGTCGGTATATTTCTCATATCTTTATGGCGCACAGACCACTTTATGTCGTCCATATTTTTAAAAGTCAAAAAACAAAAAAAACAGCCACGTTGTTTTCTGTCGGTAATATAACCTTTCTCTTCAAAGTCCGTTTGATTCATTTTGCCACCGCCTTCATAATCAAAACCATCATCCTCGGATAACTGTATAATAGCCAGTTTTTTGCAAGACCATAAATATATGTATTTAATGTTTTTTTTATTATGAATTATAAGCCAAGATAGAGATTCTCTAAATGTTATTATATTAAATACTATTTTTTTTAAGATTGAAAAAGTACCATAATACAAGGGTAAAATATTGTAAAAAAAAAGTGAGGATGTCATTATTTTGATTATTAATCCAAAGCTATTTTATTGATTTATATATATTTAATTTCCCAAAAGATCTATTAGAATACAACAAACGGACATATACCTATTGCTCCTTGTTTTTTTTTTGAAGAGCAATGATAGGTGGCAGTGTGTGTAATGTTATACACAATGGTCTATAGTATCCGGACAGACTTACCTACATATCTACCTCTCCATTTTTGTTTTGTTTTGTTTGATATAATATATAATATATGTACTTCTTGAGAATTTTAGAGATTAGAGGGCTTGGCTGGCAACTACCAGAAATGAAGACAAAATTAATGAGATTTGGGTTTGTGAATTAGTTCATTTCTTTTACTTTTGTTTTCTCACGTATTTTCTCTGTTAATGTTTTGGTGCCGTAATATGCACTATTAGCTTGAGTTCATGATTAAGGAATAGGGTTAAAGATAAAGATAAGAGTAACTAAAAGAAAGAGTGAAATAGGGAAAAGGGAAAATAGACTACCGACCGACCGATACTTACTGCGGTATTTTACTATATTTAAAAATAAGCCAAGTTATATTTTTGTAGTATCTCAGTGCTGTAGTGTGTTGAGAGAAAATAATAGAAATTTTTTTTTGGTTGAGACGGCGATGAGAATCCGATTGAGTACAAAAGAAATGTAATCTTGGTCGCACAATTCAAGAAGAACAAAATCACACACAGGATTCAGGGAAAACATAAATCCTAATTTTGTTCTTTTCTTTCGTTCTTTCTTTTTTTGGTTTGTTTGTTTGTAAATTTGAATAATTGATTGCAATTTGGCGTTTTAAGGTATTAAATATTCTTTTATAGAAAAAAGGTAGAAATAGGAAATGATGATGGCAATGATGATATTAATGTTATTAGTTAAGTAATGTGGGTGGGTTTTTGGGTATAAGATTACACGTCCAGGATGTTGCAGAATAGAATACATTCATATGATTTCATTAACTTTGTTTAAACAACCTCAGGTACTACACTGAATTATACTATATTTCTTTATATACATAGTTTACTGTTAGTATTAGTACTTAGGATTATATTTATCCTTTATACCACAAGCTTTGATAAAAAGGAATATTGGAGGAAAAAGTGTACCCATGATTATAAAGCAATGACATGGCATGGTGTATATCAATTAGAAAATAATGTAAAGAAGAGGGGACCTTGATCTTGATCTTGATATTTCTGCTTTCTGATTGGTGTGTCTGTATAAGTCACTAACAACAATGCTATCATCATTATAATGATGATTATTAATTGATTAAAGAAGTGTAATAGAGCACGCATTTATGATAATAATTACAGGTAGTAACGAGATAAACTAAAGGCATTTTAATCAACATTATCATTAACAAACAAGCAAGCAAGCAAGCAAAATACAAAGGTCATCTAGACCACAAAGAATCAAAAGGTTACACAGGGCCATTCTATTTTTCTCTTACCAAAACACTTTCTTTGGTTCCGTACAACAGAGTTTGTTGTAATACAACAAGATTTGAACCCCCACATCTCTTTTTTCTCCCTTTCTCCCCCTCCTTCTCCCCCTCTGCTATCACCACTCATTTGCACTTGTTTTCCTTGTAGATTGTACACAAAACCCTAAATATTCTTTTGTTGAACCAAAAGATATATAAAACTTATATAGCATTAGTAGTACCACCATAGGTGAATAAGAATCATATCTTTTTCTATTGGTCTTTCAATTGATAGACTTTGTTTCTATCTCTATTTAACTCTCCAGTAAATAAACGACTGCGCCTTCGGTGTAATTTATTCTTGAAAGATCCCTTGCTAATATCCATAATTATAATATTTTTTTTAAAAACAAAAATATGTACATCTTTATTAAAAGTCACTCCTACCTTTTGCCTATCCCAATTCCTTTCTTTACCTTCATTTTTTGGTGTCGTATTTGAAAGAATACACCCGCAAATCAGACAAGTGCGTTTGTCTTTCTTTGGGTTTCTGATTAAATGGTTTATAATATACTTTGAGCACAAGCCGGGTAAAAGAACTTTTCAGAGCTTGAATAATTATCCATCTTATTCGGAGATCCCCAGCTTTGGGTCGGATCAAATTGTCAAGAAAATAAATAAATATATAGGGATCAAAAAAAGGTAATTTACAATAAAGAACCTACTTTTCTTTTTCTGATCTGATCTAGACAAAACTCTACAGATCAAGCTTAATTTCTCCATATTTATATTTATATAATATAATATAATATAATATAATATAATATAATAATAAATAAATAAATAAATTAGAAAAATTTTCATTATTTAAAAACTAAAAACTAAAAAAAAAAAAGAGCTTGGCTATTTATTTGTATTTGTATTTGTATTTCTTTTTCTTTTTCCTTTACCTTTCTTACCTAACTACCTTTACTTCCTTTTAAACTATATACATAAGAAAGATGACCAATCCTACGTTAAATGATCCACCAAAACGCAACAGTCAATCATCAATACGATCAATTGCTTCTGCCCTCACAGTCTCTTCTGAAACAAATAACGATGCTAGTTTTGATCCCAATTCACTCACATTAACAAACCCCAACAAAGTCGCCCTGGACCTCGAAAAACAAATCTCGCAATGTGAAAAATCAATAGCACAATCAAAATACGGCCATAGTCTAGAAGAAGTTGTTTCAAGGCACACACGTAATATTCTTATATACATATACAGCATTCTGTCTTTTTATTGACATTCAATTGGTTGGCTGGTTGTTACTATAGACATGGATGCTGCAAGTATTATTGAGCCTATTGGTGATCAAGCATTCTATGACTCTATACCAAACGGTGGCTATGGCTGGTAAATATACATATACATATACATATATATAATTGTATGCATGATATTAATAATTGTATGAATTTCTGTACTTTGGGTGACTATCATTATTGTTGATCCAGGGTTGTAGCATTTGCAGGATTCCTTGGCAATTTCATTTTGTTTGGCATGGCCACTATTTGGGGTAATACAGATTTATTAAAAAAATAATAATCCAATACCTATTACAAACTCACTCACTCACTCACTCACATATATATAATGTCTTTAAACTTTAGGTGTATTTTCAAATGAACTTTTAACCAACGAGTTTAAAGACAAAGCAACAATGCTGGAAATGATGGGTGTCGGTACTGTTCTGCTGGCCGCAATCAACGGACTTACCTTTTTGAGTCCACTGATGGCCCGTCTTGGATACCGTCCTGTGATGGCAATTGGCACAATCTTTAGTACACTTGGACTCATTCTGGCCAGCTTCAGTACTCAGATGTGGCATCTCTATCTATCTCAAGGGCTCATGTTTGGACTTGGAGCCTCGATTGTCTACATGGTACATAACCATAATATATCTCAACAATCGTCAATTCAAAATAATTCAAAATAATTGATCGTTGATTACTAATCCATAAAATCGGAACACTTTTACAGTCTGTTGTTGCCATAATTCCTCAATGGTAAATATACTCATACATGTTCTTAGCTTTTTCTTCTCTCTCTTTTATTAATATGTGTATAATTTTGTTATATATTTCAGGTTTACTACTAGACGTGGATTTGCTATGGGAATCAGTTCAGCTGGTACTGGCTTTGGAGGTCTTGCACTCAGTCCATTGGTAAAATATACATAATCATTGTTCTTTCTTTAAAATTATCATATTCCATTTATTAATCTGCATTTTTTTCTCTTACTTATTTTATATTCACACATTTGCATGAATTTGCGTGTATGTGTGTGTGTGTGTTTTTTAATAGGCCAATTATTTGATCGAGAAATACGGTATTCCTTGGTCTTATCGAATTATCGGTTTCCTATGTCTTGGAATCTGTACAGTCGTAATCATCATGGTCCGCACACGTTTGCCTCCAAACCATCCACGCCCAACCACAAAATCACCAATAAAAGTAGCTATGCTCAAGGATCTAAATTACATGCTCTGGGTTGTTGGAGCAGTTATCTCTCTCACAGGCTTCTATATTCCTATATACTACATCCCAAGTAAGGACCCCAATTCTTTATATGCATACTATACTACACAATTAATGGTATTGTTTTAATTAATTTCTAATTATTAATTTTGTTTTCCCTTTTATTCTTAAAAAAACAATAAGGATTTGCAACATCTATTGGAGTAAACCACACAGACTCTTCTAATATCGTAGGTGTCTGCTGTGCTATGAATGCAGTCGGCCGCTTGATACTTGGGTTTATCGGTGATCGAGTCGGACGTGTCAATACTTACATTGTAGCCTCAACTCTGTCTGGATTGTTCTGCATGGTTGTCTGGCCATTTGCTACTACATACAATACCCTTCTTGGATTTGCAGTTCTGTTTGGATTCTTTGGTGGTGTATACTATGCATTGGTAAGACCATTATATCGTATAGTATTTTATATAAAAACTAATAATGTTTCTGTTTTTTAAAGGCTGCTCCTATTACTGGAAATATCGTTGGTATCGAAAGAATCTCATCAGGTGTATCTATCCTCTTCCTTGCTTCTGCACTCTCTGCTGTCGGTCCTCCGATTTCTTCTGCTATTCAGCTGTCCACTCCAGACAACAGTTTCATTGGTGTCCAAATGTTCTCTGGTTCAGTATTCATCATTGGTGCAATGATATGTCTGGTGATGAAGATAAAGATCACAAAGAGTCTGTTTTCTGTCTACTAATATCTCACAAGGCAAAACACAAAAAGACATACAGAAAATGAAGGAAAGAGCTTAATTATACTTCTTTTCTTTTCACATTTATTCCATTCATTTTAGCATTAATATTCTATCATTCATTTCCATTCATCTTTCCCTTTAATTCACACCCTTACCTTTCTCATTTCCATTATTTTTTATATTAGCATTTGTTAACCTCTCTTGTTCTGCAAAAAAAAACGAATGGCAATTTTTATCTGACCAATTGCTTGGCATTTCCCACCCCTTTCTTTATGTATATACTTAAATATACATATACATACATATACATACATATCTCTAATGACCTATCTGTCTATCTGTCTATCTAATATCTAATAATACTTTTTATATTATCATTTTTTCCTGTCTTGACAAGTACGCATATATTTGCATTGTGTTAGCCTTATTATTGGCATTGTAGTATATTATACATGAGGGATAGCCTTTTATCTGAGTAGGTTGGCAGATAGAGAGATATACATACTCTTATGTACAGATGTAAATGTCTGCAGATTTAGCCTATACACGTCTCCTATAAATATTAGCCAACATATTTCTTCTTGTCAAAACAAACATCTTTCTCTTCTTCTTCTTTGTCTTCTTGGACCAACTCTAAAGCGAAAGAACACACAGGCACTCATCCACCCTTATTATTATTATCCTCATTCTCACCCTCACCCTCGCCTTCCTTCACCCTCACATACATCCCCTTGTATACCCATGCATACACGAATTCATATAAGTATAAGCGCCTTTTATCATCTAGATACACAACAAACATTCAACTAATAAAAACCTGTAAAGAAGGACGAAAGGAAGAAAACAAAATATGAAAAAGATGGCTGATCATCATAATTGATGTCGTCTTATTTCTTGTTCTTGTTATTTTCTTTTTTATATAATATCATGTTGGCAACCAATAAATGAATCAATGAATCAACGAATCAATCGATATGATCTTTACTGGGATCGTGATTCTAGCCGTAAGTAACTCATACATAATACAATGCCAAGTTTATTATTACAGCCCTGGGGATCAGTATTGACTAGAACTATATTCAAGGTTTTCAAGAACATATGCAGGGGAGAGAAGGAAAAGATAGGGGAGAGAAAAGATTTATACATGTATGTCGTCAAGCATTAATGAGTGTTGCTTAATTAAGTAATTCAAATAAGTTTTAATAGTCAAATAGGCGACTTTTTAAAGAGAAAAGAAAAGAAGATAAAGCAGCCTATTACTTTTCATTTCATTTAATTTCATTTTTGGTTTTCTATAGTCGTAAAGAAGCAATATCCTCATATTGTGTACAAGACAGGCATTCGATCCATAGGGTGTGTTTGTGCATATGGTAAAAGCTTGTTGCAAGGAGTTTTGTCTAGTAAAATGCTGTTCCTTTCTAGACAGCTTAAAGCCCCATGTAAGTCAAAGCAAGGTAAGGCCCTGACAAAAAAACCCCCCAAAAAACCCCTTTTACATAAACTAACTTTCTGCAGTAGATCTTGTCTGTCCCGTGACTTTAAGAACCGTTCGGGTGAGTTAGCTAGCTATCCTGGATAGATATATCAATAAATAGATAACTTAATCTTGTAACGAACCATTTAACTTGTATGTTGTTTTTATAAAGGTATTACTTGTTTCACACTAGAAGCACCATGTAACTTGCAAAGTAGCAGTTATCAGTGCTAATCCCAGCCATTTGTATATATCGATACACAGTAGGTAGTAATGGGTAAGTAGGTGTATATCAGGAAGCATAATCAAGTGAGAAAGAGAGGTGGCGGTGGCGGTTGGAAGAAATATTTTGGATTTGGCTGAATTAGTGTGCTTTCAATAAAGAAACAACATATTGGCATTAGTCTTTGTTTCAGGTCACGCAAGGTAAAGTCAGGTCAGGCAAGGTACCTTGATTTACCATCTCCTTATTTTCTTGGGGGAGATGCTTATCCAGTAAATGGGATTGTATTTTTATAGATCACACCCAAAGACTTTTGTCCTGTTTATGGTAATTTTTTTTTCTTACTAAATTTTAAATAAAGAGCGCCCATCGTCTATATAATAGGATTTAAGCTCAAAAATAAAATAAAAATAGAAGTTTTTGAATTTCAGGAAATTACACAAAGGAAAGTATCTATTTCGATTGGCTGATTACTTGCAAATCGAAAAAAATAAAATATATATATATATATAGAAAAAAAAAAAGAGTGGTTTTATTGGCTGTGGATATTCATAATGGACCAAAGACTGCCAAACTTGTGAACATTCAGTAACCTGGGTTCAGCATAACCTGTGGGATGGAACTTGGAATGCATGTCAAAGGGTCGTGTCAGCTGAATGTCTTCTTTTTAAAAAAAAAAAAACTCAGTTTCTTCTTCAATAGGCTTAATAACTAGGTTATTGTCCAATGTGGTCAGAAACTGGTAGAATAAAAAACTTTTATAACTACAAAAATAACGGGAAGAAATTGCAATATCAAATGTTTCTATGCCGTATTTTTGGATAGTGTAATTTTCCCTTTCCACTGTTGTAATTATTCCAAAAAACGAGTTCATTCCATATACTGTGTTTGCATGAAATATGCCAGATGTGCCTATGCGCATATTAGTTTTGGAGACCTCTTGGTAGTCGTTATTGTCAGCATTTTCACGGGAATCAAATAAGATAGAAAAGAACTTTGGATTGTCAATTTTGAATTTTTTGATGCCAGGGCTAACATCAGCAACCATTCGAATCTCTGTTCTATTTGTTTCTGGGTTTTTGTAATCGGCCAAGTAAGATCCACCACTGACGATATGATGGATGATAAACTGCCTAGCGAATGGAACAGCAACGTCCTTTGAAGGGTTGTGCCTATTGGTGCGCAGAATTTCTTCATGGATGAACTTATTTAACTGTTCACCATGCTCAGTTTCATAATGGACAGGTAGACCAAAGCGACAGATATCTTGTACCATCTGATGAAGCATATGCAATTTGGGTTGCAAAGAGAGTACACAGATAGGCGTCTTCTTTGCTTTAATGCAATAGTTATCCAACTCCAACACACGAGCAGTAAGATCATCACCAAGGCGAGTGATATATCCAAGAAAAACATCCTTATTGCCAGTGAAATTTCGCATGTAAGCCAAAGAGGATAGGCAGCCAAATGATTCAAGGCACTTTGCAGTCAGATCAATGGTACCGTTCTGTTGGGCGTCAGGGAGGATATTTCGAAGAATGACCGGAATTATCTGAGAGAGCTGCTTGAAGTCTCTACCAACAAAGGACCCACTGTGGTTCATATGAGCCCTGTAGTTTCTCGAATAGGCTTGGCATGTTCGATAGTCGGCAAGAGCAGTCTGGAGTTTTGCTCCTTCAGCGGCAGTCAAGGTTGTCTTGAAAAGAAACTGTAGGAGAGCCTTTCCAACACCAAAAGGCAAGGTGTGCAGCAGCTCAATGGGAGTGTCCAAAGTAGGGCAATATGATTCTAACCACAAGAGTTGTTCACTTCCATTTACCGTAAAGCCGTCATTCTCAATCGCATCTACAACAGCAGCATCAGTAGTATCTCTCAAGAAGCAGAGATCCTCAATGGTTCGTCGGGAATGGTTGTGGAGAATAGGAAGCAGTAGGTTCGGCGTTTCTAGAGCTAACGTCATTTGGGCACGTTTAGAAATACTGGCGTTTTTTCCGGGCTTTGGGTTTGAGGTTTTTCTTGTTCCTAACCCTGCACTTTCTGCAGGAACAACCCGTGGCACTACTCTTATGCATTGATAACTCGGAATGACGGTAATTATCTGCTTGGATGACCAACAACGGAGCAACAACAAGAACAGTTTGTCTGTGTACAATGGAATACATTGGTATGCCATTTTCCAATTTCTTCATGTCGTCAACCAGAGGGGGGAGCATGTCCACAGCAGAGAGATTCTTGTTTGAGGTACAGACAAAATAGCTATTGTTCTTTGAAAATCTGGCATCATAAGACATTGCTGCTGGAGTCATCAAATAGCTGTCGAACAAGTTATACTGCTTGGATAGATTTCCAGAAGTGTCATCCGTAAAGAGAATTAAAGGAGTGAGCACAACCTTCATCAATGTACCGTCAGATTTTTCTACTTTCCATCGTTCTGCAAGGGGAAGCTTACGGACAGCCTGGCGGGACAGCCTGAAAGGACAGCCTGAAAGTGTATTACGTCACCTAGTCACGTGTTTGGGCAAATGTCATATTGGCGGGACAGCCTGGACAGCCTGGGCAGCCTGGAAATATGTTACTAAACTTACTTCACGTATTTAGGCAAATGTTCATTTTTTTGGGCGGAGGGGGGGAGGGGGGACTATATAAAGTGTTCTTTAGTTTGCCAATAAAATCACTGCCCTTTTTTTACTACAACATCAGCGCATAATTTTTTTGACATTCTAAGATGAGCAGCATCAACAACACCAAAAACATCAACAACACCAATGACCATGTCATTGTTAGTGAGACTTCTTCAAAGAAGTACAATGCTGCCCTGATCGAGTTCAATTCGATATTTCTTGTTGGAAGAGAATTCTTTTCAACTGTAGCTGTTTGTGAAGCTACCAAAGCATATGGTTCTAAGCATAATATTGCATTCACTACTTATTCTTCCTCAAGCACCCGTATAAGAATGATCTGTAAGCACTACGGGGAATATAGAGACACTAGAAAGACCGAAAAATTGTTCCAGAAGTCTCTGTCAACCAAGAAACCTCTATTCCTGGGTGGGAGAGACAACGCGTAAAGGATACCCAAAAGAGTGGCTGTCCTTGTTTTGTGTATGCCTCAAAAAAGAAAGATGGAAAGATTGTAGTCCACTCCCGCGAGGCAAAACACAATCATCGGATTGTGGAAGACCGCAGAGCATATGCCATGCATCGAAAGCTTGAACCTGAAGCCATGGCTCTTGTTGTCCGACACCTTGAGGAAAACGATGATGTATCCACCATCTTCAATAACTTGAAGAGAAGTGGGTACACCAATGTTATCCGTCAAGATATCGAAAATATCAAACAACAATTCGGAAAGTCAGAAGAAGGAAGAGAAATGTTTAGTTTCATTACTGCATTGCAAGAATTGGACTTTTATGCCCGGTACAATGTTGGTGATGATAAGGAAAACAAAATCAACATGGTGTTTTTCATCCATAAGGATGCCATTGACGAAGCAAGAAGAATGCCAGAAACCATTGTAATAGACGCTACGTACAAGACGAATAGTCACCGAATGACATATGTCAACATTGTTGGTACCAGCAATGTAAGTGGAACCCCCCGTACGACTTTGAAGACTTTCCCAATTGCTGGAGCTTGGGTGGATCACGAAACGATAGACAACTATCTATGGGTACTTCGCTGTCTGCGCGATTCTGTCTAGCCAGATGTTAATGATAGCAGCAGCAGCAACAAAAACAACCACAACAACACAATCACCGCAACACCTCTACTTCCAAGTGTGTTTATCACTGACAATGAGAAAGAATTAAGGAATGCAATTACAAATGCTTTCCCTGAGTGTAAACAGCTGCTGTGCTATAAGCACATTAAGGATAATTTTAAGAAGCAGCTATTGCCAATGATGAAGGAAGACGAGAATGGGGACAAGAGAGGCTTCTTGGATGAGTTAGCCGGTCATCTTGACCAAATTGCGTTGAAGTGCACCACTTCCGAAGAAGAGAAAAAAGAGATTGATGCATATCTCAGGTTTGCAAAAGACAATTGTAAAGATCAAGGAAAAAGTGCCAAAGCTTTCCTTGAGAGGTATGCAAAGTGCTGTTATATTTGCTGGAAACAGTTTGTTAACGATAAATAATGACATTATTTTTTATATACGTTATCAGAAAAATGCATGACAAAGAGAACTGGGTAAACACCTATGTTTTTAAGCATCCTCACTTTGGAAATTGCACTTCCAACCGTGCAGAAAGTTCACATGCTTCTCTGAAGCATGCCCTTGGAACTTCTTCCGGTAAACTGAAGACAGTTACCATGAAAGTTGTCAAGTGGTATGAAGCGTTGGTACGTCTATGCTTTGTTATCTTAAATATCAATTGATTAAACTTTATAATAACAATAACTAATTGAAATGTTTTTGTAAATTTTACAGGTCGATGATCGAAAGCGCAGATTGACAACGGAGTGTCTCGGAGAGAGCACTACCGTTGTGTTTGATAAAATCAATTCTTCCAGGCTGAATGATATTCGCCACAAAGTTTGTCGTTTTGCAATGGACCACATCAAACTTGAACTTGCCAAATCAATTATACCTGAAAAACTCACAAAAGAGTGCGAATGCCTCATTAACTACAACTATCTCTTGCCCTGCTACCATCAACTTGCGCAGTATAAAAAAATCCCAATTTCTTGCATTCCCAGACGATGGAGAATAAACTACTTAGAAGGAGAAGGTAATGTATATATATATACATATATGTTATTAAACTATTTTCTCTTTTTATATATAATTATGTACAGACCACTCAATTATTCACAATGCACTACCTGTACCTAAAAACATCACTAAAATCACCACAATAACACCCCAACTCGCATATAAGCTTGAACGGGTTACTCAAATACTTACCAACGCCCAAAGCAAACAACAGCAAATACATTTCGAAGAATACATCGACAAAATAATAGAACTAGACTCCAAGCAGAAACTTGAGAACCTTAATGGTCCAACAGTAGTGGAAGCCATCAAAGGCAGACCTAAAAATACAAAAAGAAAAATGATTGCCCTAGAGCACTGTCTTGAAGCAGAAAAAGAAGAAACAACAAAAAAAACTAAAACTGAAAAAAAAACAAAAAAAGTAAGTCTTTATTATAACATATTGTTCAGATTTAACTCATTCGACTTTTTTCGATTTTCTAGACATGAATTATCTTTAGAAAAACAACAAAAAGCATTAAAAAAAATTATTAACCTAGGTTCACCATGTGACCATACACTTCTGACTAATCTTACAATCGCCCCACACCAAATATCTCAGATATTCTCTCCGGAAGCAGATGGCAATTGTGGCTATAGAGCAATAGCAATGGAAGTATATCAGAACCAGGAACGATGGCCTGAAGTCAAAGACAAAATGTTAAAAAACTATTTAAAATATCAACATACTCATTACCGAGGAAGAATGGAGCACGGCCATATGCCTGCATCCACAAACCCATTAATCATCAGTCTACAAGACAAACGCTCGCCCCTCCCTCAACAGCATTGGTTTGGTACAATTTACCATCCACAACTCGTAGCAAATGCATATAACAGAACCGTAGCCGTATATTGGAATACTCCAAGAGAAACCGGCGACTGTCTATTTGTACCATTCACCACCACACCAGACAGATTCGAACCTATTATACTTATTCTAGACATCAACCACTTTCTCCTCGCAAAACGTAAACCAACCAGAAACTTCAATTGGCCGCAGATAAACCCATTTCACAAAGCCATAGTAAAAAAACATAACCTAGAGGACTTTTCCATTCTGCATTAACTACCAAGGTATGGATTTCATAACGGAATTCCATTCAATAATATTAATATTTATCTTATTTTGTAGATCTTTTTATTTTCTTTTTCTTTTTTATTCCATTTCCTTGTTTTTATATTTATCTCTATCTCTTATCAAGTTTTATTATTATTATTCATATTATTATTTATTTATTTATTTATCTTTATTTTCAATGCTTTTTTATTTTATTTTTTGAATCATTAAACATATATCAAAAATCTGACTGCCTCAAAAAAATGAACATTTGCCTAAATACGTGAAGTAAGTTTAGTAACATATTTCCAGGCTGCCCAGGCTGCCCAGGCTGTCCCGCCAGGCTGTCCGTAAGCTTCCCCATATTATCCTATTTATCGGATCACTTTCAGGCTCCAGAGACATTGTTTTTGTGCTAGGGATATTCTGGCTGAATTTTCCCTAATTTACGGTCATTTCTGCCAGAATATCCCTAGAAGTGTCCCAGGGCAAAAGTAAAAATGGTAAAAGTCTGGGTAATGTAAACCCAGTAAAGTCCGTAGGGACAATATTTGCAACTTTTCCCTGAGTTGTCCCCTTCTCTAATAACTTGACATCTTTCTTCTTCTTCTTCTTCTTCTTCTGATACTACGTGTCAGCGAATGATCTAACTTAGTCTTAATGAGGTATTTATTCTATTAAATCGACAATTAATTGCAAATAAAATTATATTGCAGAAGAACCCTTGTTGATATACAAGTTGGATTAATGCCATGTGTGTCTGTATGAATCTCCATTTTAACTTATGTCCTTCAAATGGTATATGTTCACCAGAGCAAATCCGTACAACTAGACTTGTTATGGTTGAAATGAACTCCAACTCAAAAGAATGGGAAATTTAAACTTGAAAAAGTCCGTAGAGTTTATGCTTTCAAAAGTGCTCGGAGCTGTCTCCTTTTCTACTATAGGATTAGTGGATGGTGTTTATTTGGCTTTTAGCTTATCAACAAGGCGGTTATTAGCTGTTAAAGGACATATTGGGTGAATGTTACAGATTATAGGGCTACCTGATATGTTCACCGCTTGTTATTCTGGCTTGTCACCGTTTTATATATATATAGTGTAGATCATAATGGTTTAAGCTCTTTTTGTTGGCTGTCTCCAAAATAAGATAAAAGAAAAGAAAAGAAGAAATGAGAAACAAACAGGGTTGTGGGATTTACAGACCCCGACGTTCCTTAAACGCTCTTTTATTTTATTTTATTTTATTATATTATATTATATTTTTATATAGGCAAAATGAATCGTGTTGATTAAGCCCATTTATATACACAGTAGATATTTCTTTCTTATAATCCCTTCTTTTACCCTTCATTCATCCCTACCTCATTAGACAGCCATTTAGAAAAATAGCTGTCGTTCTATTATCTACTATACACAAAAAAGTACATCTTTTATCTTATTATTATCTAAAAACACACACACACACACACGTATATATATATATAAAGCTTGTACTATGGCAGCCGAATACAAACAAAAATTATACGATATTCAAAGAAGAGGAGATAACCGAACCTGCTTTGATTGTGGTGCTCCTAATCCACAGTGGGCCAGTGTATCTTATGGCATCTTCATCTGTCTCGATTGTTCGGGTGTTCATCGATCATTTGGTGTACACATTAGGTAAACACACAAAGATAAAGAAAAATAATAAAAACTACCAGAAAAACATATATAGTAAACTCATTAGATAATGTTATTTGTTTAGTTTTGTTCGTTCCATCAGCATGGACAAATGGTTTGATGATCAGTTGAAGAAGATGGATGTACGTTCCTTTTCTTTTTGGTTGTTTATTTAGCTTAATACTAAATTCTGAATTTACTTTTTTTTATTTTTTATTTCTCTAATTAAATTAATGATGATGATGATCATGTAGATTGGTGGCAACCAAAAGGCAAAGGCATTCTTTGAATCCCAGTCCGACTACTCGGCTCAGATGACAATGACCCAAAAATACAACAGCCACTGCGCTACTCTTTATCGTGAAAAGCTGGCAGCAGAAGCAGAAGGTCGTTCCTGGACACCAACCGAACCCAGTGCCAGACGTCCTTCTCCAGCATCGACTGCCAGTATCGGCGGAGGATCTACACGCTCCCTAAACTCTACTATGAACGCTAGCGGACGTAACAACAACAATATCGGTGGTGGATCCTCGGCTTCCATGGGCGGACAACGTAATAATGGTCTTGGCAGAAACACAGCCGCTACAAATGGATCTGGTTATTCAAGTGATCCTTCAACTGGTGGTAAGATCACAGTTAATGAGGCTTACTTTTCTAAATTGGGTAGTGAGAATGAGCACAGACCAGAGTGAGTAAATAAATAAATATGGTGTTATACTGTGTGTATGTACAGAAAGTATATTCTAATCGCGAATTTTATAGCCATTTGCCACCTAATCAAGGCGGAAAATATACTGGATTTGGAAATCCTGCATGTAAGTTTTTCAATAAAAAGAAAGAAAGCAAACTATTGTGTATGTACGTCTTTTTGAGCTTTGTGATATTTATTTTATATCCTACTTTTGTATGTGTGTGTATATGTACAGTTGAAAGTAGCTCTTCTAATCAAGTTAGCACACCTGATTTGAATGAACTTATCAATGACCCCATACAAGCACTCTCCAAGGGTTGGTCCCTTCTTTCGGTTGGTGTGGGTGAACTCACCAAGGTGGCTGCAGAGGGAGCAAGGATTGCAGCACAAGGCGCTGGACAGATTGGCAAATACGCTAATGAAAACTACGTCAAGCCAGCCGCCACCCAGTTAAATGATCCCAACTTTAGAAACAACGTGAGTGGTTATGTTAACACTCTTACTCAAAAGGTACATAAGAAAGGAAGTATAAAGCAATACTGGCGATGTGTTCTTGTTTGTGTGTGCTTTTTGTTTTGTCTTAAAAAGGGGCGGGAGATCCACATTTTTTTTCGGGGGGTTTCTTTTTTACTTTATGGTTTTTATATATTATATGATGAGGTGTTATCAACAATAGTAACGATGACAAAAGAATGATAATCTAATGATCCCTAATGTATATTTATTTATTTACTTTAATTTATTTTAGACTCAATCATTTTACGATGCCACCATTCGCCCTGCATCTGCTCCTGCTTTACGTACCTCTAACCACTCGAGCTCAAACCACACATTCGATAACGACAATAGCGACTTTTTCAATTCTACAATCAATGATCTCCAGAGACAATCTAGCCCAGCCATATCCCGTAGTCAATCACCTTCTTTGAGTAACACCGCCAGCCCTTCTAGCTCTCTCAATACTACCCGAACAAGAACACCTTTGAGAGAGACAGCTAAAAAACCTAAAGACCAATCTGATGATGAGTGGGAAGGCTGGTAGACAATAAATAAATAAAATAAATAAAGAAGATATACATATACATATACATATACACATACACATATATAAAAAGGCCCGAGCAAAAATACAATACAGATATATATGTATACAAATATTGATATAATTACAGCGATAAAAGAAATGTAGCTACAATACATTATTATATTGAGTATTAAGTACATCTTTAAAACAAGAACATTTCTTGAAAGATATTCTGTCTATTAGCTTGGAACATCATGGCAAATATTCTCGCTGTACGAATAGTTCAGTGAATGTATGACTTGTTGCTAGAATGTCTTGATGTAACTGGCACGAAGATTATAAGCTTTCTAAGAATTGTCCCACAATTTACTTTCATTTCAATTCTTATCAAATTGCGGCAACTTCATTTATTAGCTATTGTTGTAGCTCATTTTTTCACTTTTCAGAAAATTTGGCTTCACTATCTCTTATTTTTTTTGATGTACTACATTTATAGACATGCTCTTGAAAGTATTACTGTTGGTTATTAGAAGGAACATGGTGCAATTTAAATTACAAAATATTAATTATAATTTGTTATGTATTTTATTATAAAATCCAATGTCATACCTTCCAAAGCTTCCCCACCAAAAATAATTTGATGTTTTTTGTTTACTGTTCAACAATTATTCGAAAAAAAAAGATAACTCTCTCTATTGGATAATCTTTTTCTGTAGATAATGAAGCCTTTCTCTTCCTCTAAATGTAGCTTTCTATATATCACACCAAGCTTATTCAAGGTGGAATATGGGCTGGAAGTAAGCAACAGAAAAATTACCTTGAAGAAAAAAAGAAGAAGAGGTACCCTGAAGAAATTATTGAAAAACTATATTTTTCAAAACAAAATTGCGGATCATAGACCATATATCACAATATGTAGCAATAAAGGGAGTCATCACGGCTGTGTTAGATACGACACATATAATTATGAGTTTAAATTATTTAATTTGTTTAAATTGTCCATCGAGTGAACGGTACACTCTTTTTTTACAAGAGTAAACATTTGTTAAGGAAATAGAGTATATCGAGGATCTTATACTGTTTATAGATGTTTGTGAAATTTTTCTTAAAGTGCCTGCCAGACAATTTGTCTCACGTACTAACAGGCTCATGATATCGGAATTATTCGACCAGCTGGTATTCCGTAATGTAGTTTTTGAAGCTTCCCTACTAAGTTGTATATCAGGCAGTACTATGTTTGTTTTTATGGTTGAGTTGGAATGTTTTGTTGGCTTCCCTTTACTTTCTATCTTGGTTGCTCGTACAAGAAAGTAGTTTTTAACGGAATCAAACCGAAATGATACGGCACCATGTTGAAAGTCTCTTTTCCAGAATCGTCTTAGTACAAAGCCATCGTATTGTTCCATGTCGACTCGCCCCCCTTCACTCGATCTTCTACGTTGAAAGTCTTTATAATATCTCTCGGCGAATTCGATGTCCCTTTTTCCAAGCTCCCATGCTAAAACTCTTGGCTTTCTGTTTGTTTTGTCAAAGCACGTATGATACCATCTTCTTTCCAAAGTTTTTTCCTGGTCACCTTGATTTATTGGATCAACATTTGTAGACTTTGTTTGTGTGATTGAATAGTGTTTGACATAATCAGGTTCATTTCCCAAGTTAAAAGCGATTAATGTATCCAAGCGTGATAAAGGCATAGATATCAATATAATTCCGTTTGTATCAAGATGAGATTCTTTAAACTTGATGTCTTCCAAGCTCATGAATCTAAGTTGTCTACAACGGGAGGATATGTAGCTGAAGATGTTTATACTGGCAACCGAATTCGTGATTTCCAGTTTTTTTAACGGGTGTGGTATTTGTGTATCATATGTGTTGCTGGTGAGAGTAACAAAAGATATGTCTACGCGCAATGTTTCTAAGACTGGGAAACAGTCAAATAAACATTCTATTTCAACACACTTGACAAAGCTGATGTTTAACTCGACTAGTGCTCTAAAATCCAAGTCAAGCATATATTTGTCGAAATGAAGTCTAATTGGAGCGAAAGTATGTATCTTCAAAACTTTTAATGATTCCGCGACAGGCTTGATGTATTTAAGAATATTATCGTCAATATTGTTTTTGTTGCTGTTGAGGTGGTCGAGAAAAAACGAGCCGTGTTCTAGTTTTACGCTAAACTTGTGCAGAGTTTCGTAGAATATAATAAAAGGCCAGCCAGCGAGAGATGTTATTGGTGTCTCTGCTCTTTTCAGACAAGGAAAGAATCGATCCAATGTTGACAGTATTTTAAGTTGATTCTCATATTTATTGTTCTCATAGAGATTTTGATTTACTTTTATTCCTTTGTTGCTAGCTGATTCTCCGATATCAAGTCTATGTAAATTTGGATACTTGAGTGCAAAGTAAAACATCCAAAGCGTATCAACGTCCGAACTGTTATATTTTATCTTTGTAACAGTGATTGCCGGCTCAATTAGCCTTAGTAGACTTAGTATTGCGTCGTTTTCTGGTATTCTTTTAAGAGTACAAGTAATATCGATATAGTCCAGCCGTGGTAAATGGTCATGAATTGATTCAAAGTCGTTGTATGAAAAAGAATGTTCCCGTGAAGGACAACATTCTTTGATTGTAAGACAAACGAGACAAGACAGTACCGACAATTTTGGTAAAATTTCTTTTAGTTTACTGTATTTACGGGTCAAAGTCATTTCTAGGTGTGACAATGAGCTCCAGCAACTCAAACCGCTTATCTTTGGTATATTTCCGCTTAGTAGAAATGTACTGTTGCATGAAAGATATTTTATCTCGGGGTAATTTTTCTGTAGTTCAGGGATATATTTTTCGAGATCAATGTCTACATTATCAATGTGTAGTGCCCATGTCCGATGCGCTCTTTTTTGATAGGCTTCTCTAAGGTTGTGTTCGTTGAACATGGTATCTAATCCTTTGCCGTCGATTGTGAGTTTACCCCAATAAGCGTCCAGAAATGGCTCAGACCAACGTTTGGAGACAAGTACACAGGCACGTTGGTCTGTCTTATTGAGATGTGTTGCTATATATGAGAGAATATTGGCTGGAAGACTTGCTGCTATTGTAGGCATATTCAGAGAAGCAGAGAAAGGGAGATGACTAGATCGGATATCCGATTCTATCTTAGAGCCATGTACAAAGTCAGCCGAATTGAGACCACTATATGGGAGTTCTGATTCCACCATATAGTCCCATAGAGAAGCAGACGAAGAGGGATAATTAGAAGGGAATTTCACTGACACGCGATAGAATTCTCGACTAGGATTTGAAAAGGTATTCCGACGTTGTGGTAGACTCCTCGCTGGGGTAGATGGTAAATCAGATGAAGAGGGATCATTAGATGTTTGTAGCTTTTTCAAATTAACAACTCTTCGATTAGGATTTGAAAGGGTATTCTGACGTTGCGGTAGACTCCTCGCTGGGGTAGATGGTAAATCAGATGAAGAGAGATCACTAGATGAAAGTTCTGTTTCCAAATTAGGGAGGTCTTGACGCGTAAGAAAGCGGTAAGAGCCACCTTGCAATAACTCTGCCTTTACAGTGGTAGATGTTACATTAGGTAAAGGGGGAGCACTATATGAGATTTTTGTCTCCATTGTAGAGAGAGAGAGAGAGAGAGAGAGAGAGAGAGAGAGAGAGAGAGAGGTGATATCGTAAAATAACCATTAATCAAGAACTTTATAACCTTTCGGACTTTTGACATGAAACGTTATACTCTGTACGCCTTCAAATTAGACTATACGGATCCCGAATAATAACCGCGAAACACAGATTCTAACAGTAATGCTAGCAAAAGAGGTTAGCATGATACTAAACCAAGAAAATTGTATTGACAGCTGGTACTTCCTCCTATACCTCAGCTGGTATTTTCTTAAAGACTTTAATCTTATTATTTCTCTCAACCATTTGAAATATCAACTGCATTCATTTATATTATAATTATTGCTATTAGAAAACCCAAGAATAGTCCTGTATTTTCAACTGTTTTTTTTTGTGCTCATCATTTTAGATTACACAATCTTACCATTAATTTTATCTTTTTCTTCTCTTTTCTTTTTGGGATTGAGGAGTAAAGACCAGTCATTTTTGTTTTTTATACTTTAAGCAACCACTACTATTTTTTGTAGAAGCCTGTCAAAATATACAAGTTATAGCCATACAAACTACACAATAAAAACAAGTCTTCCAAAGAGAGATAAAATAAGAGCTGTCAAGAACCTATCTCATCAAAAGTTATAAGTCCATAAAGAAAAATACTGAGTGGGTATGTTTTCTTATGTGTAGTTTAACAAGGGTCATATGAGAAAGGATGTCTGTTAATTATGTGGTACAAGACATCATTCAAGCTGGAAGCAATGTTCTGTCGCAAAAGTCATAGGCTGGTCCAGTCATTTTTATTAACATGTATATCAAGTCAAGTCAAATAAGAACCGGCCCTCTCTTACACATACACAATTCATTCTAACTTCTTTCATAAATCGTATTGTTGTGCTTTATTCATCTTTATTCTGTGCTTGTTTTATAGAGGTACCATTAATTACATTAATCGCTTTCATAGTAGCCTCCCAATATTATATACACGTATACCCTCTCTTTGGAAAGTAAGATTCGGCTTTTGTGGAAGAATGAATAAGTCCAACAGAAAGAACAAAGTCTGAGGTTGTACGAAAAGAGGCTACGGAAAACCTGAGCCGATGAATTATATTAATGACAAGAAGCAGTTTTGTAGTGTAACATTGAAATCTTACACACATTGTTTAGCTCAACTTGCCCTTGGAAGACAACGAAACGATGCAAGTAATTCAGGCCCAAGATGCGGCAAAATCTAACACTGATGTTGCCATGAGAGAAGTATCGGTCAAGCGTACTTGTATACGCTACTGTAAGAAAAACGACCAAAAAAAATTGCATGCAAAGGAATAATTTACATGTTGATAAGTTAATTTTTTTTTATTTTTGACATGATGGGAAAAAGATAAAACAACGGATCTATTTGACTAAAATTGATCCCCGGAAAAGCTTTCATTTTTCTGATGATATTTTATTGTGCTTTGCATGAATTCAAATGGTAATGTTGGGTGTTTGGAAGTTGAAAGTTGCGTCTTCACAAGTGTACAATGATTTATGGCAACTTTATATTTCACTCGCTTTTGTAGTACCAATATAGAAGAGAGGTACATATGAAATAAAAAGAGAATATAACCATGAAACCATTGAATTACCAAGGTATGTAAATAAATAGAACTTGTAAAAGTTGGTTGCAATATCGATCGACACTAATTATAGAGAGATAACATTTGGATTCTACCGGACCACAAGTTGTGCCCATCTTGCTTGCTCCCCAGTTTAATGACACCAACTCATGTCCTTCTGCATAACTGGTCAAGTAGATTTAAATTTAGGGCACAAACGGTTCATTAATTGAATAGATTATATTTTCTCAGGACACGCCATTTTTTTGCCCTGATGGATTAAAGAGACATCGGGTCCCGGACAGATAGTCACAATCAATTTAGTCAGGTTAAATAGAAAGGTCGTGCTCGTATGATTGATTTTCTTATATATGTAGGGGGGGATGAAAAAGTATTTTTAGTTTGTTCAAACGGAGACAAGTTTCCAGAATTTTGAGCTTTTTTTTTCTTCTTTTCTTCTGTATAACAGAGATTTATTTTAATGGCCGACAATGTAGAAAATATATATACATATATTATATAAGAAAAAAAGAAAAGGATAGTAACAATAAGCAATTAGAGAAAGCATTAGACATTAAAATTGTCCAATCCAATTCCACACACATCAAAGGGTTCTTTCTGATCTTCTACAAAGTGGATCCTGATGGTTTTGAATTCTTTTACTCCCGAACAATCGATACCCAGAGGTACACGTTGACGTACTACTTGAGCATCCGGTAATGTCCAAAGTTTACAAGTCACCTTTTTTAAATAAATAAATAAATAAATAAATAGATGTTAATTATATTTCATTTGACCTTTTCTAACGATGTCCAGATTATGTATAGTTACCCAATTGTTTTCTACTGATTCTACAGTAACATTAAACATCGATGCTGCATGACGGATATCTCTTCGGCCATATAATACCAGTCGTTTTGCTTCAATTGATCCTACCATTGTCAATCCAAAGTAATCATTTGCCTTTGGTACTATATACAGAGATATTAATTCATTAATTGATTGATTAATAAATTAATTAAAGAAAAAAAAAGTTTGTACATCTATATGTATTTTACTTTTAAAGGTGTTCCAACAGGTTCTTGGATCCTGATCTACTGCCTTTTGATAGGACTGATAAACCCATTCATGGTGCAGACCTGTAGATTTACGCGATTGCAATGATTCGATCCCTGAGTCAAGATCTGTAGCTGGAACAAATGTACCCGGTTCTGGAAATGGGTCGATGTTTGTGATAAATAGGCATTTATCATTTACACAAGAAGCTCTAAATATAGTATAATAAATATATTAAATATATTGAATTGAATTGAATTGAATGGATAAATGTTATTCTACTAATCAATTTCTTACCTTTCTTGACGAGATTCCAATGGAATGATACCATCTAAACGGTTAAAATGATCTTTTTGGGTTATGTTTTCTGCCAAGGATTGTCCCAGCTTATCCATAGCATCATACTGATTATATATAACAAAAATTAAAACAAACAGATTAGAGAGAAAGATATATATAAGGCCTCATTGTTTTCCCTTTTTAATATTTATATTAATAATCACAAACTAATTTCAATTAATTAATTAATACAGAAAAAAAAAAGGGGGAAACAATATTGGTTACCATATTTTCATAGAGACTCGGTGACCGAATTATAGGATTCAGCTTATCTTCTTGTTCAAGAGAAACCAATGAATTGGAAAGTATCCATGGATATTGGTTAGTCCAGAGACTAAAATACATATCTGCCTGCCGTAACTGAGCTTTTGTGATTCCTTGTTCAGCCAGCTGAGTCAAAAAGGTCTGTGCTTTGTGGCGTGGAATGAATGCGCCGTATCGAAGGTCAACATATCCAGTATGTAATGAAGAATCTTGAATAGAAAAAAAAACATAAAAAGTAAATAAGACACATACATATTCTTGTAAATCGCCGCTAACATTTACAAGAAAAAAGTTATTATTAAAAGGTATATATATAGATATATTTACCTATATTATTATTAGTATTATTTCCTATATTTCCGAAGCGCCACCCAAGTGCATCAAGGTACTCAGTCGGCCTTGCGCTGGCGTAAACCAACTCCGGTGATTTGAGGGAAAGAGTGTACAAGGTATCCAAATATATATTCAGCCACACATCGTCTTGCGTATAGCATGTTTCGTGGCTTGCCATTGAGCATGTTGTGAAACGCCCCATTGTCTGAATATCGTCTCTTGAATCATAAATCTCTATCGATACATCCTCGGACATCTCGCCGCCAAAATCCTATATTATATTATATTATATTATATTATATCAAGTGATATAACAATCATATGTAACCAAAAAGAAGCCAATTAGTAAACACAATATTCTGGTATGGTTTGTTATAGTATAATTCATTTTGACTTTACCTCAACCACCAGTGGACGGGATTCGATTTGATTGAATATCAAGATTTCTTTAAAAAAGGGATATTTAGACAGGTGCTTGACGACCTGTTGGATTCCTTCGTCGTTGTCGGATACTCGGTATATGACTGCCGTGACTGGCTTAAACAAGACAAGAGAAGCAAATGAGGCAAAGGAAGGCGATTTGGCGGTAAACATGGTTGGCTTGTAGGCACTAGATCGGTCTCTGATGGCTTCGTCTTCAAGTTGAAGAGGCCAAATGGGGAAATCTTGGATGGCCTTGATTTCTACAGCCATTTCAGCAGGCCGCATATCAAATTCGATCCTGTCATCGTATCCAAGCACAATAAAGTAAAAGAAGCAAAGGGTCACTGTCAAAAAGAGAATGGACACCAATCGGCGAGGTTGACGTGAACAGAGCTGGAAGTATTGGCGTAATAGTTCAAAAGTATCCGGGAAATCTTTTGGATCAAATAGTAACATTATTATTATTATTAATATTTCTATAGAAACCGATTATATGAATATATATAATGAAGTGTAAAGACGTATGTAAAGATGTAAAGAAGTATGTAAAGAGAAAGAGAAAGAGAAAGAGGGGTAAAGGAAGAAAGGAAGATAAAAATCAAAGTTGAAATATTAGTAAAATAGTAAAATAGGGGATTATTTATAGGTATTTTGATTACCCAATATATATATATATACATAGGGGTCGGGGGGTGAGTTGAGAAGGAAGAAATAGAAAGCAAAAAAAAAAGAGGGGGGTTGAGGTTAAAGACTGATCGTTAGTATTATTATTATTATTATTATTATTATTATTATTTTTTGATCAAGATAATTTTGATGTCCAAGTTACTTACTAATGAGTACAATTTTCTATATATAATGATCTTATTTTTAATCTCTCTAAATGAGAGAATAGCAATATCGACTTATTTTGAAACCAAGTGTTTCAAAAAAGTAAATTATATATATATAATTTATATGCATAAATTATGGTTTGAATACCAATTGCTTCAATAGGTAATATTGTTATCAAGACTTCACAAACGCACTCATAAAGAAATTTGTATCAACCATTTTTGTTAATAGATCTATGTATAAATATATACAAATATATATTTTTATTTATTTATCTGTTTGTTTGGTTTATATATACACTATTTCTTTTTGTTTCTTTCTTTTGAATTACAAATAGCCAAAAAATAATAATCTTATTTCCCCTGCCCCTTTTCCTGTTCTGACGCCAGCGCCTGGATCTTTGATAGGCAGTTGTGACACTTGAATCCAAGAGCATTGGCCAAACTATACTTGCTCTTTGCATGCTGTCCACTTCCAACTCCATACTGTCCCTTGTCATTGGCTTTCAAGACAACCTGGATCTCAGCCTCGGCCTCCTTTAACGAGTTCTCCTCCATCAGCATCTGCGCCTTTTCATAATGTGCAAAGTAATAAACATAGTGGTCCAGCTTGACCTTCTCGGCATTCTCGAACACGGTCTTGATCGATCTGGCATGGTCGGCTCTAACCCGAACCCTTTCATTCTCGCCCTCATTTGATACGTCAGATTCCAGTCGTTGGTCAATGTTACGCAAGATCACGGCACGGAGGTAATACACCAGGCACAGATCATCATGATAGTATTGCTCCGAAGTCTCGAGCTTGTCCAGCGCATCTTGTGTCCTTTTAAGATCGATCTTGAGCAATTCTATCGGCATAAAATCAAATGCTGAAAAGGCATGAAGGATCTCCAGGTCTGGCAGCACAAGCTTATTCTGCAAACCGAATTTTCGTGATTTGCGTGACACGAATTTCTATCATACAATTTTTTTTTCAATATTGAAACATATCACACTCAATCAAAAAAAAAATCTTCTCTATCTGTTGTTGATTAGATTATTTACCTCCATGGGAATTGATTTTCCAGCAATCTTCTTTCTTTCACCATCAACCTTCTTCATCAACTTCTTGACATCTCCTAGACCTTTAGAATCCTTTTTGTTCTCCTCTTCGGTCAGCATATAAAACGCAACTGCCTTGAGGTAGCTGTAGGCTGCCTTGGACCAGTTGCTCTCTTTGGAAAGGATATCAAACATCTTGTGTGCCACACTCCAGTCTTGCTGAATAAACGCAATCACACCAAGCTCCCAATAACACATGTGCTGCAACTGTCTCCAGTCCTTTTGGATGTCGATTGCCTTGTGGTACTGCACCTTGGCATCCTCCAGTCTCTGCTTGCTCATCAGCAGCCGGCCATTGAAATACAGAAAGAAGACCGCATTTGGGTAGATCTCGAGATTGTAGGCCAACACACGCTCGGCCAGATTGACGTCCACATTTTCGAGGGGCATCATCCGCGAGAGCACGATGTGGTACAAAATTATCACCATATCGCACAGCTGGCGTCGTAATCCTTCGTCTGAACTCTGTCGCTCGGGTAAGCTACCACTGTAGCTACCACTCTCGTTCTTGGTTTCTCGATAGGTATCCCAGCCTCCGATAGACTCTAGCATGGCCATACCGTGCGCACGGTTGAATGAAAAGCCAACAAACTCGGCCAGCTTGACAACCGATGGAGGCATCATTGACAAAATCAGGTTGAAACAGCCGACGCCCAGTGCAACCCCAGACGTAAAATGGTCATCGAGCTCGTAACCAGCCGAAACGTCTTTTCCCTTGGCCGCCTCTTGCTGGACAAACAAGACGTACTTTTCTAAAGTGCAGTAGGTGTTGTAACTTGACCTGATGTTTAATCCCTCCCGCAAAAACGATACCATGCTCTCGTCATAGACAATTCCCAACAGAGCTTTCAAGAGGTATGCCTCTGCATAGACCAGCTCCTAATATAATTTTTTTAATGTCATGCTTTTATTCACATTTATATATATTCTTTGTGGGGACTTACGGCGTGGCGTTGAGTACAGGTCAATGACTTTGTGTACTCTAGTCCTCCATTTGCCTTGACCCATGTGGTGATGTTATCCAACCAGCCGGCATCCTTTTTGCGTTCTCGACTGGCCAGATTAATGGTTTTCTTGAGGACCTGGAGAGTGGTGTTGATATCGTCCTTTTCAAAGGTCATCATGCACTTGAGAAACAGGATGAATCCGTATCCGAGCGAATGGTACATCGAAGTTTCGCAGTGTGGGGTCAGGATGGTTTCGGCTTCCGAGATACGGGAGTCAAGAAAGAGGTCAAACGCACGCCGGACCTGGACAATCGAGTCAAACATCTCCTTTTTCTTGACGTCTTCTTCTTTAAGGCTTTCTAAGCTTGACTTTTCGGTCTCGGCCAGGTTGACGAGATTCGTAAAAGAAGAGCCGATGCGGGCAATGGAGCGTAATGAGGGCTTGACATGAGTCTTTTTGTTGCCACCGAGATTATGTTCAGGTTTTGCTGGTTTGGAATCCATTGCTAATATTGGCATAATTTATTTGGCTGTCTGTTTGTCTGTTTTGTGTTTGAGAGTAAAGAAATTTCTTTTTTGTTTTCAAATATATTAATTAAATTGAATTGAATTGAATTGAATTGAGTCGAGTATAATGTAGTATGAGATGAAAGGATATTAAATGGTATGATATGATATGAAAATAAATAAATAAATAATTAAAGAACGTTTGGTGGTGAAAAAAAGTCTAGGGATAATAAAGGAGGGGGGGGGAGAATGGAAATGAGGTCGGAGAAAGAGAGAAAGTAAAAGAAAGGTTTTTGGTTGGCAGGTTACTTTTTTTGTTTTATATTTTATTTATGCTTTACGGCTAAAGGTAAGCTAATTTTCGGACCCGGAAAAACTACTTGCACGTTTTGTATATATTGACAAATGCTAATATTGTAATTCAAATTATAATACAGCATGGATATGTATATTAATTAATCATTTTTGCATGGTTTAGGTATATATTATATATATAGAGAGATATACAAATTATTATATTACATTATATTTAACAGAGAGATTTTTTTCTTAAAATTTATCCATGTATTCGTTTGGTTTCAATTGATAAAGAAGTAGTAGTAGTAGAGGAAGACTATTTCAGGTATATAAAAAAATACTATATAAAAGCGTCTTGGTTGTATTAAAGGTCTAAAAAAGATATAGAGAATAATCCACGTGGCAATAAAAGACAAAATGCTAGAAAGCCTATGTTTTCCTTACTTAATTATTTATTTATATGTATGGGTTTGTACAAGTATAAAAGTATAAAAGAAAGGCCTGTGGAACCCACGGGTTTTTAAAAAAAAAATTGCAACAAAGGATAGACATAAATACGTATAGACGTGTCATTAATATTACCATAACCAAATCAATTTCTGGTTTTATGATCAAGCTCTAAAGGAGAATAATCAACTACAGGAACCCTTTTGCCACACGTTTGATTTTTTGTAGTCCTTTTATAAGGGAAACAATGGCGAACTTTTCTATTTTCTGAGCAAAACTATTACTGTATTATTTAAATACATGGCTATAAGTCCAAGGGATAAAGTCTGGCTGTAGTCTGTAAACTGTGACTATATATATATAATACCAAGTTAGGGATACAGTCAAGAGGAACAGAGTTGGCTCAGCAAACATGTATAAAAATAAAAATAAAAATCCCACGCATGCACGCATGCACGCATGCACGCACGCACGCACGCACGCACGCACGCATACGTACGCTATATTCCTCTCTATTTCTGGATCGTAATCAAAACAGGATATATACATATATAATAAAGTTTATTTTGAAACAAAATCAGTCGAGTAAATTATATGGTTTCTACTTTTATATCTTCTTTTACACCAAGAAACCCAATTGGTTACAAACACACATACATACATAGTATTGAAGCTATCGTACTTTGATAATGCCTTTTTAATTCATTTTTAATACATGCAGCTAAGCCCCATTATATAATCGTGTAAAAACCACTAGCTATTATTCTACAACAAAAGGAAAACTTTGGTGTATATCATAAAACGTATTGTCAAGGTTACCCTAATAAAATGTTTGCAGATTCTGACTAATAACACTGTATAGCAACAAGAAATATTTGAGTAGAAAGAAGGCTGTTGTTTATTGTATAAAGATTATGATAATATAAATGATAGGAAATGGTAAGACGATAATCAGAGAGCTGGTTTATCTCCAGTAACTATAGGACTGCTCCTTAATCACATCACCTCTTCTTATTTTTCTTAAAAGAGCACCATCCTTAAAATCTAGAAAATGTCTTTGAACAGATTTTAAACGAAATAAAAAGATACCGTGCTCCAGATCTTTCTTCCAAAATCGTCTTGCTATATATCCCATACCATCGTAATAGCTGCCATATATCTTCATGTCTTTCCGTATCTTTTGTTTCATCCTTTTGCCCTTTAGGCGTTTACAATAATATCTCTTAGCAAACTCAACATCACGTCTACCGAGCTCCCACTGAATAAACCTTGGCTTTCGGTTTGTTTTGTCCAAGCACAAATGGTACCAGTTTGATCGAGATGATTCTTCTTCGTTGCCTTGATATAGACTTAGTAAACTTATATCAGAATTCTCCATTTGCTCAATCCCACAAAACTTTACAATATTATCTCCTTCTATTTTATGGCAAACAATTAATGTCTCTAGTTGTGTAAAAGGCATCTCGAACATATTATGAGCAATGTTTTTTCCAGGCCGATAATCATACAAAAAATTTGTCAAAAACAGGAACTTGAGCTGCTGACAACGGAATGAAATGTATTTAACCAAGTTAGGGGTGACCTCTGTAGATATAATCTCTAGGTTTTGCAATGGATGTGGCGGGTCTTGCGAATATGGCGTGTAAGTATAATCCTCATTAGTAAATGACCAAACACGGCATTTATATAGGCGTAATGATCTTAATACATGGCAATTTTCAAAGATATTTTCAAAATCGACAAACGCATCTTTTATGCACAAGTAACCGAGTCTCGGATAAAAACTAGAAAGGGATTGGTATCGTCTGACTCTTGGAAAGTGATCACCCGAAATGGTCATATACTTTAACCGATTAGTTATTGGTTTGATACAATCGTCGGAATATGACAGCTCGTAAGCTCTTCTAGATGTTGTATGTTCAATGTGTTCCAATTTAGATCCAAAGTGATGAAGAGTCTGGTAAAATATAGAAAATGGCCACCCATTGAAAGTAGTGTAATCTGTTTTCGCTTTCTTCAGCAAAGGAAAGAATTCATCAACCGTTGACAGTAATTTTAGCTGGTCTTGATACTGTTGCTTGTCGTAAAAGATGTCTTTTGATGCTTGGTCAGGACAATTTTTTATGTCATAAAAATATAGTAAGTTTGGATACTTGCGTGCAAAGTAAAATATCCAAAAAGTATCAAGGTAATTCATATTAAATGAGATCTTCGTCATATTCGATGCTTGGATAACATTTTTCATTACTTCAAAATCGTATTCTGGTACTGGCGCAAGAGCATAGTATAGTTCAAGATGCTCCAACTTTGGTAAGGACTGGTGAAGTAGCTCAAAGCATGTCCACAAAAACAAAGGACCACAGTTTTCGTAAGAGGCTACTGGGCGAATTACAAAAGAAATAAGGCCTGGAAAGATCGATAGTCTTTTAAAAATTTCTTCAAATAAAAATAGTCCACTCTTTAAGCGTATCTCGAGATGTGTCAATGACTTCCAAAGACTCCAATCAATTGTTTCTGAAACTATATGGCTTCTTTCATTGTTTTCATTATAGAGAAGGTATCTTATCCTAGAAAAGTTTTGTTGTAATACTGGAATATATTTTTTGGGATCATGTTCTGGCTTTTCAATACTCAGCGCCCACACACGATTGAAATTCTTCTGATAGATTTCTTTAATATGAAGTGTGTCGAGGATTGTAGTGAAGCTTTCTTTATACACATAAATCCTGCACAAATAGACATTTAGGAATGGCTCTGTCCACTCTTTGCACACCAGTGCACAGCTACGTCGGTCTTTCTTACTGGTATATGTTGCAATATATGAGAAGATATTGGGTAGTAATTTTGAATTCATTAAAATTGAGATAGAGAGATAGCGAGACTATCTAGTAGTCATAGGCCAAGTATTTTTTTTTATACTTTTTGACTCTGGACATGAAACATTATACGCCCTTAGATTGTGGCTTACAGATCCCCTATAATTACCTCGGAACAACTCACTTTCTATCATGTTACGAAAAATGACTTTATTGACTTTCTCATTCTGCGTAACATACTTCATTTTTTTTGTCCTACACAATAAAAACAAGTGTTTTCTCAACCATACGTCAAAGTCCTAAATGTTAGCATGCACTTGAGAACCCTCTAAAGATAATAGTAATATTATTTAGCTCTATCATTTACCATATTCATCCTTATTCTGAGATATGTTATTGGGACACACCACTTTTCTCTTACATACTTTAATAGATGCTCTCGGTACTTTTGTTGCCTAAACCAGTCTATTCAAAATTCATATTCTCAAATTTATTACAAAAAAAAACAATTATTAGTAGAAATGAAAATAAAATCATGGTTGTGCGATAATATTTATTCAAAAGCTTTTTAAAAACATATTGTTCTTTAAGACATATGTAGTCGTTACTCTACTTCTTACTTTACTTTACTATACATATAAAGTAACAAGTTAAAATAAAAAAAATGATGATTATGGATATTCTTCAGCAATGGAAGAGATTATGTATATATATAATGTTTTTCTTTTAATCAAAGCTTATACGTTTAAATACCCTATATTTTTTGTCGTAAAGAAAATAGCTATTGATAGATCTCATACGAAATACCAAGGAACCTTCTCCAAGATTTTTCTTCCAGGATCTTTTTGGTACATAGTTATTGAACTTATCACCCTTTTCTTCGGTCTTTTCGTCTTCCATCTTCCTGCGCTTAAAGTCTCTGTAATATTCCTGAAAGTATTCAATGTCGGGTACCCCAAGCTCCCAGGAAACTATTCTTTTCGAGTTATTCTCGTCCAAGCATACATGATACCAGTTTGAACGAATCGGTTGCTCCTGACAGTCTGTATCAAGCTCACGGCCATCAGTAGCAGTACCACTGGCAGGAGTGGTATCCAATTGTTCAATTACATAATATTTGATAACATCGGCTCCTATCTTAATATTATAAAGTATCAGTGTGTCCAATTGAAAAGACCACATGTCAAGAAGCACTTGTCCGGTTTCCTCAAAATTGGATTCAGTAAAACCAACTTCATCTAATTTCACGAGAGACAGTTTTTTACAACGGATAAAAAGATATTTGAATGCATCGATACTTATTTTGGTAGAAGTCATCTGTAGTTTTTGTAAAGGGTGCTGGCCATGGTTGCGACTATGGTTGGAGCTCTGTTGCGTTTTTTTGGATTGGTTTATACAGAACTTTCTTAAATATAGTGATCGTAATATTGGGCAATTATCCAGAATAATGTCTATATCCATCTGCCAGTCGATGCCCATATACAATTCAACTAGATTGGGGTATAAAGCGAATTCGTCTGTAAAGTTCTTACCAGACGTAGAATAGGATGCAGTCTGCCATAAAATCTCAAGCGATTCTGATATAGGTTTCAAGCACGCATTAAAGCCGTCCTGCGAATTTAAATGAGATGCGTTGATGTAAACCTCTAAGCGTTTTGTGTTTATTCCAGACTTTTGAAGAGTGTCGTAGAATATGGACATCGGCCATCCATTGTGACTAGCAATGGGTGTGGTGATCGTTTTTAGATGAGGGAAAAATTGGTCAAGCGTTGATAGTAATTTGATGTCATCTAGATGGCGTTTCTGATCATACGCTGTTGTATTTAGCTGTTTACGCAAAGAACTGGGAGTGAACGCAAGCTTGGATATATCTGGATATTTGAGTGCAAAATACAATACCCAGAGAGCGTCGATATATTTATGATTATAGGATATAGCTTTAACAGATTTTGCAGGGGTAAGACATCGTATTTTATCCAATTCGTCATCTGATATTGGCTCAAGGGTATAATCAACTTCTAGGTCTGTCAGCAGTGGTAAATTAAGGTGAAGTGACTCAATATCCAGCCACGAAACTGTCAAACGTATTTTATCGCTACTTTTTACTACGTTTGCCTTTAGTGACAAGGTCGTAAGGCTTGTCAATACAGTCAGACTCGTAAAAAAATCTTTCAATACAATCGAGGTTCTGCGAAAAAGTCTCATTTTCAGATGCGATAAGGACGTCCAACGATTCCAATCGATTAATTGATATAGTCTGCCTTTTTGGTAGGTTTCCAAATAATCAAGTCGATTTATGTTGTAGTAAATTTGCTGTATTGCTGATATATAATTCACGTCGTCTAATTCTGGATCTTCCATACGCAGCTCCCGTATACGATGTGCATTCCTGAGGTAGATGTACCCTTGGTATGATTTGTCACATATATTATTCACAGAGCTTTTATCAACTCTCTGAGAGTACCAAAGTACGTGCAGAAATGGCTCCTTCCACTGTTTACAAACTAAGGCGTATTTGAGTATGTTGCTTCCTTTGAAATTAATTGCAATGCGGTGAAGAATTTCGTACGGAAGGCTTGGCACCATTGTAATAGAGAACGAAATGGAGAAAGAGAAAGAAAGGGAGAGAGAGGGGGGGCAACGATAATCAAATGTATTCTTACTTTTTTTCTGCCAGTCATAGTCAATTTGGCCAATAATTTTGACAATTTACAATACACTAAAGGAACTTTTCTGTAGAAATAACAATACTAGTGAATACATCATGAGATTTTGAACTTAAAGATCTAAAGATTTAGAGAATTTAAGGTTTAGATTTTTACCCTTTATATCATGAAACAGCCACACACACAGATACGTAACAAGCCTTCAAGATCTAGAATTCAACATATTTAACTTTGGACCATACATATATATATATCTCTATGGATACAAATTGAAAATTGCAGTAGTTTAATTTCATATGGTAAGATATGAGCGTGTCAAATCGTAACAAAGACGTGTCAAGAGGCAGCTATCTATTGTCTTTGGGATCAAATTATTCAAGCCAATGTGATATAATCCCTTTAATAAAAGCTGCCTGCAATGTAAAGACAAAAAAAAATAGGTATCTGAATATACGTATACCGGTTTTGGCACTCTTTAATTCCAATCTTTGTAAAGAGTGTTGTGAAATATAGAAAATGATTATCCATCATAATATTCTGTGAATGTGCCTGATTTCTTTTTATAATTACAATTGATCATGCGTTAATAGTAGTTTGGCATCACTAAGGTATTCTTGTTGATCGTATGTCAGTAGGTCTTCCAGAATCCCTTTTATCACCTCTGTCAAACTCAAGACTGAATATGTTTGGATAAGTGATAGTAAAATAAAACATCTATAAAGCATTATTATAATCTTTAATAGAGTGTCTGTCTTTTGTAATACTGTGTGCTTGATCTAATATTTCTCATTTTATCTACATCGTATTTTGATAGTTCTTCAAGCATAATATTACCGAACATATATTCCAGCCCATGCAAGTATATATATATATATATAAGCGAAATCCTTTTAATATCAAACCATAAAATATTTGGTTTATTTCTACTACTCTTGCACATCGACATTATTCCTAAGACAAAATGAGTAAGACAAGTCAAGATAGTCATACAATGTTTTTTTTTTCTGAAGATGTGTTCCACTAGAACTGTATTTCTGTACAAAAAAAAAGAATGTTCTCAGATGTGACAATAGCTTCCATTGAAAGTCCAATCAATTACTTCTATGAATTGATTTGTTTTGGTAGTCTTGATAGTAGTGGCAACTTTAAAAGGTACTCAATTTTGTGTAATAGTAGATATTCGATATTCAATTCATATACATAATGAGTATTGATGCGATAGGCATTATTCCTCTGGATCCTATTGCAAATTCTGTCTTGTACTTTTCCCATTAACGTCTAGGTTAATACCATTAGGCACCCAGAAGAGGCTCTGGCTATTGTTTGCAGACAAGGGATACTGGTGGTTCGGTTATCTTTTTTTTTGACATGGATCGTAACACACACGGGAATTCCGTACGCTAATTCTGATGTCATTATTACAAACGGAGATGGAGAAAGAACGAAAGAAAGGATTTTATTTGATAACTTTAATCAATTATATTATAGTTTTTATTTTAAACTTTTTTTTTGGCATGAAACAATGTACACCTTTAATTTGTGGCTTACCAATCTCAAGTAGTAGCTGTAGAACGAATATTGTTTTTTTCTCTAATAACCAAAAAGAATATCAAATCAAGAAAACGTATATTTTTAACTTGGTTTTCTTGATTTGCTTAATAGATAGAGAAAAGAGACCAGAAAATTTAGAGTAATGAGACAGTAGCAGCAATGGATAACTATCCATTTTATTGATTCGGGTATTGGGCTGTTAAAGTGGTTTCTACAATCATCACCCTAATTAGAAATCTCTATTTATGGTTCATTACACCATGTTTGCTTTAGCTACGCATGTGTGATACAAACTTCATTGAATTTGATTGTTTCCGGTTGTCTTGGTTCAATGAGCTAACATCAAAGTTCTTCATTTGTTCGGCCAAGTAATAACTGATGTATTGAGATCCCTCTACCTTAATATTTCAAGTGATAAATATCTCTAATTCTAGTAAAGACGTCAATAATCAGTTGTTCGATTTCCTGTCAGCAAGAATACATAAACTTAATATCTTTTAGTCGTATAATTTTAAGTTTTTTTTTTGCAGCAGAAGGATATGTAGTTGAATATACATATAATGATAGATGCATTTTTTTTTTAAAAAAAAACGGATGTGTCATAAAACTGTATTGTGGACCCTTGACCGACGCAACATATTGGATCAATTTATGTAAATTGATTACAAACTTGGGAATTCGTTCAAGTAGCTCTCTATTCCAATTTAATAAAGAAAAACATTTAATTCAGATAGTATTGGTTAAAAACTAAGAATGTATGCTTGAGGACTAAGGTCCAATTTGCTACTAGCCATGAACCTTTAAGACTTTTTAAATATCTTGAGCTAGTGTTATGAAAATAAACTTTATTGATGTAAAATAAAAGCTAACTACAAGATATGTTAATTTATGATAAGAGATAATGGTATAACAGCCGTACCGAAAGTATGCTTGTTGATTTATAAGAGTTATAGTATAGATGGTTGTAAATGGGAAAGAGAAAGATAAATTGTAAGTAATAAATGAGTTATCTAGTAAGTCAAAGGGCCACATCAATTTACGATATGTAACTATAAGTTATAGTGATCAAACATCAGTGGATTTGTGAGATATATTTCAAAATCAAGAGAAGGCCTAACTGTCCCTACATGTATCTGTTATCCTTATAAAGTATACTTTATTACAAGATATTATTTATTGAATAATTATACAAATCAAGAGGGCTTAATCTGATTTTGGACGAAAAATATTTCTATATTCATTTTTTTCTTCAAGAAAATAGTCTTTAACAGATTTGAACCGAAGTTTCAAGACACCGCCCTGAAGATCCCTTTTCCAAAACCTTTTAGGTTTATAACCATACAAAACTTCGTTTAAGTCCTTTCGTATCTTTTCTCGTCTTCTTCTTCGTTGAAAGTCTTTGTAGTATCTCTGGGCAAATTCAATGTCACGCCTTCCAAGTTCCCATGCCAAATTTCTGCCTTTTCTGTTTGTTCTGTCAGCACACAAATGGTACCAGTTTGATTGCGGTGCCTGTCCTTGATTATTTTGGCTCAATAGATTGGAATCAACATTTTCAATTTGCTCAATGACAATATGTTTAACAGGGATATAATCATATATATCAGAATCGTCAGAATGATTAGTGTTACTGTATGCTTTTAGCGTTTTTAGTTGTGAAAAAGGCATGTCCACAAGTAACTGCCCGGTTTCATCACTGCCAGAATAATGAAAATTGATATGATACAATTTCATATATTTCAGCTGTCTACAACGGAACGATATGTATTTAAAAGTATGCTGACTGATCTTCGTATCTTGAATTTCCAAAGTTTGTAACGAGTGCGGTAAGTGTGTAGGCTGTGGATACTCAGGGGAATGAATATCTGAGGAGGATATATTCAGTGATTGTAAGACTGGACAATAATCCAGAATATTTCCGATATCAATATAACCACCCAAATATATGTTCAATACAGTTAACTTGTGGCAATATACAAGTAGTTTCCTTTTTTTATCTAATTGATCAATCTGTTCGAGATACAAAACATTCACTGATTCAGAAAAATAACTGATCCACCTGTTTATATCATTTGCTTCTGGTGTCTCGTCCTCAAAATCAATATGTATATAATTTATCTTTACGTCGAAATGTCGAAGAGCGTCATAAAATAATTTAATTAACCAGAGATTGGTATTATTGATGTATGTGGATGTTTTTTGTAGACAAGGAAAGAATTGTTTGAGGGATAATAGTATTCGAAGTTGACTCTGGTATTTCTGGTCATCGCAAGGTATTTGATCGTCATCCCGTAGATTTTTAGGTGCTCTTAAATTTAAGCCAACTATATTGGGATATTTGTGTGCCAAGTAAAATATCCACAATGTGCTGAGAGTATCAGAAACAAATTCCATAGTTGTAATATTGTGTGCCGGTTCGACGTTTCTTATTGTTTCCATTTCTTTTTCGGGTATCAGTTGAAGTAAAAAGTCAATGTTGATATATTCCAGACGTGGCAGATAGAGATGAAGGGATTCAATGTTGGTTAGGGAGATATGAATGTTGACTTTTGGATCAAGCTCTTGCCTAATCGTAAAGTGAACAAGACAAGACAAAGCCGAGAATTCTTCAAAGGTAGTTTCCGGTGCAAGTTGTACACCCGTAAAAGATAGTTCCAAATGAGACAATGTCCCCCAAATACTCCAGTCAATTTTGCCTCCAGCTAATTTTTCTAAATCTACACGCCAGGATAGATACTTTATTCTGGAATATGTTTGCTGTAACAGTTGAATATGCTTAAAGCTATGCTTATATAATTTGATATCCAACGCCCATACTCGATACGCATTTTTTTGATAGACTTCTTTAGGACCGAATTCGTCGAATATTTTCTCTATATTCCAGTTCCCAATCTCAACTTTAGCCCAATAAGCGTTTAAAAATGGTTCTGTCCATTGTTTACAGACTAGGGAGCAGTTAAGTCGGTCTTTCTTTTTGACGTGTGTTGCCAGATATGTGAGGAGTTTTTCTGACAAATCTGTAGCCATTGTAGCATAGAATTAATCAAAGACAAAAGAAAGAAAGAGAAAGAAAATAAAAAAAATTCAATTGTTTTTTTATACCTTTTTGATTTTCGACATGAAACAATAAGGTCATTTAAAGTGTAACCTGTAGACTCTGAGTATTGGTCACCATTTTTTTTTACACACTTCAATTAAAATCTAATTATATATTATATTTCAAATGTTGTTCACAGTTCAATTTCATGTCTTCTTAAAAGCATATATTCGGAAATATTGTCCTCCTCAAAGTAATTAATTAATGTGTACAGCCTTTTGTCTATTTTTTCAAAAATGAATTCAGATCCGAGCTGTTTAACAGCAGCCTTATCCCTATCAGCCAATGATTTACTTTTTACACTTATTATATCCGACATTTTATAAGAATAAATTTTGCTGTCCTTATTAATATATATATATATAACACGCACGTCTCTTCACATTTCCGACTGACCCAATCATATCATATCTTCCCAAGTCTTTTTTTTTGTATTAATTATGTAAATAAATTGGTCAAGACATGTCCTTGGGAAAACGTGAATATCTATATAAGCATAAAAAGATGAAATCAATAAAGACCGTCCTTATATATCACTTTTCTTTTTCTTTTTACCTTTCTCAAGAAAGCAAGCTACCATATTCCAATATTTGGGCCGAGGAGTTATTAAAGGAGATCAATATATACTCTCTTTTTTTTACTAGCTGTTTGTGCCACTTCATCACATGCACCATAGCATATCGTATCATATATATAAGTAGTAAGAAGAATACAAACACTTTGTATTTATCATTGGAAAACATACTATCCGCATATCTTGAACCTTTTGATATAAATAAAAGGCAAAAAATATTAATCTTAGCTTATTACTTTAAATAAACGGCCTGATCTTATCATTAATTACTCTTATTAATTTTTTGAGCTTGAGGAGCAGATCTTAATTGTAGGAGATAACTATTACAATTATGGCTGCCTCGGTTCTATCCTAAGATAAGATTATAGTGACAAAATGAGTTCCATTTACTAACGTTTCTTGTATCTCTTATTACAGTGAACTAGAAAGTAGTGAAGTAGCTGTAGGAATGAAAACAGTAATTAAATAGCTATCCTTTTATTTATACTTTAATAAAATTGTCTTTCTACCCGTATTCATTCTCTCGTCATTAAGCTGGACATTTATATCACATAACCAACCCACCATGTGCCATAATTTAGACAGATATCCAGAAGAAAAAAAACTTCATTATAGCTCTTGTACATAATTATAAATATTCTTAGCTTATATTATTCTTAATATATAATTACAGTTAATATATCACTATATAAACTCTCTATCTCTTTCTTTGAAAAGCTGACAATATATCCATTTCTACAAATAGATACGAGATTGTACATACAGCAGAAAGCGTATTTATACATTCAGAAGACAGACTTGAGGGAAGTCTCCATATATGAAGAGCTATATTGCGATGACCCCCCACCCCTCGACTGCAGAGAGAAGGAGAGAGAGAGAGAGAGAGAGAACAGGAAATTTTCCATCCCTCTCCCCTCGATTGCATTAATGTGGAATGAATGGTGAAACCACATACAGCCAAGCTTTCGTTTACTCAAAAGAACAAAAAAGTCATAAATGTAACTCTATAGTTGCGAATAAGATAAGCATGGTAAACGCCCAGATTTTTTAACATATGGTGCTGTATATAAGCTAAATATGGATATGAATATATATCAGCATTGCTTTTCGTAGAATTTTTGTTTTATAAAAAACAGTTTCTCTACATCAGTCTTTTATGTGAATTCCAGACTTGATGAAATTTTTCATAAACTACTGAAATAAAAAATTAAAAAAGAAAAAGGTCGACAACAAGCAGCTATTATTGACTGTTCGTGCTTATCTTTTTTTAGTTTTCAGCAGAAAATACTTCTTTACAAAATCCTGTACTTTTATTGATGTTGAATTATGTAAACTTATAATAAGTGTATTTGATAAACAGTAATTATATACTTTACTGTTTTATGATCACTTGTATTAATTAAATCTATTAATTTTTTTCTAAATCTCAATTAAAAGGTGGAGTATTATTTTACGTCTGAAAACCATTGAATGTTTTGTAACTATATTTTAGATGAAATTATGACCTCAAGAGAGGCTTTTTGATCGAAGAAAAGATGAACCCTTTCACCATTTGGATGTCAAGCAACTATTGACTCGTACTATTATGAGCTGGCTTCTTGCCTCCAAGTATTGAAAGCAGTTCTTGCGCCAGCTGCTTGGAACAAAGAATAGAATGGCGATGTTAAATAGCTAACTTGAAAAAAAATAAGCTATAAGCCTCACTAATGCTACAAATTTGTTAACTAAATCACAGCATCAACAAAAAGCAAAGTATAATATACTAGTAAAGTTTTTGCATATTAATTAAATATCCTTGATCTGTTTTCAAAGTCTTAAAAATATCCCCTTTGTAAAAACAAAAAACATACTATGTTGGCACACTAAAAAAGCTTAACAGCAGCAATAAATTGAATAACCCAGTGTAAGTACTGAACATAAAGCATAACAGTACATACATGCAAACACAGCAACTTGTTGTATAGACAGTGACTACTGTATTCCTTATTATTACCATTATGATTTCGAAATTAACGTAGATCTATAACTTTGCATACATTTAATAAAGATTTCTAACTGTAATTGTTATTTATGAATCATAATTTTAATCCTAGTATAATAGTAGCTCAAAAGCGTCTTCAAAAAATAAGCTTTTATTTGATGAAAATGATAGTGAATTCTGTATCAATATGATTTTAAAGTATTTTTATATTCTATTATCAATAATTCAAAACTATGCTCTTATTTTTTTTAATAAATTTGATTATTTTATTTTATTAGACTTGACATAGTTAACAACTCTGTGAAATATTCAGAACAGAAAACAATTAAGAAAATCATTTGCTAAACATGCATTAGAATACGCGTAAGAAATAAATAAGTGTTATTTGATCCAATTCATCATATTAAGCATGATATCAATTAATAGTATATCATACAGAACGTTTCGTATAGCTTAACTAATACTTGCTTTGACTTTTCTCATCTAATTTTATTTTTTTACTCATTTATATGCTCTTTATGTTACTGTAATAACCGTTGACTAATAGGAAATCCAAGGAGATTAAATATATTATCTGAAATGATATATATATAAGTTTTAATAAATCAAGAGTAAAATCTCTTTAATTTTTTTATTTTAGTTTGTCTACTATTAATTGATAACCTTGAGTATGTAAAACGTATCAGTAAAAATATATAGCTTTTATAAAATGAAAATAAAACATAAAGTGATTTGATTAAAGAGGATTTATAATGTCTTGATCCTTAAGTCATCTTCAACTCATATATTTAATTAGCTACTGACATACGATGATTCTTACAAAGCTTTAATTTGTATATTATTTCTATTTTACATGAGTAGCAGCATTCACACTTTCAAGTGTCTGTTGTTTTTTCAGGTATAAAACTTTTGGCTTTAATATTCTGGTGAGATATCCCCTCATATATTATCAATGGCACAGGATTAGAGATTGTTTGGCAGCCATACTATATACTGGTAAATTCTGGTACTTTTTATACTTTTCCTGAATACATACTGTCTCAAACTATGCTAGAACACCTTTACTACACTAAAATATTGGTATGATAAAGTCCTCCCTATACATTTTTTGGGATATCATCATAATATAGCTCAAGTATTTTTTATCTTTGCCAAAAATATAATACATAAGTTTTGATTCCATACCTTTAAATAATATAATCTTATCTCTGATTGGAATCTATGTGCTGATTAGAAAATGCTAGATATTTCTTCTTGTGTGTCTTTGATAGCACTGCACAGAAGACAATCTTACAAGAATACATTTCAGTTATATGTGAGGTATTCGGAATTGTTTATGGGTTAGTGTCTCAATATATCGGAAAGTAGATACTATGAATGTGTCATTTATTAAAGAGAAAAAATAATATTATTTATATCTGTTACTATTAAAATTCCTGTAATTCAAATTTCTGTTGTGTAATAGTTGACTTATACTGTATGAGTGTGTAGTGTACGTATGTTTGGTATGTAACAATTCCGGAGATTGTTAACTTGCCAAGCTCATTAGCAAGAAGAAACCAGTGTTTAGTTGTGGAGTCTGTTTTTCACTCAATTGTGATATGTATACCACACTACTGATCATAATAAATGAAAACAAAGCAGTGAAGATCATATTATTATATTTTTTGCTTTATTAAATTATTAGCTAACTCTCTATATTATATATAAAACAAAAAAATTAAATTGATATAGTTATTTATTTATTTTTTAATTTTTTTAAAAAAAAACATATATACTCATATATCAAAGTACAATATTATATGTGAAATCCAAGTATTTAATTTTCACTTGCCGACATTTTTTTTGCTACTTTTGCTACTTTATTTGTAGCATTTAAAAAATAGACAGTTTAGTACAATTTTTTTCTAAAGTAAGATTCCAACTACGAAGTGAGGAAATTTTGTTTTTTTGATTATACGGCATTAGGAGAAACAATATATTGAAACACCGCCGCATTTTTTTTTGTGGAGGGATTTTTCTAGCCTCACAAAATTGCTACGCTCCTAGGTGTTTTTGAGCACTAAAAAATTCTTAAAACAGCTGAGATCCAAAAATGCCCTGAAATCTACAAAAAAGATTGGGCATTTGAAATTTAAATTAATTATTTTATTTTATTTTATTTTGTTTTTGCTTTTTTTTACAACTTTTCAATTAATATTTAATTTTTTTGTTATTATTTGATAACAAGTAATTGAGCCTCTTATTTCAATTATAACTTACTTACAATGTAATATATTACATTGTAATTAAGATATTTGTAATTGATTTTAGGCTGATATCCCAATATTAAAGAAAAGTATATACTTCAAGTGTTATTTTTTTTAAAAAGATAA